TCTCTCTCCTCCTCTTCTTCTCAATGCCAGTTGAATTTGTTTGTATTTTTGCTTGAATTTGCATTTGCTTTTGATTGATTCGCTGCTCTTCTAATCGATCCTGTGCACGAAGCACGAAACACGATGCAAGTGGCACGAGACACGATGCACGTACATTGACAAACCTCACGTTGCATTGTGTGCTTTATCAGCTCGAGCTGAGTTGTATTTGAATTGTGTCTGTGTGTGTGTGTGAATGAGTGCATTGCTTAGAGTTGACAGCTGGATGACAGTAGAAACAGTAACAACAACAACAACAACATTTAGAATCATGCGATTGGGGGTTCTTGACGTTTGTCGATAGATTTAACAACGATGCCTACTCCTATTTGTTCCCACTCACGCCACCCCTGCCGCCCCACACACAACAGACTGTTCACCAGTTGAGTTGTTGTTGTTCTTGCAACTACTGAGGCTGCAATGGCTGGTAAGGAGGAGGTGTTGGAAGCAAAAACATGCATGCACGCATTAGGCTGCTTGACTTCAGTCGTCGTCTGACTAGGCACTCTCCATGTGTTAATTACCAAGTCAAATTCGCCTTGTGACAATTAAAACGATCGACTTGTGTGCGGAGGGAGGGGGTGGGGGGAAGGTTGGTGTGAAGTGTGTTTGTTGTTGTTTTGCATTTTGTGCAAGGAAGAAATTTGTGTTGTTGCCTTGCTTAATTGCTGATCGAGAGAGGAAGATAGAAGGGGTGGGGTGTGTGTAGAGTTCTGCTCACAATTGTATCGATAACTTGAATGTCGATCGTCAGTTTAGTTAAAGGCAGGTTATCGATTGACGAGTGCCCTGAACTTTAATTGAATTGTTTGCAAATTGATGATAAAGCAATCGATTTCAACTTTGTTGCAATCAGTATTAATGCATTAAGCATTAATTGTCATGATATGATATGTGGTCTCGGTATTTCCACATTCATTTCGATTATTAGCCGCAAAAATTTGTCGCTTCTGCTGCTGTTTTTTTCCAGGCCAGGCCAGGGCAGGCCAGGCCAGGCTGGGCTTCCAGTTTTGACAAATACTCGTAACTAATTGTTAATTTTATTCATTCCCTCTCCAATCTAGCTTGAAATGGATGTACATAACTCTACATATATATTTAGATGTCGATGTCGAGATATATACATGCATATATAAGCTCCCCCAAGCACTCCCCTTTTCCCTGAAAACCACAAAAACTTTGTTACCTGTTCGTGCAGGTTGTTGTTGATGCTGTTGTTCTTGTTGTTGTTTTTGCTTTGGCATTATAAATAACACCTATAATAACTATGTATTCATTTTCATTTCGCGTATATGTAGTAAATGTACACATATACACACACACGCACATACATACATATAGACGACTCCCCCAGACGCCCCCAAACCTACCTGTTCCAAAGCTTTGTGCTTCAATCTGTGTGAGCAGAATAAAGAGCGACTCTGTCTCCCTCTCTAGCTCAGTCGCTCATTCACTCCTACTCTTTCTCTCCCTCTGCTACTGCTACAGAGCAAGTGTATGTGTGTGTGTGTGTATTGGTGTTAGCTCATCGAGGTTATGGATATTGCGTTGTCGTCGTCGTGGTTTTTGTTGTTGGCTTTATAAACCAGTTAGTCAGTCAAGCAGTCTTCAGCATCACACAGACACACATGCACATAAATAAATATATATGTGTATCTATATATATATCTGTATATATATATATATGTGTGTGTGTGTGTGCGAACGTGTTTACGAGACAACAGCAGCCAAGTCAAGCCAAGCCAAGCCAAGCCAGGCCAAGCCAACGTTAACCCAACAACAGAAACAACAACAACAACAACAGCAGCAGCAACAGCAACAAAAATCTTACCTAACAGCGCCTAATACATACTTATTTACATAAGTACACACATACACTCATATTAACATACATTTATGTATTGTAATCATATGTTTGATTTTTATGCTTGAAGATGAGAAAATATTTACATACTATATACATATGTATGTGTGTGTCTGCATAAAATGTCAAATTAAGAGTTGATGTGCCAAATCCAAATCCAACCGGAACTAGCAAAGCACTTGCTTCGCTCTCTCTTTCTCTCTCTCTCTCTCTCTCTCTCTCTCTCTCTCTCTCTCAAAACGAATGGTAAAAGGCGACAGAATCAAGAGAAATTCGCAACAGCAGCTTCAACAGCAGCGTAATAGCATAATGGTAACAGCCAACAGCAACATGTGTACAAGGAAAATGTTGCCAACATCGTTCAACTAAAGAGAAAGACGAGGAAGCAGAAGCAGAAGTAGAAGAAGCAGCAACACGCAAAAGCCAGACTGCTAAGAAAAGTAAACTTATTTTCATTTTCAAATGAAAGGGAAATTCTCACCTAGATGAAAGACGGCACACACACACACACACATGCATAGAAACTTGTAGTCTCTTGGTTAACCATAAATACATGAAAACACTCACACACATGCACATGACGTCTGCGTATATAGCGCAAAAAGCAAAAGCAAAAAAGAAAGAAAAAAAGCCACACACACACAGCCACAACAAGAGTTTTGCATTGGCCTCAGTCGACGTTGACGTCGCTGCTCTGATCTATTTGTCTCTGTTTTCATTGTACGGCGGGAGTGTCACTAGCCCCGCACCCTCCCTCCCTTCTTATTGGTGATTGGGCATAGGGTATACCGGGTATCGGGTTGTACTCCTGTTTATCTTGTCTTTTGTGCACATATATATTTATATATATATATATATAAATATACATATATATATATACATATATTATATACAGAGATGAATGCGCGGCCAACTTGAAGTTGTTTTGAACACGTTTAAGTGTTGCGTCGTCTTCGTCTTCGTCGTCTTTCTGCCCCCTGTCTTCCACTCAGTGATTGCCTTGCTTTGCCTTGCCTGCCTGTGTGTGTGTTTGTGTGTGTAGTAGTGGTACTTTATGCAAGCAAAGCTTAAGCGGCAGGCAATGATGCCGTAAGCGCAAAGTTGGTCATAACAATCGTAAAAGTTTGCCAACTTGTTGCGCAGACTAGTTGCGTTTGAGCGTTGCCGGACTGTCGACAAATATCAGCTGAGCTCGACGACCGACGGGTTCCCTTTGCAAAAATTGAGTAAAACTTAAGACAAAAACAAATTTGCATAGAATTATTATCTAGTGGGGAAATAGAAAAGACGAATAACGAATGATGACGAATGAAATGCAGATATTGTGCGAGAGTTCCGTTCCAAATTCGATAAATCGCCAAGTGTGAACCCACTCAAAGCACTTGAAACCGACTCGGCGAATTCACTTGATACAATGAAACTGAACAAAAGTTCATATTTATTTATTTACATCAAGGCATGAATCAGTGCAACCGATAAGCAACTAGCAGCTAGCAGCTAGCTCATTGCAACGATAGCCAAATGAATGACTCAAGAATTATTTAAAGATTACACGTTATGATTATTGATTAAATCGAGCAGAAATAGAGTTGCCATTTGTGAATTAAAAAAATTTAAAAAAAAATTGAATATTTAAATTATTATGCATCAATACATAATTAGCGCTGTTTAATCAAACATATTTCAAGTATCCGCCTGGAAAGTCAGTCTGGCAACACTGTGTGCACAGCCACCGGCCGCGCACGCGTCTCTCTTCGCTGTGTGTATGTGTGTGTGTGTGTGTGTGGAAGTGCGTGTTAACTGCCAACCAGTTTGGCTTGTTGTTGCCTTTTTTCTGTTTTTTTTTCCCAACGGCTGCTGGGCCCAAAAATAAAATGTTTTTGTTTTTGGCCGCGACGGTGACTTCGTCTGCAGCTTCGCTTTGCGGCCTGTTTCGTTTGTTGTGTGCCTGTGTATGGTGTTGTGCTGTGTGTGTGGTGTGTGTTTTGTGTGTTGTTGGCTTGAACTTGAGCTCTATACATATGTAATTGCTCTTGTTGTTGTTGTTCTTCTTCTTCATGCTATTAGTTGCCTGCGCCACTCTCTCTTTCTCTTTCTCTCGCACTCTTTCTGGAAGTCTGCGTGCTTGTGTGTGTGTATGTGTTGTGTTGGTTGGTTGGTTTGTTGGTTTGTTCGTTGTTGGTTGCATAACGTGTTACAGCATCGCACGAAATTGAATAGCAACAACAATAACAATAATAATACAGAAAGAAAGAAAAAAACCGAAACTGATGACGACACACGCAGAGTCGGTCTCGAGTGGGCTGCTTGTGTGTGAGAGAGAGAGAGAGAGAGAGAGAGTGAGCGAGGAGAGTGATGGGGAGGGGTGGGAGGCTGCCGGATTGAGCAGCTGTGTGTGGCTGAGATCTTTGGACGCTGGCGCGCAGTCGCAGCCGCAGTCGACGTTATGTCCGTATGCGTGTTGTTAACGTTGTCATTGTTGTTGTTGTTGTATTGGTTAATGGCTGGAAAATTACATATATTTATAAAAATAGCATTTGGCTTTTATTTGTTATGTTTTTGTTGGTTTTGTTGGTTTTTTTTTTGCAATATCATTACCATTACAAGTGACGGCTGATAGATCCAAAATTAATTTCTAACGACTGCACTGCCGACGTCAGCGTCAACGTCAATGCTAGACAAGCTGCGCAGCAGCAGCAGCAACAACAACAACAACAACGATTGAAAATTGAGTGAGCGCCTTTTGCTTTTGCTCTTTACTCTTTACTTATAGGTCAAGTTAAAAGTAAAAGTATTTTGTGTGCGTGTGTTTGTATATATATATATGTGTGTGTAAGTGTGGCGCCTATTTGAGCGCGTCTCGTTTCTGCTGCTCTGCTTCTGCTCCTTTGCACATTTGTCGTTGTGATTGTTGCTGGCTTTGTTTTGTTGTTCCGAAATGTGCTCGGCCTTTCGTTGGCTGTTGTATGCGTGTGTGTGTGTGTGAGAGAGAGAGAGAGATAGAGATAGAGAGAGAGGTAGAGACGGTGGCAGCGGCGAATATGCGAAAGCTCAGTTCAAAATTAATTGTTTGCTGTTTTGCTTGGCTTTATTGCAGGTTGTCAGTGATATGCAGCAGCAGCAGCCAGCGGATCACATCCTGGACGCCAACATGGAGCAGCACCCAAACGAAAAGGATCTCCATCAGCAGCAGCAGCAGCAGCAGCAACTCCTGCATCAGCAACTGCAGCAACACCGCTTGCACGGACCGCTAACGCGCACAATCTCACAGCCAGCGCAGCGGCAAGTGAATCAACACCAACATCAGCATCAACAACACCAACAGCAACTGCATCAACAACAACAGCAACAGCAGCAGCCGCAAGTACCTTCGCTGGTGACCATTATTGAGAATCTGAGCAACATAACGCTGCATCGCAAGCTGGAGCGGACACAATCGGAACCGCTGCCGCCGCAGCAGCCAATGAATACATCACGGTAAGTCTAAAGCCTAAAGCTCAAATCAAATTTCAAATTAAATTTCAAATCAAATCAAATAAAAGACAGAGAGCGAGAAAAGTTAGCCTGCCAGGTGATCCTCGATGATTAGGCAGGCATTAAACTTTAAGCTTTAAGCTCGTCAAGTATCAATAAATACTCCATAGATGGCGTTGTATCAATCTCATCTAGGAACAAATTGAGTTTGTCGTAAATGTTAATGCAATAAAAATGGTGCAACACAATAATCCTGCTATAACATGCCACTCTCTCTCTCTCTCTCTCTCTCTCTCTTTATAAACACTGAAACTGCTGTCAAACTGACGTGTTAATTCTCTGCCTCTCCTCTATTTCAATTTTCGATGACGACACAGTTACAAGACGGAATTGTGCCGTCCGTATGAGGAGGCCGGCGAGTGCAAATACGGGGAAAAGTGTCAATTCGCCCACGGCTATCACGAGTTGCGCAACTTGCAGCGCCATCCCAAATACAAGACCGAATACTGTCGCACCTTCCACAGCGCTGGATTCTGTCCCTATGGTCCTCGTTGCCATTTTGTGCACAATGCGGACGAGGCTCGTGCGCAGCAGCAGCAGCAGCAACAATTACAACAACAACAACAGGCAGCAGCAGCTGCGCAAGCCAACAAAACGTTCTCAAAGCCCACACAGCTAACCAACACAAACAGCAGCAACAACAACAACAACAACAATATGAATCAATACTTTTTGCCATTGAGTCCGCCGCTGAGCATGAGCACTGGTTCCGATCGTGAATCGCCGACTGGTTCACTCTCGCTTTCGCCGACGAATTCGTTGACAAATTTTCCTTTTCACGATGCAACGGCATATTTAAATATGCCCAACAACAACAACAATATCAGCAACAACAACAACAACAACATCAACAACAACAGCACGGTTAATTCTGGCCAAATCAACTCGAGTGGCGGCTCGTCATCGGCCTCCTCCACCTCGTCTGCCTGTGGACTGGCGCCTGCCACGCCCCCCGACAGCCCAAATGCTCCAATATCGCCGGTGCATACCCCACCGCCCTATGAGAGCAACAACAACAACAGCTGCAGCAAGCAGTTGGTGCAGAAGAGTGCCAGTTCGCCACTGCAACACCAGCATCAGCAGCAGCTGAATGAGGAGGCGCCACGATTGCCCGTCTTCAATCGACTCAGCTCGTCGACAACAGCAGCAAATACAACAACAACAGCAGCAGCAAAAGCAGCGGCAGCCACAATTCTAATGCAAAAATCTCAGACAACAACAATTAATCATCGCTACAACATTAACATTCCCCAGGAGAATTTTTTGTAAACCCTCTCGCCCCCCTCCCTCTCCCCCAAACCATCTCTTTCACTCTCGCAACAAGATCTTTGGCATTCACACAATATATATATATATATATTCCATTTTATTTTATATACCAAAAGCAAAAAAAAAAACAAAAAAAAACTGGACAATTGAAATTTCTGGACTGTACATTCAATATACCCTATATACATGCATAGAAGGGATCCAATGCTCAAGAAAACGTTACACTAAACTACAACAACGTTGCTGCATTTATCGATAACTTATCGATGGCACTTTCCCAACACCCACCCCTCCATATGCACTTGTCGCTTTTGTTTAATATTTATATTCAACAAAATCTAAGCTTAGTAGAAGCCTTAAAAAGTCAGACCTATATGCTATATATATATAATCGATCTATTTCAATATATATATAGTTCGGTAGCATGTCTTCCAATGCATACAAAAAAAAAAAAAAAAAAATACAAAAAATACAAAAAAAAAAACTAAAAAAGGAAAAGAAGAAAACTTTAATTTATTACTACATTTTATGTAATAAACAAATGTTGTGTATATATTTGAGTTGATTTTTGATAAAAGTCTAGCGATAGCGATAACGATACCGATAACGTTACGAATGATATATATGATATGATATGATATACCTCTAAAGTTGATGTGAAAACAACACCAACAACAATAACAAAAAGCAGCAAAAGTAAACACAACAACAAAAATTTTATGAAATTATTATTATGGTTTTTTTTTATAATTATAATTACTTAATTGTTTAAATTCCTGCTGATTTTAAAAAAGAAAGACAGAAAGAGCTAAAACATAATTTATTTTCATATATGCATACAACAACAATTACTGTTAATAATTTATGAAACCGACACACACACATACACACACACACACACAGCCACACACAGCCACACACACAAACACACACACAAACACACACACAAACACACACACAAACACACACACAAACACACACACAAACACACACACAAACACATACACAAACACACACACAAACACACACACAAACACACACACAGACACAAACAGACAAAAACACATTTTTTGACCATTGATAATTTTATTTAATATGCTATATATTCATATTCATATTCATATACATATATCTGTATGTGGTACGAATATATAATAATAATTATAATAATAATAATATCGTTTATTATATGCAAACATATACATACATATTGTGTATATATATATTTTTATAATTTATTTAAACGTACGTTTCTATATATTATATTTTTTTCTTCGGGGTGCAGTTATTAATTCGTAGTCTTATACAAAGCAATATTTATATATACAAATATTTACATATTTACAATATTATATAATGTAATAAACCAACAACTATTTAAACTATTTATAATGGCAAAGTAAAACGATTAACGATTAACGATTACGATCAATGATAAATGATCGCACAACAAACATGGGAAAAAACAGTGTGCGAAATGTGTTCAAAGTCGTCGATTTGCATTTGCCTTTTACTTATTGTTCTTAGAAAAGGAAAGCACAAAACAAACTGAGTACAGTGTTAATAAATAATAATAATAATAATAATAATATAATTAAGAGTTTTGCATATGCATGAGAAAATGTTTAAGCCTTAAACAGACTATGTTACGCGCTATCTTAAAGCAATCAATTAATTAATTAAATTATTATTACCTTTCTGTAAACATTTTTACGAGTTGCCTTTAAACATTAGCTGTACACATACACATACATACACACACACACACACTATACATATATATATATATATATATATATACAAATGTGAATTACCAATCTGTTAAATTAGTTTATATAAAAAAATATCAAACACAAAACACAAACTACAACAAATCGAAAGAAACGCAAAACTCTACAACTAATTCAAATATTAAATCCCTAATTTATTATTGTTTTTTTTTTTAATGTTTTTTTTTTTTAATATTTATGTCAAATTAATGAAAATGACGAACTACTAAGTTAGAAAACATCTTGAAAATGGGGGTTAATTCTCAAAGTGCCTTAAACAATAATTTTATACAGAAAAAAAAACTAAAAATTAAACACAAATAAGACAAAAAAGGAAAGAAAAGGAAAGGAAAGGAAATGCACATGTATAGATTAAGTAAAAAAAAAATAAAAACAGAAGAAAAAAAAAACAAAACGAAACGAAAAGAAAAAGGAAAGGAAAGAAAGAAAAAGTGCATGCAGCATATTTATTATTTATTATATTATTTTTTTATTATTATTTTTTATAATTATACTATATATATTTTTTGGTGTGTATTTAACTATGAGAAAGGTTACCTTTACGTTCTATCTCTTATCTCTTATTTACTGCTATACACACACACGCATACATTTTATACACCATATATACATACATATATGTGCAAATATTTCAACTTAATTTTAAACATTATTTAAGTTCGCGCTTTGGTTCTAAAAAAAACAAAAAACAAAAACAAACAAAAAAACACGTCAGCTCTTCCCTTTGAAACGAAATGAAGCGAACTTTGAACAAAAGAAAAAAACAAAAGCAAATCTGTGGCCTTTCAAAATAAGTGCAAAATCTAAAACGACGTCTTCCCACAACTTGATCGATAAAAATGGCAATCGATGGCAAACTCAAGTTTCGTCAGCTAATAATTCGATTAATCAGATGCCAGTTTTTTTTTTTTTTTAAATATATACACAAATTTTCGTTTTTCATTTGATAAATTATGTTATTATTTTTTTTTTTTGTACAGAATTCACAACATACATGCCTATATTTAAATACACTTTCCATGTACAAAAACTATACAAGAAACATCGAAAATGACAAAAATGTAAGAAGAATTCGTATCAACAAATACATTTTACTGTACTATGAATTTTGCTCATGTTGCAAACAGTTATGCTTCCATTAAACACTAATTATATGCGTGCGTATTCTTATTTAGTTAATTAAATACATATGTGAAGAAACAACAATTTAGTTTATGGCGAATCTTAAGTTGATTAGCATTTAAAATAAAAACGTTACAAAAATAAAAAGAAAAAAACAAAAAAAAAGAAACTTGTTTTAATTTCCATGATTAATTTTTCTGTCGGTTCTCAACGTTTGACGTGATGCATACTTTTGTGCGAGCTCTGCTTTTGAGCGAAAATTTCCGTTGCATACCTTGAGGCGGGACATAGATAACCTTTACGTTGCAGTCCAAAGATGGCGCCACTCTGCTGGCAGTTGTGAGATATCTAGAACTAGTAAGTAGTGCTTTAACTCGGCTATATTCTGATGTACTACAAAAGCATATACATTTTTGAGGTCGCATTCAAGAATTTTCTGGATTCGTCGTAATGTGCCTATTTAAAGGTCTATCCGGATGTGCCGCAGAGCTGAATAAAGCAATGCAATGGAGGAAAGTTCTTTAAACAGCGGAAATATCGGTCGTTTTTTTATTTAAAAACAGAAAGTTGATCGTAACTCGACCATTTCACTACGGATTCTGGCTAGTCGTGTGTCAAATGATTTGGTTTGAACAAGACTACTCACTGGGTGAGAGTGAAATCTTAACAAGTATTTCACTACCATACGAATGGGCGGGCTTTGGACAGTTTTCTTAAATGTGTCTTTTTTGCATTTTTGCAGTATCCCTTTCAGCGTGCGTGGGACATGCAGAGTTTCTCAACTGTCCAGGAGATGGCGCCACTTTATATTCGCCTGTGGCAATAATTGGATTCTTGATCGTTTTAAAAAGTACATACAAAGTACTGCAAAATAAGTACATTAAATATTGTAAAGTATAATTTTAAAGGTAAAATATATAATAATTTAAAATATGAAAGCTCTCTCTCTCTCTCTCGTAATTAAATTATATATACAAACATGATCGTTTATTTTGAGTGCTTTATTAGATCTGACTCTTGTGTCCTCTGATGGAATATATACCGTTCAATGCACCTTGGCCTCGATCATTAGTTTGAGTGCAAGGGTTGAGCTGAATGCATTAGCGATTTGTAATAACTGGTCTTAAATTATATATATGTACAGCTTGGCAACTAGTTTGTTTGCCTAAAAAGAAAATATGAAATTAAATGTCTTGCTTTCTGCTATTATCTATAAGTATTAGCGACTATATAATTAGGTCTACGTATTATGGTTATTTACTGCATACATATAAGTATGAGCTAGAATCCCCCCTAGACCCCAATTCTCCACTATCTATCTACTTACTATCCAATTTCACAATGCTTCTTGACTTTGGCATCGGTTTTGGCTTTTGCTCTTCTTGCCTTATTCCATTTTAGATATGTACACGTGACACGATTTAATGTGATGCCTTATCAATTAAATAATTAATCAATTAGTTAATTTACTTAATGTCAACTAAAACATTTAAAATTAATCTCAATAGGACAAATAATAAGAAATATGCATAAGATTTCTGCAATATATCATAATTTACACTTGGGTATTTTTTGTAAACAAATAATTGAATGCTTTTGTGCTCCGTGCTTCGTTTCTAGTCGTGTCGTGTCGTGTTGAGAAAAATAGACACTTGGCGCATCTCTAAAAACTTGTGCTGTGGATTTGCCGTTGACTTAAACGTTTTTTAGTGACGCTCGAGTTATTGTTGCTAGTAGTTGCTACTTATTGTTGGTATTGTTATTGTTATTGTTATAGTTGTCATACTATTTATTTACTGTTGTTTTGCTGTTTTTGTTGTTGTGGTGTGGCGACAGTAACTTCTTTTGCGGCGTTTTCTAAACAAACCACCTGTGGCTTACCTTTGGCCCAGCCCCGTGTGGAGAGGGGATTTACGTCAATGGCGAAAGTCAAAAGGTGTCCGCCCCTCAACCAACCCCTCCCCCCAACCTTCGTTGCGGCTGTAATTTTAACAGTAGAATGAATGTGTAGAAAGTGAAAGATCTTCTTTACGTAAATACGAGTCCAAAAAACAAGACTAGTGCAAACCTGTATCTAAATCCTCAATCCGCAGTGGCGAAAGAAAACAAGTCTCATTTCGAATTTAGGTCGAGTTCCTGGGATGCGTATGAAGAGAGCCGAGAACCAAGAGCCAAGAATGCAATGCGGCAAATGCGGCAAGCAGTGCATAATTCAAATTAAACGTTGCATTTGCGCAGCGAAAAACAAGTCCGAGTGCTGTAGTGGAGTGAGCTCGACTGCGTTATACCCTGCACTCAGCTGTTAAATATATATATTTATTATAGTTTTATTCTTAAATTTCAACTTCAAAACAATTGCACACCCAAATGTGAGCAAGTCTGCAAGTGTAAGTTAAAAAAAAACAGGCCCAACTGAACACAAAATGAACTCGCTTGCGACAAATGCGTGCATACATCAATAACGGGGCTCTGCAGAATACACACACACGAGAACATATTGAGGCTAGCGTCGAATATCATGTCATCCCTTTCTTACACACGCAAGCGCATATATTTTTATACACAGAAATGAGATCAAAGTGAGAATCCATTTTCGACTATAGCTTGGCTGTTTCCTATAGGATCTTGATGAAATTTGCCCAGTTGATCAGTAATATGTCAGTGAGTATTATATATAAATAGGAGGCGTCTTCTGCCGTATTGCTATCATAAATCGAAATGTATCGATATTCGAGAAACGGAGGCAGTTATCGATCAAAATAAAGCAAACTTCATCTGAAAGCTTCTTTGCTAAATTTGAAGTCTCTAGGTTTTTATAGTCTTATAGTATACCTTTTGCCTGCACAAAAGCCTTATAACCATTTTCAATACATCTATCGAATAAATATATCGAATGTGTGGTAATTTAAAAGCAATTGCAGATCAACTCGGATAACAGATAAAGTTGAACAGTTGAAAGTGTTTACGGCGACATTAACATAAAATGAACTGAATAAATTATATATAACGCTTTTCAGATATCCTTACATCATACACCTATACCTATACCGAATACTGTCATCTGTTGAAGGTGGATTGTCACGACGAGGCTCGCTCCGGTTGCTGGATTCTGATTTCATTTTAAGTAGCATTCAAAATATTGGTTGAGGTATTAGGTATTTGGACAGATGTATATATTTATGGAATGCCATAATCAAAACTGAAAAACAGGAAGTGCAAAACAGCGCAGTCATTTAATAGATGGAAACGCCTCAATTTATGCACGAATAGCTTCATGCACAAGATTTAAAGCTTTCTCATTTCATAGGCGGACTTTCTGTTGGCGTGTTGATAATTTGACACCTGTCAAAGGAAAACACATGCGAATTTGGCTGTATTATCATCAGTGCTATTCCATATCAAATATGCAACCATATTTTTAGCTGATATTAATAATAAATAGTGCTTTATGTGATAAAAAATGCATTAAGAATTTAAATATTTAACAGAACTTTTGAATGTTAACATGCTAAAGTTATGTTAATGTTATGCTAATGTTATGTTATATGTTAATGCACTTAGAGATATTCCGTTCATAAGGATATAGGATATATATGCTTGAATTATAACATTAGTTTTGAACGAAAATTACATTTCGATAGCTAAATGCAGTATTATTTGCAAGTCAAGTTTTAATTGAAAAATTATGGACTGGCAATTCTGAATAAAAGCTGCGACTGACGATGAGTAATGTGAGGCACTAAAGACTTTTGCACCACTGTGCAACAGTGTCATCGTTGATTGTCATCTATGATTAGATCGACAATTTGCAATGCTTCGATGATTTGTCGACAACAATGAGGCAGCCAGAACATTGGAGATCGCTCCACATGCAGATGGAAGAGGAGACTGAGGAGGCGATGGAGGCGGCGGTACGAATACCGCTTACAACGTTTAACGTGTGCCGAGGTACTACACTGGCAAAAAAACTTCGCTCTCATTTTTCAGTTGTAAAAACTGTTTGCATATCAACTTTTAGAAATACATATTATATATATATATATATATCCTTGTAGACCGTAGTTAATCGGCTGACATTTAAATCCAACAAGCTTATACCGAAATTCCCTTAAAACTGAGCAAAAATCGGGGTACATCGACTCGACTGCCTGATTAAGAGTATACAATATACTTTACGGACTTGGAGACGTCTCGTCTTCTTCTATGCAAAATTATAACAAGGCAAATCAATTATAAATTAGAATTAGAAACTGTCGATAATTCCAAAAAGCTGGTACAAAAAACAAACCAGTTTTTGAGAGTTATTTTCTAATTTGAAGAAATTGCGTTTTCTAGAAACTAGGTGTTTCAGTTTCTGCATTCTGAGTGTAATAATACTTAAGAGATGAAGTAGCAGCAGCGAGCGACATCTTCACTCAAACGTTACGGGCAAAAGTCAAGCAGCCGAAACTCGCCACTATTGGGGGAGACTATTTGGGCTTTGAGTTTCTCCTGCTGTGCTCTGTGTGTGCTCTGACTATCTAACTCTCTGTCTGTCTGTCTCTTTGTCTGTCTGTCTGTCGGTGGATTTGCTGGCTTCTTAGTGGGCACGATGTTGTTTTCATTTGTCAGCCAGACGCGTAGTGAAGCGGTCGCGTTAATTCCAAGAATCCAAGAATCGAGTTTTGTTTTTAGATATATATATATATATATATATATATATATATATATATGTATATATATATATGTATGTGTATATTTATGTATTTATATGTATTTAAATATATTTACATATGCCTACATTTCACATAGTCGTGAAGCTGCTAATGCTGCGCCTGCTGCTGGCCAGTCTGTCGGGTCTGTCGGGTCTGTCGGGTGCGCCGGGTGTGCCTTTGCCAGGCATTATGGCTTATGACTTTGGCTATCACCCCAGCGCCGAGGAGTTTGACAGTCTGCTGCGTGAGACACGCAGCTGGACACGCGACCAGCTGGCGAACGGGCGTCGTCGTGGGGACTTCTTTGTGCCCCGCTACAGCTATAGAGAGCCGGCGAATCCTCAATCCGAGTTAAACTTTCAGCTATTTGACACTGATGACATTGCAGAGGATCAGCAACACGATCAGCAACAGCAGCAACCATTTGTCTATGAATTGCCACAGATGGAGCCATCGCAGCAGGTGCAATCGAATCTGATTATGATTCATGATAATCCAGCCGAAGCTGCAGCAACAACAACAGCAGCAGCAGCAGCAACAGCAACAACAGCTGAAGCAACAGCAACAACAAATGACAGCAGTTTACCCATATTCTTTACAAATCCGGCAACTGGCATTGTTTATGCCATCAGCGAGGTGGGTCGCCACACAAAGTCGCCGGGCAATGGCAACGATAGCAATGCCATTGAGATTTATGTGACCAAGGCGCAATACGATGCGGATCTGCTGGCATTGCAACAGCGCTACGAACAGCAGTGTGCCCCAATTCAAGCCCAATCGCAATCGGTGCTGTCAACGCCCAGTTTGAAGCGTCCCGTTTCGAGTACAGCACGTCCGCAGATAATTCGCTTGCAGCGTCCTAAGAAGCCACAAGTTGCAACATCAGCGACATCAGCGAGCGGCAACAACAAGTTGATCCACCGCCCGCCACCCGTAATGGTGGTCAGCAGCAATGCGTCCAGCGTAAGCGATCAACTGTTCAAGCTGCCAACGATCAAGAAGACCCCGATCCGGACCAGAACGACGACCACGTCCAGGCCCAAGCGCAAGCGTAAGAAAAAGCTGAAGAAGCCAAAGACGCCAAAGCGACAACCTGGCCACAAGTTGCCGGCAACAACAACAACAACGGTGACAGGTCCACAAATTGTGCTGGGCAAGCGAACGACGACCCAAAGACCAACGACGACAACAATAACAACAACTGACCAACACCAACTGGCCACGCAGCTGGAGAAGCCGCACATGCCACAGCCAACAAGAGTTGCAGTGGCTGCTGCCAACGGCAACATATTCAACGACCAGCCTTTTGTAGTTTCCCATGGCTACATTGAGTTGCCAGCGGTGCATCAACCACGACGACGACGACGAAGACGCTCTGTGGAGCCGGCCAGAAGATTGGTGGAGTCCGTGGGCGCCAGACCCATCAGCAGTGGTCGGCCAAGGAGCAGTGGTCGGCGGCGGAGCACCGGCAGGAGCAGCAGCAGCAGCAGCAGCGGCAAACGCACAAACAAGCGGCAAGGTTCAACGGTGACGGTGCCACCTGCTCCCGGCACTGGTGGCAGTGGCTATCATGCACCACATGCCGTCCACCTGCTCCATCGCCAGCATAATGGCAGCGACGAGCATCGGGAAGTGGGTCGCAGGCACAGCTCCGAATCTTTGGGTTTTGATCTAATCGATTTTATAACTGGTGATGATGATGATGATGATGATGGTGATTATGATGATGATGATGACAATGTTGTGGTAAAGATTAAAACTGCGCTGAAGAAGAAGAAGAGGAAGGAGCAGCATAAGGAGAGCAGCGAGATGCAATCGGGCGTTGGGCAGGAGAACAGCAGCTCAGCGGAGGAGAGTGCCGACTTTGGTGCAATGGAGGAGTTGCCAATGGGCAACAATATCACAAATACCACAGGCGTGATGGAGACGCAGTCGAATGAGGTAAAGCAGCCGACGGAGGCGGACTCACTGGAATCGCTGGAATTGCAGGAAACGCCATCAAGCAGCAAGAATAGCGTAAGCAAAAAGCGCATCAGACGACGACCAGGTGGCGATGAGTACTACGACGATGATGAGGGGGATGATGATGAGGAAGATATGGATTCCGATGCCGATTCCTATTCGGATACGGGCATTGGCAGCTTCTTTCGCATGATCTTCTATCCGGTGCAGGTGGCGATGGCGCGCATCTTTGATGGCTTCGCGGGCCAGTCGGATGACGATGTGGCGCCCACAACGCAACCCAAATATCCCAGCTATACACTCTATCACAGTAACAATGCACTGGCCGACGAGGATGATGATTCCGATGGGGATGCGGATGAGGATGATGAGAGTGGCTCACTGAGCGGCTGGCTTAGCTCCTGGTTTGGGCTGCGGCGACGCACTAAAAGGATTGGCAGCACCACAACGATGCCAGCGACACTGCCAACGCCAGCACCGCAACAGGCAACCAAGGAGCCAGCCGGCTGGCTCGAGTCCTGGTTCGGATTTGGCAAGACAACAACAACTGAATCATCCAGCGAAGAAACCGACTATGACAGTAAGTAGATACAATTATATCTTGCAGATACACAGTTCACATAGACCTACACTAAGTTGGTTTGTCATATTTCGAGTACCTTTCGAACCCACCTCATTGCTCAACTTAAATGGCAAAAGACAAGTACTTTTGTGGATACACCCACATGTACTATATATAATAATGAATTGTTCTAACTGTAGCTGGTCTGTGTAGAAACCAGAATAGATCAATTGCCAATTAGAGTTCCCAATACTCTCGCCTAGAAGTTGTTTCACGCTTTCTACACACTCAGAGCACCTACTACCAGCTACAGTTGCGGTCCAAATAATAGTTCTAGTGCTGCTTCTCAAAGCATTTCATAAAAATATGACTCATTTTATGGTGATCAAATCGAGACTTCTTCAAAATCTTCAATATGAAGAAGCATATCGTTGGGCAATCAAAAGAAGTTTGGGTTTCTCATCTGGGAATGTTTCAAAATACAATTTTTTTCCAAATACGAGTTTTTATCATATCTAGTTTTTAGAAAGGGAAATCTGAGAAAATTATAATAATAACTTATAATTTCTGAACTATATTTCAAGTATTTTTTTTTGCTCAGCATTTTCCAAAAGAGATGTGAGAACTATTATTATTTTAGCCAAAGATTCATGATATACTCGCTCTCTACTCTATCTCTCTCTCCTTCTCTCTCTCTCTCTCGCTCTCTTGCAGAGTGGTTTGCTGGCTGGTTTGATACGACGCCCAAGCCGAAGGCACGTCGTAAAAAAACGACGACAACGACGACAACAACGACAACGCTACCGACGCCGCAGGTGCCAATTTTGACGATTGTGGATCCGTTGCGTAATCCACAGAACTGGATTGGTATATTGGCGCATCACATTGTGAATGCAACGGGCAATGGTGGCACCTCAAGCACAACCAGCAATCCGCTGCTGCAGGCCCTTGTGACGCGTGTCACCAGTCAAACAACGACACCAACAGCAGCAACAGCAACAACAACAACATCATCGGCACATCGGGATGGGATGCCACGAAGGATTAGCTACGATAAGTATCAGATCTGGCGACTGAAGCCACAGGACGAGCCCCAGCTACGAGCACTCGAACAGTTTAAGAAGGGCGAGGATGGCAACAAGCTGCAGTGGCTGAAAGGACCTAGCCTAAGGTGCGTCCTCTGCATATCTCAATTTGTTTATTTTTGTTGTTAATCAATATGATAATGTTTAATGTTTAATGTTTAATGTTTAATGTTTACTCAACTAATAGGGGACTCACCGATGTGCTCGTGCCGCCAAAGATGCTGGTTGACTTTCAGGGCACACTCGATTTTGAGAAAATAACGCACGAGGTGCTCATCTTTGACGTGGGCAAGGCGATCGCGTATGAGCGCAACAAGGACGACTATATGTATCAGAGGCCCACGGTCACGAGGAGACCCACTAAACAGCCGGTGGCAGCACCGACGATGACCTGGAACAAGTACTACGATCACGATGACATACTCAAGTATCTAGAGACGATGCGTATGCGGCACACACATCTCGTGGAGCTGATACACATTGGTCGCTCCTACGAGGGTCGGCCGCTGATCGTCGTCAAGATCGAGTCCAAGCAGATGGCTGCGGCGGCCACAGCCGCTGCTGCTGCCAGCCACAAGCGTTTGAAGCACAAGCGTCGTTCCGGACGCGCCAATGCTGTGTTCATTGAGGCCGGTGCCCAGGGTATGGCCTGGATTGGACCCGCCTCGGCTACATGGATGATCAGCGAACTGTTGCGTTTGATGCGCACAAACAGTGAGTAGAAACCACCCAACAATTGAGAACGTTGCCCGACTGCGCTATACTCTGCTACCCAACAGAATACAGGATGCGTGTAGCCAAGAAATACCCAACTTTGATCAAGGCTCCAGCCTCTGAACACCTTCTTCTGTATCAGAGCACAAACATCCTAATCTGTTTCAATTTGTGGTGTTTAGCTTAAAAAGAGGGTGTCATTGTCTCGATATGCATATTTTTCGCAATGTAAACTATACAAATTTGATGGGTTCTTTTTAGATTTGTACTTTAATATTACTGTTTGCAGTTAATATCAAATTTTGATACGTTTCCAAGTAATGGCCTTGTTTTATGATCGACAAAGGAAGCGGTTGACAAAATCGCTCAACCAGATGATCCATGTTGGGGGCTGTTTCATTTCCATGAGAAGCGCACTGCGCCGCAAGTTATTGAAGATCTTGCGACCCTGGCAATCCGAATAACTGCGAGCTCCTCTCGACTTGTCCTTGTTGGATTGTTTCTGCTGTTGTTCTTTGCCCAGCACTGGCAGCATTGCTTTTATTTTGGCAAAGATGCTCAGCTTGATTTGATTGACACTGGTCGATTTGCTGGGCTGCTTGCACTTGCTGCAGCTGAAGATTGGGGAGACGCCACCGGGTTGCGTGGACAGTGTAACGGTGCACGCCAGTATTAGCAGGGCAAGCACAATACCAATGGCCATGTGCACACTGCGATCGGCATGGATCAGGCTGATCAACAGCTGGACTAGATGATAACCCAGCGTCAGCCAGAATGCGATCGTGCAGATGGCAAAGAAGCTGCAATTTTCAAAACATCAAAAATTTGATAATAATATAAATACACAAAACTGCAATATGAGAATTCTACACGATCGAAACAATATGCTGGAAATGCGAGCATTTCACTTTCTGAATAATATGGAAAGGTGATGAGTGCATTGAGTACTTACACCAGTATGCCCAGCACCTCCAAGAGGCAGTTGATGAACATATTAATGTACTCGTTGCTGCAAACTTGAATTCCGACAGTGCCACCGAGTTTGACGCTGCCACTTTCGCTGTCGATGGCCACTTTCTTCTTGCAGACGGGGAAGCATTCGGTGTCGATGCCGCAACGTTTGTCGCACGTTGCATGCTTGCTGCACGTGCCACCGCTGGCGGCATTCAGCAGACCCTTGTTGCCCCTCAGGTGAACGAGCAGGCCCAGCGTGTCCCTACCAAAATCCTTATCCATCAAGCTACCATAGTCCACGCTATGGAGGCAGCCGCTTGTCAGCGAACGCGACTCGGACTCATCCCGGTGGCTTAAATTACCGAAGCTCGATTCGCGGCCGTAGCTTGCAGAGCCAAAGGCGATGGCGCGAAAGCCACTGGGTTGCATTCCCGATCCCATTCCTGGGCCTATTCTAGAGCCCATTCCTGTAGACATTCCAGAACCCATTCCTACAGCCATTCCTGGTCTCATTCCCGGACCTCTGCCTGGACCCGTTCCTGGTCGTATTCCTGCCGCGGCAAAGCATTGACAATTTTCGGTCTTTTGGGCTGGTCCCCAATTCGATCCCGTTGCCGTTCTCGTTCCCGGTCCTGGTCCTGGTCCTGGTCCCTTGCCAGCGCATCCCTTATAGTTGTCCATGGGCCGACCAATTGGCACCCCATTAATGCGTTTGCCGCAAACGCCCGACTTGCTGTCGGCAATCGATTGATTCCGAACATTTCTCAGATCACGTGCCCGATCCTGGCACTTCTTGCATGGACAGGGCATTGGAGCGGGACGCGTTGCCACGCTCGGGCTCATCATCGCTGGTCCTGGCTTTGTGCCCATGCACTGGCACTTGGCCGTCGACATTGCTCGCAGCTCGCAACACAGATTTCACGTGTTACTTTTTGTTGTCCGGAATATTATTGTACAAAATTTGGACCTAAAAACAGCATCGACAAATTTAGGAATTTAAATTGTAGTCGGGTGTTTTTTTGAGCTCATCCAAATACATACTCGATTGGAGACGTTTTCTACATGTTAACAAAAGCACATATCAATTGCCGGATATTCATCAAGTATTCCGGGTACAGTGATTTTGAAAGCAATCCCATTCAATAGATGGGTTCTTCAGTCTTTAACTTTGATAAAAGAAATAAATTAAGGTTATTTTTTGTATACTCTGATACGGATGGTATTCAGAGTATATTGGTACTTTGAAATGAGCCTTGAAACTTTGTACATAAGCTGGTCAATATTGGGGTGCTACGTCCACCTGAAGGCTAGGATATGGATAAAATCGATAATTGCAATTGCGCATATCTTTCACAATTTGTCGAGCCACCAAATTTGAAAAGTATATTAGTAGTAACATCCTTCAACAGGCGGAGGGTAGATTACTAGAAACCTCCTTGAAAAATGGGTATTTCTTGGCTACACACAGCCTCTGTTTTGTGGCACCAGATCTTATCAGATGGAATTACTTTGTTTTCTCACTTGTTTTAATTTGATTGTTTTGCAGAGACCGATGAGGAGCACGAGATTATACGGAATACGACGTGGTACATAATGCCCGTGCTAAATCCGGATGGATACGCGTTTAGTCATGAGTACGATCGCTTCTGGAAGAAGTCGCGTTCGCAGCATGTGGCAAAGGCGCCAGCGGGATTGTTGGGCTCGGCGATGACGTGGCTGCAACAGAAGCGGCCTAGTGACAAGATCTGCTATGGCGTCGATCTGGATCGCAATTGGCTATATCAATGGGGCAAGCGGGGCAGCTCCAAGGCGCCCTGCAACGAATTCTATGCCGGTCCATCGCCCTTCTCGGAGCCCGAAACGAAAGCGGTGTCCGACTTTCTCATGGATTATCGCACACAGATCAAGGTGAAGTAAAATCCACGAATCCATCAATTATTGTTATTATTATTATGAATAGACCATAGACCGGTGAGTATCCTAAGACCTGGTCTGGTGCCTATTCCCAGATTAATTATTTTTCTGGTACCATGAGGAGACTCCCTCGCTATATAATTATTATCCCTTTGATCCGGAACTAATACCGAAGCACGATTCTCGTTTTGCAGATGTACATTTCGTTGCAGGCCTATGGCCAGGTGGTATCCTATCCGGTCAAAGCCAATTCTACATTCAACACGGAGCGCATGGATGATTTTCTGGACGTGGCCATGGTGGGCAGCGATGTGTTACGCAAGAAGGGCAGCAAAACTCGCTACAAGGTCGACTCCTCCAACGACCTGATTGAGCAGCGTTCGGGTATGTTCACCCCACAATCATGTCCAATATCAATCTCAATCTCCTACTGCATTTCTGGCCAGGCTGTTCGGATGCATTTGCCGCATATGAGATTGGGATACCATTCAGCTTTACGCTCCAGCTGGCGGACAATGGTGTCCATGGCTACCTATTGCCCAGCGGTGCCATTGAGGCAACTGCGCGGGATGCCTTCGATATAATTAGCGGCATGCTGGACTACATCTGAGTCCAGCTGGTGTGGTGCACATGTAAATACCTGTATACACATAAAATATACAATATACAATATACAAAATACACATACAGTTGCGGTCAAGATAATAGTACGTGTGCTCAATTTAAAAACTTCGACTTTTGTTGCTAATCATTTTACAGCTATGCCATCATTAAATGTTTACTTATCTTCTGTAATGATCGTGTTGCTTGTCTTCAGATACATTTTTTTTTACATTTTCTTTTCAAATTATTTTGACCGCAACTGTATATGTATGTATATATATATATATATATATGTATATATCCAACTAACGTGAGTTCCTTTCTCAACTGCTTTCCCGATTGCATCCACATCCGCAAAACTATGATATATGATATATATTTAATATTTTTTTTATTTTTTTTTTCATATTATAATCGTAATATTTATAAATGTGAAATTAGTGAATAAAAATGCCTAATTTTTAACGTAAATAGTGCAGTCGCAGTCGAATTCAGTTGCACACTCAAATACGTGCACAGCTTGATCCAAAAAACGAAACGCTTGCCAATGCCAAAGACGACGCTCCTTGGCGCACTCAGCACCCGATGCGCTAATCAGACACCTCGCCCCCAAACATTTTATTATCCAGCGCAACTCCAACCAAATCATCCTTGGATATCAACTCAAAGTTGCACGGCTGCATATGTGGTATCTCGTGTGCTAGGTTGTAGGTTAGGCGCTCCAAGACAGCCGTTTTGGCCACTTCCATTCCAGATGAGACCCTCCTCCTCGATGTGTGTCACCCAACACGAGAATAACTCATTTTCTGGCGGCTTTAACAACTCTTGCCACTCCAAGCTCAATTTACGCATCTGATTCGGATTTGGAGCATTTGGGGCAGCAGCATCCATTTTCCTAGTTGCGTTACTTCTAACAGCAGCCGGCATCGATTTCATGGACTTTAAGGAAATAGGTAGAGACGTTATTTTGCAAACATTGCAGACATTGTTGCAATAAAATTCTTCGCAACGCTGGCACATCAATTTCGTTGGAATGCCACATAATGTGCATTACTTTTCATTATCTTAATAGCAAACTTTAGAATTCTTCAGAATGCGCAACAGAAAAAATATAGCTAGTTTATGGTAACAATGTATTTTGGACGCATAAAATTCGCAACTTTTGCTCTGTTTAAAGGCACGTTATTCCATTTAGTAAATTTCGTATCTGGTCACACTTGCTACCTATCGACAAACACCGATATATCGTGACAAATCGAGTCACATACAACCGTGCTCATATGCCAATGTGTTGAGATTTGTTCATTACTGCATTAAAAACCGGAGAAATCAAACGAAATAAAATGGATCAACCGGACGCTGAGCCGACACGTAAGTGAATACAGTTAATAATCGTACTTTGTTTGCACCAATTATATACACTTCACAGTGTCCGCATCGCAAGTGATGCGCCAATTTGTTCAATACATCAGCGAGGATGGAATACGCAGAGAGCTGGCCGATGAATGCATTCTCACCTTGATTGGACGCACCGTCAAAGGTGCCTCAGCCGTAACGAGTTTCCTAACTGGTCGCTACAAGCATGTCGGCTTTGTCGATGCACATCCCTGCGATGCTGCTCGAGTCTCGTTGCTCAAGGATCGGTATGCGCGCAGCTTTGAAGTGCTCCGACGCCACCAAAGGGAAGCGAAACCAAATATTCAATTACCACACACATTGCGTCCTCGTGCCGAAAGTATTGATGATCCTGCTGCTGCTGATGATGATGATGATAATGATAATAATGTTGTACAATCATCGATATCGCGTGTGGGCGCCGAAATCGTTGATCAAGTTAACGTTGATGTTAGCTACTCCGAGCAATTGGCGACACCTCCGCGTACCCGAACGCATTTGCATTACATTGAATCCGTTGGCGTAATTGAGCCATGTCATCAGGCAGACGACGGTGGTGGTTTCGATCAATCGACCGATGCACTTGAGGTGACCCTGACGCTGGGCTATCAACATTGCAGTGGTGAGGGGAGCGCTGAAATTTGCCTGATTGTCTACAAGAAGTTTAGGCCAACAGCACGGACAACACCAACGGCAACGGGTCATTTGAGGACTCATTCGCGAATGCGGACTACACTCACGCACAATGTGCACACGGATGATGAGGGCGATGTGGTGCCAGCACCTCAAACTGTACGTCGCACACTCTTCACCAGCGCCGACAGCGACGATCCCGATAATGATATTGCAATTGTATCGCTTCGGTCACAAACGCCCCGCAAGCGATACTATAAGAGTCCTCCGGATGTGAAATCCAAGCGACTCAACTTAGGTGGCGGCATGCGCTTCTAATCTAAACAATCGCATCACACAAAACAACACTAAACGCATTATTATCTTAGTCCATATACACAGTACAAGTGGTGCCCATATTGGGCAGATCTCTACTTGCGAAGACTGATTGTACTTATTGTATATATATATTTATATACTTTATTATTATTAATTTCGATGTACAAATATTTTTTTATTTGAAACCAACTTAGACACACACAACACACATAATTCAATTGTATTCCTATTATACAATTAGTACATATTCCAAAACATTTTAAATATGTTTTTTAGCAGCAGTAGTAGAGTGGTATAATTAGTACCCATATTTATTGTAATAATAAACGTCATTGCATTGCATTCAATTGTTAGCAGTTGCAATTGTTGTTTTTGGCTTAAATAAAATACAAATAATCTTCAAAACAAATATACGTTTTTCTCAAGGAAATCAAATGAAACTAGTTTAGTTCATAATTTTCAACAGATTTTGGTGGTTTAATAGGCGGCTTCGGCTGTGCTTGTAACGTCAAATTGAAAAATATATATGTATACTCGAGGCATAAACAATCCTTATCTTTAATTTAATATTTAACACAAATTTTATGGATTTCAATTTTATAATTTAAATTAAATCTTGTTCTTGTTACTTTACATCACATGCAGATCAGACAGCTTTTGTCTAGCATGTCGCTATGTTAACTCACGACACTAAGCAGACAATACAGTTTATCTGTTTAGTGCTGTTATGTATGCTTCGCAACTGCTTCGTCCCTGTTATACATAACATCACAAGCAAACCACACATCTTTTGTCTAGTGTGATGTTATGTTAACCTCGGTGTTTATATATATTTCTGCTAGGTCAAAAAAATTAATTAATTATTTTACTCTACGACCAATGCAGATCCCAGTAGCATGCAGAGCTTCTAGTCCAGTTTCTCTTTTGCTGGAGAAATCTCAGAGCTTAACATAGAAATTTGCCGGAGATGTTCATCAAAATCGAGTAGATTCCGATCTTCGATCACATGTTGTGCAGCACTGTTTGCGGTAAGAACAGCTGATTGTTACGCAAGCGTCGCAACAGGTTAAACGGGTCGACATTATAAAAATTCGTTGTCATCCGATTCAATTGGTATTCCAGTCATCCCAGTTATCTAGAAGACAAAGCCATGTTGCAAGCCACCCGACGGGAATTGTGCGCTCAGGCGCGTCGCTTGTACTCGAAAATGAGCAGCGATGTTGTTGTTGTGGCCGCAGCTCGAACACCAATCGGCAGTTTCCAGAGCCAACTGGCTCCACTGACCGCCACCCAGCTGGGTGCCACGGCCATTGAGGCGGCCATCGAGCGGGCGGGCATTGGCAAGACGGATGTGAATGAGGTGATCATGGGCAATGTGGTCTCAGCCGGCCTGGGACAGGCGCCCGCCCGTCAGGCGGCCATCTTTGCGGGTCTGCCGACAAACGTCTGCTGCACCACGGTTAACAAGGTATGCTCGTCGGGCATGAAGGCGGTGATGTTGGGCGCCCAGTCGGTGATGCTAGGCCAGTCCGATGTTGTCGTCGCCGGCGGCATGGAGTCCATGTCGAATGTGCCATTCTATTTGAAACGTGGCGCCACACCGTATGGCGGGATCAATTTGATCGATGGCATCGTACACGACGGCCTCTGGGATGTGTACAACAAGTTTCACATGGGCAACTGTGCTGAGAATACAGCCAAGAAGATGCAGGTTAGCCGCCAGGAGCAGGATGCCTTTGCCATCGAATCGTACAAACGATCAGCGAAAGCCTGGAGCGATAAGATCTTTGATCCGGAGATAGCACCGGTCAAGATTCAGTTAAAACGCAAACCGGAGGTGCTCGTTACCGAGGATGAGGAATACAAGCGGGTGAATTTCGATAAGTTTGGCAAACTGGCGACGGTGTTCCAGCGTGAGAATGGCACAGTCACCGCTGGCAATGCATCCACACTCAACGATGGCGGCGCCGCTGTCGTCCTCATGAGCGCCGATGCCGCGCAGCGTGCGGGCCTGAAGCCCTTGGCACGGATTGTCGCCTTTCAGGATGCGGAAACGGATCCTATCGATTTTCCAATTGCACCCGCATTCGCTGTACCCAAGCTGTTGGAGCGTGCTGGTGTCCGCAAGGAGGATGTCGCCATGTGGGAGATCAATGAGGCATTTTCACTGGTTGTGCTCGCCAACATACGCAAAATGGACCTTGATCCATCCAAGGTGAATGTCCATGGTGGCGCCGTTTCCATCGGCCATCCGATCGGTATGTCCGGTGCCCGACTCGTCACCCATTTGGCACATACCCTGCAAGCGGGTCAACTTGGATGCGCATCCATTTGCAACGGAGGCGGTGGCGCTTCCTCCATTCTCATCCAAAAGCTATAAAACCCTTAAGCAACAACAACAAAAATCTTTGAAGCCAGCATTGCATTTACATAAAACATGTCAAATTCGAATCGATTACATCACTGCAATCGATTCATTTTTATTGACTCCTTTTAGGCATTTCAATCGGAAATGTGTTGTATTTTTTTTATAGCATTTAATTGAAAATTGTGAGTTTGCATAATAAAATTATGAATGAAAAGCACATGTGATGAAGCCTTGAAAAGATTACTCCATTTCAATTTTTTTTACACTTATTTTCATTATTATTAGTTTAATAGTTTAATCAAGAGCGAGAGAGAGATAGTGAAGGAGTGTGTATTTTCTGCTGACTTCTATGGAACATAAATGCAAGTTATTGACATTCGATGCATTCATGTGCACAATTCAAATTCGATATGCACTTAAAGCCCTAATATTACAGCGTAAACAATAAAATGCGATCTCCTTTGTTTCTTTTTAGCATTGTACTTGAGAATGTTTGCTATAAGAACAAATTTTAATTGAGAGAGACTGTATTTTCTGGCAGTTGCTGCTATCGTTTAACGATAACATAAATGCAATTTTGTTAACATTCTGTTGCATTGCTGTAAGCGATTACAATTCGATACAATAAAAAACAATTAATTGTGTTGTCGCCAGCGCGCCGATATGAGCTCGCCAAGGAGGAGAAGCGTCGCCAGGAAGTAGAGGCCAGCCATAATGAAGTAGATGGCCCACAGATCTGGTTGCCGCAGCCGTTTATCCTGATAGGGGAGCAGCATGCTGCGAAAATATCGCTCGCTGCCCATTTGACCTGCCCAGTAGTGGAGCAGGCCTACCGATCGTATTGCGATGATTAGCTCGTCCAGACGCTGCACCAGATGCGAATGCTTCTGCAGATAGATGGCCAGCTGCTGCTCGACAATGTTCTGCGGCAGCACATAATACGCGCCACTACAACGCGAATGTTGCACAGCATGCAGCAGCGTCTGCTGCGACAGGATGCCAAAGATGCGCCGTGACGATGATGATGACTCCAATTCTTGCAACAATCGCAGCACATCCTGTTCGCGCTCACTGCTAATGATGACGATGCCAGCTGCACCTGCTCCTACTCCACCTCCACCTGCTATTCCTCCCTGCAGATCGTCCGCCGTTATGCGATTCATGACAGCCACATAGCCGCTCTCCGTCATCTCGTGCAGCGTGCGCGGCAATCGCTGATGGATATGGTGGCGCAGCATATAAAAGAATAACGCCATATACATGGCACGCAGCAGCTGGGTGCCGCACAGCCAATTGATGGAGAGCATTCGCTGTGCTACATTCCGCATGCCCGCATTCCCCAACGCCGGCTGTCCCCAAGCGATGGCCAGCACTGACAGCAGATCGCTTGTTCGTTCCGTGTGCTCCAGGCGCGACCACAACATCACACAGCCGGTGGCCAGCAGGCTGAGGAGAACGGCCAGCCAGGCGAAACTTTGGAAGGGGAATCCCAACAGTTGCAGACTCGTCAAATTGTGGGCATTCAGTGGCAGGCAGCCGACCAATCGGCTCGAGTAGTGTGGAAAGACCGCTGTCAAATTAAAAGAATGCTCCACACGCTTCCTCATATACCCAATGGCCAGGTGGGCGCGCTGCTCCTCGAGCTGTAAATACAAATAAAAATAATACGTTTTATATCAATTTGAAATCCTTTTCTTTTCTTTTTTTCTTATTCCTCACCAGTTGCAGAATTTGCTGCTCCGTGCTGTGATTCTGGACGAGATGCATGCTGAAATTCATGCGCCTGGCCAGCTCCTGTAGCAGTCGTTGCTCCAGCATAACAAACGGTACAATTGGACGCAGCAGTATCTGCAGTGGACATCCGTGCAGATTGTGCAGCTTGGCTGGAAAGTAAATGTTCTTCTCCCAGGCGATGCCCACAAATCGATTGATTTGCTGGACGGGAATGGCGCCACAATTTGTGGCTGCATACGGAAAATAGGTGTGCATCAGAATCTCGCCAGCAGCTGACTGCGTCATCACGTTGCAGTTGAGCAGCTGATGACGCCAACAATACTCGAATATGCCCCGCATCTCCACCTGGATGAGCGCGTCCCGCTGCTGCAGAAATATAAAATAATACTCGCTGCCATCGAGCTGCGATGTATACGTATGGATTTCAATGTCCCTGATCGAAGGAAGGCACCCACAAAAAAAAAAAACAGTAAATAAAAACAGCTCGTCAATCAAAATTATGATAATTATTACACACAGCAAGGCTTGCAGCGAATCGACGAGCAGCAGATTGTGTAAACGTGGACCGGGAATGCGACGGGATTGGTTATTGTGATCGTGATAAATCAATTGAAGGATCATGTTGTCGACGCTCTCGTAGAGCAACTGCATTATCTGGCGATAAAAGTTCCATGGACTGCGGCGACGACAGGAGATGATTAGCATAAAGGATGGCGCCATCCGCTGATAGAAATCGACAATAAAAACGCGCAGTGCACTTGCCACAAACTGATTCAATGCCAGCGATTGGGTTTGGGAGCCACGATATGCCATCGACTCAAACTGCAGCAGGCAACTGATGTTCATCATTCCAAGGAGTACTTGTGAGTGATTGCTGCTCCGATCTGGCCAAGCGCTGAACGTTGACTGTGACCTTAACTGGACTAACCGGACTTAGTTGCCAACGACCAGGAGTTCTCACATCCAATGCAAGGAGCATCATCAATCAATTGATAAACTAATGAGGCTCCTTGCTCCTCGGCCATTCATCAAAAAACAAACAATAACCAAAAATCAAAACCAAGAAGAAGAATAATTCTAGACGAGTTCGTCCAAACTCCAATAGCATTGAGCTTATATTTTATATTTTAGTATAAGTTAAATAAATAATTAAATAATGCACATATGTATACCCACATGTTCATATATCAATCATATATGTACACTTAGAAAAAAATAACATCATATTTTTGGGGTTCTGTAATTGTAAGAAAAATGTTTTCTTACATTTAGAAATTATATCTAAAAACAAGTACAAGTTGTTTTCCTGAGTGTATGCTCATTATGCCTAATTAAGGCACTGAATCAACAAAAAACTTTTTGTCAGCTGGAAGTTGACAGGCTGTAAGGTATATATATACATTGGACGACAATTGGGTATTCCACTTGACGCAGACTGAAGCAAGGGCCTTGACTTGGCTGACAGAATCTCTCTCGAAAAACTTAAAACCGATTTGTGTTAACTCCAGCAAGTCATCAAATTAAATTTAGAAGCCAGAAAAAAAATAAATAAAGAAAACAAAACACGTTAAAAGAAAAACAGATAATAATTGATTACATTGGAGTATTGCAACCGAACGTGGCCAGGAAGTTGATAGATGAGGAGAACATGAAGGGAGGAGGATGGTCATTTTATTGCCGCCCAACTGAGTGGTGCCAGGAGCTGCATGATGGATATACATTATGGCATAGCAAAAAATGCACACACATTTCAAGTATATAATTTAATAACAATAATATATATTTTTGTTTTTGATTTAACAGTTGCCAAAGCTTCAAGTAGGTATCGATACTTATGTATCGTTTTTTGGTATTTCTTGAGTGATCTTTTTTGGAGCTGCTTTTGGACATATCAATATATCGATATTTGTTGTGCACATCCCTAGTTAGCGCACCTCATGACGAGGTCCAACTGAAAAGAAAAACGCTGACTTTGGACAAATCAAACGGCGGTGAACAAGCGCGGACGGTAAACGCAAAGCGCAGGCAGCAACAACAATTGATTTAAAACGGCCAAAGCAATTGTGTGTGTTTTAAGCCTAAGACGCGCGTAGTACAACATTCTTGTTCGCCATAAAAACGCTTCGTCAACGCCATTGCAACTAAAAACCACCCTCGCGTCGCGCAATCGGAAAACATTTGTTTCTGTTCAGCAGCAGCAGAAGCGGGGTTGCTATTCTTTTTTTTTTTCTTCCACAAAATCAAATTTAACCGTTGTTTGGTGTGTTTTGCGCGTAAATAAGTTGAAAGTGGACAAGAAAACTTGCAATCAAAAAACGTGAGTGCATTTTTCTGGTGCAACGGTGAAATGGTGTGGAAAGAGCGTTAAGTTTTACCTTAATATGCCGTTGCACTATTTTCTAGCTGTACATTGTGTGTGCGTGTGTGAGTGTGTGCGTTACGTCTCTGCTTACCGCTTGCATGCATGTACATGTATGGGTGTGTGTGTTGATCGTATATGCAGCTGGTCGCTCTTTCTATCTCCATCTCTAACAGTGCGCGCGCTTGTGTGTGCACAATAAGAAAACAACAGCAACAGCAGCAGCGGCAAAAACAGTTAAGCGCAATTACTGCAAATTATTCGTTCAAATATTTAGTCAACAGCAATATCGGCTTTGCCTATTGTGAATGAATCCGAATCCTTGACATTATTACGATATCCGTTACGCCTTTGCAGAGAGGGTGTCTGTGTGTGTATTTCTATCGATTACTCGCTGGCTACTGCTCCTATTCTGCTCCTCTCACTCGCACTCGCACACACTTTCTAGCAGTTTTTTTTTGTCCGCCAAAAATGGGGTGACCAAATAATGATTTTTTTTTGTAGCTGTTCTTGTTGCTGTTGTTATCATTTTCCCACACACATAATCGCATACTTTGTTTCTGTGCTTGCCTGCTGATAAGAGTCCAAACCACAAGTGGAGACGGCGCAGACGGATGAAGTGTGTGCGTTTGATTAAAACTTGCCCCTTCTTCGTCTCTTTTCTCGTTCGGTTTATATTTATAGCCGTCAAAGTTCAAGTGCAGTACGTGTCTATTTATCGCTCTGTGGGAGCTCCAAGTAGGCTACAGGCAGCTGTTTGTGTTATGTGCCCCAGTTGGTGGTGGCTCCATTTAGAGTTAGTCAGTCGCCAGTTTGTGGAGTCTGGCGCGCCACATTATCTCAGCGTCTATAAATGTACGAGGCGTGGCAGCGACTTTACCCCTTGATGATGACCTTCGCCTTAAAAAAGGAAAAAATATAAATACCCCAAGCGACAACAAAACAAAACAAAAAAGTCAACAGCGCAGAATATTGAAGCAGCAACAGAAGATAACATTGAACATTGAAGAATTGAACACAGCAGCCGCAAACGATTTCTAAATTTCGATTACTGCCAGCTACGAAAATATTAATGACAGATACTAAGATAAGTTCATGTTGTGTGTGATAATGAAATCAAATCAAAGAGTTTTATTTATGGGTTTTGAACTTGAATTATTAGTTGATTTAAAATTAGAATATTGATTCATTGCTAAACTGTACAAATTTCATAAGAAACGCAGATTTTGTTAACCTAAACGTACTTTCATATTGAACAAACTGACATAATTACTTATTCAGCTTATTACCTAGTCGAACTCTCGACTATATAATTTGAATAGTTCCAAAGATCAATATAGATATATAGATCAATATCGATATCGTATGCTACGTCCAGCGTTGCATATTAAGTTGTAGGTGTTATTATAGCTTTACTTGTGGCCTGTCACAACTAGAGCATTCCAACTTGTTAAACTCGGAAGATAGATTCCCATTAATTCCCTAAAACAGTTTTAGAGCGAGAGTCATCGAATTTAAGACAGTCTCTTAATGATTGAAACAATGGCCAATCCCCCACTCCCCACTCGGCATCAAACGGTGTTGACACTCTTAAAGGGCTATGTCTGTTCTCACATTTTTTTTTTTATAAAATTGCTGCCTTTGTAGCTAGGGTTTACCAAAGAAATTTTTGGAATTTTTAGCACAACTATCTAATACAATAATAATCCTTGAAAATAATATGCGGGTTCTTAAAAAGTGTACAAAAAAAGCAAAAAATTAAATACAAAAAAATTTATTGATCGACTTTATCGATTGATTGAAAACCTCATGTACAAAACACAATATATATATTATATGTATATATTAATGTAGTATAAAGTTAAATGGGCTATGAAGTGCTTTGACTTGAAATTGAGCAAACAGTGCTTTCAGTCATACAGCGACCAGTACCTCACCACCCCCTCAGAGGCAGGGGCACACTTGTTGCTTATCGAGTCACATAGTTGGGCGGGACATGTTCAAACAGGCAAAGGCGAAAAGGCATTTTCTGCACTGCAATAAAATATGACCTAGAATTCTGGAAACAACATGTTTTTCGACTATTTCCAAATAAAATGGTTATCTTATGTATTTGGCCAAATCAGCCAATCAAACCGAATCGCATGTGAATTCGGTTGCGGTTCTGGTTTTGAGTTTGAGTCTCTGTCACGATTAATGTCAAGTTAAAGTAAAGTAAAAATATGTTTTAATTTTTGCTCACTGTATATGCCAGAGAAGCTATTAAGAATATTTTTTTTCTGAGTGTAGAGTGAACTGATGTTTGAGTCATTTATTTGTTTTGTTTGAATTTGTGGGTTGCCCGCATTGTTTGTTTATGTTTTATGTGCGATAAGCACCTTATCAGTGAGCTGGAGGCTCAAAACGCGACTTACGAGTTGCTTGGCTGCCAGCCTAACGATATATAGATATAACTGTGTGTCTCTGTGTGTGGCAGGTAGAATAGTGGCAGGTACATCACTCACACAGACACGCATCGAGTTAAATGTCAAAAATGTTCAAGTCAGTCAGTTGTTGTTTGCCTACGTTGCCAGTTGGTTGTTTAATAATACTGTTGTTCGTATATATTTTACTACGTATACAAAATTTTTAAAAATAATTAAATAAAACCCAAAAAAATTGTCTACAAAACTTAAAAGCACAATCCATCTTTCTCTCAAACTCTCTCTATCGCGTGTGTGTGTGTGTGTGTGTGTTGCATAAGTGTACTGCAACGCGGAAGTCTTTTCAAAAGCTGATTCACATTTCACGCTGCCCTGGGTACGTATACACGACCCCTTCACGCCCCCTAGAAGCCGCCCTTTTTGTTTGTATACCCTGTTCTTTTATTTGGCAGAGGGTACTTGCATTTTGTTATGTTATGTCCAAATAATAGTAGTGCACACATAAATTTTGGAAAAGAATCGCTTGAATACCATTAAAAATTATGATTAATTTGTTTTTGAAGTATAAGCAATAACTATTGAAGAAATTAAAAAGCAATAAATCTTGAAGAAATCAAAATCAAAACCAAATAACGAAATAAATGTTTTTGGATTTGTCCGATCACATTTATACTTATACATTTTTTGTTGTTGTTTTATTGTTTAGAAAATACCAAATCTGAAGTCAAATATCGGTATTTGTTAGATTCGATCACATTTTTTTTTACATCTAAATCGTGTAAGCAAGTTGCTAGAAGGGTACCTAGACTTTGGTGTACTTTGATTAGCTGGACTTGTACTTGTTCCAGCCCACCTCAGCTTCAGTCAACAAGCAACAGTTAACGCCCTTTTAGCTAATTGTCGGCAAACACGATACAATTGCTAGCCGATTCCCTCAAAATGCAACTCGTGCCACAAAACAAAAAAGTAGCCAAGTTGTCTTTTGGCTTAAAGCCTGCTCAAAAGCAGCTTCTATTTTAATAGGCATCTTTTCAGTATGCGGGTCGCATACGCTGCGAATAACATTCGAATAACATGACAGGCGTTACAAATGGACAGACGGGCAGACATTCTATCTCTCTCCATCTCTCTCTCTTATACACACACACTAATATAGCTCGTCTTGTTTTGTGTTATCTATGTGATTGATACGCCCACCAGAACATTGGCAACTGATTAGCCATGCCAGACCAGCATATAAGCGCCAAAAGTATCACTCTCTCTCCCCCACTCCTGTGATCCCCCTTTGGCGCCCAATTTGGCCATGTCGAGTTGAAGTCGAGAACCACGTTATGTGCACCATGCTGGCTCCAGAAGACGTTGATTAATGAGCTGGCTTGCAAACTGTCGACCACAAAAATAAATTACAATTTTATTCAAATTTTTGCCTAGAAAACAAAAATAGACAAACGCTGCAAGCTTCGATAGAGATACTCTGTTGCAAGCAGTCTGGCAGATTTATATATATATATATATATTTATATATATGTATATACATAATATATTTATTTATACTTATTTATATTTATATTTATGCTTATATTTATATTTATATTAATTCAGTTTATTCAGTTCTATTGATTGTCAAGCCTAAGCAATTCAGCATATGTTTGTATTTTACAGGGTATTTGTAGAATACATAAACAACAGGATAAGAAGAACAAGCGCAACACATTTACATCAATTCCAAATAAAACTCTAATTCTTAATTCTCTTCCCTTCATTCGTTCTGTTTGCAGCACACGCTTATATAGCTTATAACTAATAGAGATCTAAAAAGAATTGTAAATATATATATATATATTTTGTACGACCAAATTGACACAAGAAGAAGAAAAAGAAGCAGCAGGAGCAGCTGAATACAAAGAAGACATTTCGTGCTCTCGTTAGTTACCAATTTTTGATGTTTTTAAATTTGTATTGTTATTGTTAATACTGTTTAAAAGATACAAGAACAAAACCAAAAAAATAAAAACAAACAAAAATCAAATTACAAAACGGATCCACCAAAAAATCATTCACAATGTTCAGTCCGGAGTATGAGAGGCGCATCTTAAAGCAGTACATTCCGGAGGCAAGGAATCTATTCGACAATCTGGAATCGTCGACGACACCAACATCGCTGGATCGTTTTATACCCTGCAGGTGAGTGAACTTTCCAAATCCCTCTCTCTGTCTTAGTCTCTCTCTTTCTCCGCCCTACTACTACCCTCCCCTGCCCTACCATCTGTTTGCTGCTTGCCCGTTATTTATGCTAAGTCATCTGTTCCGCTTGCGAGCGCGTGCAGGAAAAATAATACAAATAAAGAGGGGACCGGCTTTCCGCTACCCTGTAGACAAACAAAATATGCATAAGTTTAGCCAACAAAACCGAATTTTTTATCGATTTTGTCATACATTTTTAATGGAGAAGTTGTTATCGAAAAATCTGAAATATTTATTTGTAATCTTATCGGCCTGTATCGAATTTTAATTTGTTGTATGCGTATGTTATGCAATACTAATGTTCCAAAGACTGTCCGTTGGAATATCCATAATGCACACCGGTCTACCTGTTACTAATATTAGTAATATTAATATGGGCAAGTTGATTATACCCGCTTCTGCAGTGCATTAACAACAAGAACAAAAGAAAAGGCAAACAAGAAACGAAGACAACAACAAAATCAACAAACCACAAACAGTAGTTTTTCCTTAGCAACGAAAATTTGCCGCCTGGCTGCGCCAGCGTTAAGCTAACGGGAACCGCAGACACCCCAGCCCCCCTTAATTAAGCTCTCCTCCCCACTCCCACTTTTCTCACTACGTGCCTTTCTTCCGCAGTTGACTGCTAATGATATTCTGGGTGGAAACCAGTTGAGCCTAGCACCACAACTCACACACATACACAAATACACACACACACACACATATATTTATATATCTGGTATGGTATGGTATTCTCTAATTACAACGATCCGCGAAAACATTTCCGCATCTTTCCATTCACTTTGATTTAGTATAGCTCCATATTTAATTTACAAAACAATTTAGATCAAAAGCAGCGTTGACTTTTTAGCATTCGTAAATGTTACATTTTGATCGATTTCATAGCCCAAAATGATCTTGTAAACCATCAGAAATTATAGTAAATGTTCATTCTAAATTTTAGACTTTCTTTAATTTTTTGTGATTTAACTGCTAACAGCTGCGTTTGCTGTTAAACTGTTTTGTTAACAGCTGCTGCTGCTGCCTTTTCTTGGCTTTTGTCTGCAACTGGCTGTACTGTTATCAATTGTTTCCGTCTCCAATGTGGCAATGTGTCACCTTCTGCCTGCCTGCCTGCTAATTGAATTGGCGTTCTGCCCTTCTCCTCCCTGCCTGCCACACACCTGCCTTGCCTGCCCGTTTTGATTTATTGTAGGTGGAAGTAAGTGCTTGAAATGCGTTTGCCCCCAGATAAGCACTGAAATTAAAAAGGAGGCAGGAAAAGGTGGGACCGCATGGATTGTGGGGGAAGCCGGGGGAAGTTGAGTCGCCGAATCGACGCAGGTTGCATGCATAAATAGATTTGCGTTGCAATTGAATTGGCCCTCTTCAATTCTCCCCCACCACACTGCGCCTTGCTCCATCTAACCCGTGTCGGTGGGGAGGTTAAAATTCTCTCACACTTGGCCACACAACATTCATTTTCATGGCGAATTTGCCAAGTTAGCAAATTGTGAATTTGCCAATTTTGTGTTTCTCTTGTTTTTTGCGCAAATTTTTTGCAAATATGGCATTCAATATTTTTTTTGCACGTTGCACACGTTTTTTTATGTTTTATGAGCAAAAATAATAACAATTGCCTGCCAGCCGGCCAGCTCCTCCCCCTCCGCCTCCATTGTGTTTGCATTACGTGGGGAGTCAGGTAACGAGGAGACAAGAGGGAATTGGGTGGGGGGAGACACAGACACGAAGGGTGTTAAGAGTCATTGGGGTCCCCTTCGCGCCAGACACACAATTGAATTTGAACGCGTTTGCATAAATTTATTTTTCGCAATCATTGTTATTGTTGCTGTTGTTGTTGTTGATCATATAAATAATTTATATTTTGGCAAACTTCTTTGCCATGCTTTGTTGTGCCTAGGTTGCAAAAAATATACAACAAAAAATTCGTTGAATAAGCCATGAGGAAAATACATGTAAGTCTGTGCTCGACTAGCAGTTACTATAAACCGACATAGTGAGAGATGGAATATGGTATATTGATACGATATAGTATTTTAGTCCGACAAAATTCGGCAAACAAAACAAAAATGTCTGTAAATTATCAAATACAATTCTGTTCCACATTGGGTGTATGTAGACACAGAAGAATGCATCTGCAATCCCATAAAGTATATATATTCTTGTTCAGACTCACCAACCGAGTCCGACGTAGTCGATGACTTTCAATGGTTGATTCTTCGAATTTTGAGTGTAAGTTTCCGTGTATCATACGCATTAATTTTATCGGCAATTTTGTCCGTTTCGCGGTTTCCGATTGCAATGAAATTCGAACATTTTAAAATATATATTTATATATACCTTGACATTATGATGATTGTCTGTAAGAATTTCACCAAGATCATTTGAGAAATATCAAAGAAAATCGTATTTTCACGAAAAAATATACTTAAAATACTTGTGCCCAGAGAATGCCGACTAGAGCCATATTACTTATTTACATGTTATTGAAGTTATCAATGAAGTTGTGGGTAAATTAGAACTGAATATGCCCGCTTTGGGGCCGTACTTCAATTGCAGGACATAACGCATAGCCAGACATAACAAATATAACACATATGGAAGGAAAAATGCGGTTCGCTTTTCCGCATTTCTCTTTTCATTCATACTTTAATGGCAAATATTAACATATATAATTAAAACGCTGTATATATCTAATCTCTCTCTCTCTCTCTCTCTCTCTCTCTCTCTCGCTCTCTTTCGTGCAGGGCAAACAACAATTGGCAGACGAAATTTGCGTCCATTAACAAGTCGAATGATAACTCGCCGCAGACGAGCAAGAAGCAGAGGGATTGTGGGGAAACGGCACGCGATAGTTTGGCCTATTCGTGCCTGCTCAAGAACGAGCTGCTCGGCTCCGCGATTGACGACGTGAAGACCGCCGGCGAGGAGCGCAACGAGAATTCATATACGCCGGCTGCCAAGCGCAGCCTCTTCAAATATCAATCACCCACCAAGCAGGTAAGCTTAACTAACTAACAAACAATATATTCATAAATTTATATATATGAACATATATGTTATGTAGATTGATATATCTCTGGCCAGATATACTTTTTGTGTATATTGCACTAATTGAATTTGCAGTCGAGTCTTTGTGTGAAGCATTTAATTGGCTTCTTTTCAAAAACGCTATCAGTCAGTGCGTCTCAAGAGTGCGTCCCCAGAGTTGAATGCACCACAACAACATCTTTCTCCCTCCATCCCTCCCTCTTTCTCTATCAGTAGCTGTTGTCTGTTGTCTGTCTAGCCTGGGATAAGTTGTACTGTTGTTGTATTATCGACAAAAGTAACCAAGTGAACAATATGAAGAGCGGTGAAGAAAAACCACGAATTGTTGCAGTCATACTTTTTGGTGTTATTTTTCAGCAAAACCATTTTCAAAGATGAAAATAAATTATCATTAATATATGGTGATTGTTGCACCATCCAGCTTAGTTCCATATAATACACACATTAATTTTGTCAGGCCCTAATGAAATATAATCACCAAAGCTAAAGCCAAAACTAAATCAATTTTTGGTAATGTCGACCATTTTATCTCAAAGTATTTCATCATCGATCATATATATATATGTATATGTGTATGTACATAGATATATATGTATATGTATCTATACATTCATCTATATATCAGTCTAACTATCTATCTAACTATTTGTCTGTTTGTCTTTCTATTAATCTGTGGCCAACCGGTTATTTATTGAGAAAACTGTTTAGTCAGGTGTGGAGATGATGGGGGTTACGTACATATAATATATATGTATGTATGTATGTATGTATATAATAGGTACCATGCCCCCATCCCTTCCTTTCCATGCCCCCCCAACCCTCCCTCTCTGCCTCTCTCTCTCTCTCTCTCTGCTTACAGACCGGATCGGTTCAGCTCGATTTGGGGTTAACACACTTTGATTTGTCCGCTGCTGTTTGTTGTTGTTGCTGTTTCTATTGCTATTGTTGTCGTTGTTGTTGGTACAGCCGGTTCTTAGTTGATTTGTTCAAGTGTTTGGACCGTGCTTGGACCTTTACATTTTGTTCTGTTTTCATCTATCAGTTTTTTTGTCAGCTATTTCAATTCAACTGTTGCCACTTGCCACCACTTGTCGGTGCTGCTGAAGCGGCAACCTGGCAACTTTTTTTTTTATACTCTTGCTGAGGGTATTCAAATAAAATTCGTGAGACATCCATGCATCATGTATAAATAAGAATACTAGATTAGTATAAATCAGAATCCAAATGCTGCCAAGAAATGCTCCTAATGAATGAATGAAGCTGAGTGGTTTTTTAATATACAAATTGTTTATCTAACAATATATAAAAGCAAACTCTTGCTTCACATTTCGACAAGCTAATTATCAATAACAGACTTCTATATCATAAAGCTGCCATAGAGTTATGAAATCAAAATTTAAGCAGATGGACTCCATTCACAGTTGTTTTTCTAAATTTTTTGCTGTGTGTTTGTGGGGGGTACGTTATTTCATATCATCATCATCATCAAAATGGTCATAAGTTTACGTTGACTGACATATTTGTGCGCTTATCAGATTTATGTTGCCTCAATTGCTGCGCGGACAGCCGCACGTCTCCGAGTCGGAGTCCGAGTCCAAGACCGCTTTTGCTTTGACTAATTTTTGACAGTTGACACGTTGCCACAACAGCAATAAGAAAATCAACAACAACAACAACACCAATAACTAACAGAAACGAAAAGAACAATGCCTTTAAGTTGCTTTGCTTGTCTGAGATTGAAACTGAAAAATTACATTTGCCTCCAACAACTATTTTGACTACTACTTCAGTGGGCTAAAGCGACACTTGAGTCAATAAGAGTGAATAAAAGCGGTCAGAGTATGAACAATAAGCAGATCGTGACTGAAGAACCAGTGCAAGAAGAGTGACAGAGGTGTGGTGAGGAGAGGAGAGGAGTGGAGAGGAGTGGAGAGGAGTGGAGTGGAAAAGGTAGTTGTGGGTAAAGGGGTATTTATATAGTCATATTTTTTGCCCGGCGGCAGCAGCAACAATTCCATTAACATTAACATTATTTTTGGCCATATTCATTTCTGGCAGCGCAACTCACATTTCTTTTTTGTTTTTGATTAATGGGCTCAGTTTGGTCTTTTGCTACCCTTTCCGAAGAAGAATAAGTCGGGTTATTCACATTTTGTCACAAAATGTGTAACGAATCATCAATCAACCAACAATTAATACACTACGAAGATAGGCACAGCACCTATGAAAATATGTTTGGAACGTTCACAAAATGTAGAAAATGAATAAGCAAGAGTACTGTAGTCGAGTGTGATCGATCGGAAGATACCCTGCAACATCTTGGATATTCAAAAAAATAACAGAAAATAAATATAGAAAATGCTAGCGCTTAATGCTATTGAAAATAAGTTAAAAATATAAATTTGTGATGAGAATCATTTGTAGCTACTGCCATTTTGAATCGATGCTTATCGATATTCGCATTTGAGGGAAAAGTAATCGATTATCGCAATGCAAGAGTATTCGAACTTCTTCGATGCTTAAAAATAGCTTCGCACTTCTTGTATTCTTTTCGTTCTTGTATTGTTTTGTGGTTGGTCTGAAAAAGTTGTGTGTGTGTGAGGTGGTTGTAGGGCGGGGGGGGGGTGCTTGTTTCGGGCAATTCATATGGAAATTGTCGCCTCAATCAGTGGGCATTCATCTACAGCACGGCCATACAATTAACACACAATTGTGGACACACCCCGCTACCTGCTGCCAAAACTCGGATCTATTCGGGCCAAGAGTTGGTTGGTTGGTTAGTGGGGGGAGGGGGGGTTCTTTGGTCATAGCAAATAGCAAGTCATAAAATATAATTCAATTATGTGCGGTCGCAATGTGTAGCTGCCATAAATAATGGGCAATCCATTTAGCAGCCACAGGAACAACGGTAAAATACACACAGGAGCACAACTTCGCCAGCGGCCACTCCCCCTCCGCCTTCCGTACCTGCCTCCCCTGACCATTTATTAGTAATATACAGTAGATATGTATATGCCTGAGTTTCCTAATAAATTAATTCGGTTCGTCCCACACCATCTGTAAACAATCGAAAACTTTCAAATATGGTTTTTTGATAGTTTGTTCTATTCTTTGCTGGTTTTTAATTTGCCAAACAAGATGGTTTTGATGCGATAAATAAACTGTAGAAACTGTCTATTAATTATGCAACTTTTTTAGTTTAAAAAAAAAAGCCTTCCTTACTTTTCCGAAATATAATTTAAAATATATATTTATAATACAGCTCTCCAATTTACTATCGTGTTACGCAAATTGATTGCAATTTCTTAATATTTCTTTTAACACTTATGCATTGCTTTTATGGTTTTGTGGTTTTCCTAACCTTACCCAACACACACACACACACACACACACACACACACACACACCTATACTCAAAAGTTACTGAGCCGTCTCCAATTAAACATAAAAATAAAATATAAAAAAATATGCCATCACTCTGTGTCTTTTGCACCTGTTTGCCAGTTTTGGCCACCTGCAAACAAGCATTCGAAAAGCCATAATATAATTCTATAAATTGTAAAAAGTTCTCTCTCCCTTGGACTAGAGACTATCACTTGTGGACTGTGTTTGTTTTATATATGTGTGTATTTATATTTATGATTATTATTAATTTATGCAACAGACATTTGCATTAGCATTAAATTAAGCTGAAGCTTAACGCCGATGACTGAGAATGACTGAGAGCCACAAAAGCCACTTGGCCACTTCTTGGTCAACTTGGCTAATTTAGTGATTCAGCTGTGGCTGCTAACGTTTGCGACAGGTTCACACTCAATACACAGAGAGAAAACAGCAGAGCAGAGCAAATGATTGAGATTGCGAGTCCACTTCGAGTTTGGTTTAGTTTAGTTAAGTTTACGAAAAGTGAGCGATCGTTAATAAAGTATATGAGTTCTTGATCACTTATATGGTATTATTAAATTTTTTTTTTAAAACATTGATTTGATACTTCTGCTCATGTTCGATTAAAACTCAATTGTTGGCAGCAACAGCAATAAACCATTAATTAATTTTTCTTGAAATTGTTTGCTGTTATTTGAATTTGGCGCTTAATGTTAGTTGATTACATTGCACTAACAGTTGCAGACTATGTTAAATGCACTTACACTGCAGCCGCCAGCTCTCTCTCTCTCTCTCTCTCTCTCTCTTTGACTTTGAATACTCAACGATCTTTTGATAGCGCTAGCATCAATCTTATGCTAAGTTTTTTTCTGTCAGTGTGTCATTTAAATCACATTCACATTTAGCTTGACGTTCCCATAGTCATTCGCCTTTCCCATTAACGTGATCATTAACATTTTCACCATCCCCTCCCCTACCGCTCATATGAGTATTGGGCATTCTACTTATTTTTCTTCAACTGCTGTGGTTGGCTGTTTGTTTTTTTAATTTATAAGATGCCTTGCCAAGGCGCCGCCCACAAAAAAAGCACTTCGTAACTTTGCCAATGACCATTTCATTCCCCACTTCCACTCTTCGTCCCCTTTCATTGCATTGGTCGCCATTTTGGTGGAGATCTTCGAACATAAACTCAAATCGGAGCATAGAGTGCAGATGTGTGAGGGAGAGAGAAAGGCATAGCTGTAAAGGGGTGGAGTTTAGCAGAGCTTACTGCACTAGCACATACCCTATAGGTATCATATATTTATGATTCTTACGATTATGCACACGAACGAATGCCTAATAATATTACAATGTTTATATGTGGCGAGGAAACCAGCTAACTTTTGATACTTAAAACCCTGACTTAGTATTGTTAAACAAAAGAATAGGATATGCAATTTTAGCTGACTGCATCAGTTGTATTAAATAAACAAGGTACAGGGTACAACAAGAACAATGACAACGACTGTTGTTGACCGTTGTCGAATGACAAACTCCAAATGGATGGCAACAACCACAACAAGCACTAGAATAAAATAATAACGAGGAGATGAAGAGGAAGAAAAGTGCCATAAAAAGAAGTTCTTCTTCTTCTGAGCGCGAGAAAGATTTAATTAAAAAAAGCGACGAACAATGTTTTTTTTTTGTTATGCAGAGTTTCGGATTTTCACTGTTGGCTGTTTCACAATTGAATTTCTAATAGGCTTCCACTGGCACACACACACACACAAACGCACATACAACACACACACTGATAGGCACTGGAACAGGCACTTGCCATCGAAAAGCATTTAAATTTAATGGTTGCTTGTACGCTTTATGGGATCCACGGACCAAATCGGGCTCTTCTATAAGTGTATATATATATATATATATATAAATATATAAATATATAAATATATATATATATATATATGTATGTAGCCGGACTTTCAGCTATTTGAAACTGCTTAACTGCCGTGTCCACGGTATTCTCAGAAAGTAATAACAACATCAAACAAACAAGACTATTTCCGTCAAAAATACAAAAATACCCTGTAAAGTTTTTGTTGTTATGGTATGTTATTCTGTAAACGCTCTTGCCCACAGCAATAGCTGCTCAATTGAGATATGGACTTATCTACAATACTCTATATAAATTTTGATTCCTGCTATGGGCGAAAGACCTGTCAAAAAAAAATGTTACTTAAATGTGAACTGATAGCTGAACAGACACAGTCTCAATGCTGGTTACAGGGTAGCCCAGCGCAAAAATGCGTCCAAAACAGGGCCATATAAAAATGTGTGTTCGTTCATGTTTTTGTCGCTGGCCACTGACAGTGTAAAGTGAGAAGCATTAAGGGCATACCTAACCTCTCTCCACTCTCCCCTCCTCGCACACAGGCAGGCAGGCAGAGAGAGAGAGAGAGAGAGCGATAGAAAGAGAGAGAGAGAGAGAGAGCGATGGAAAGAGAGAGAGAGAGAGAGCGATAGAAAGAGAGAGAGAGAGAGAGAAATTGTGAGTGTCGAGTGTCTTAGCTGGTAATGTCATTAAGACTCGACTGGAACTGGGACTGAAACTGAACTCTTAGCTCATAGCATGCCACGCACTCGGAATTGTTCTTTCCCCTTCCTTCTTCCGTTGCTTTCCCCTTTGCCTCCCCGCCGCTTGGTAATTGAATTAAATTTTTAATTTGCTTTATACGCATTAAGAGCGAGATACCCAAAACGAAATTCCGCTTAAGCGTCAAGTGGCCTGACCTCCCCCACCCAGTTAGCAGCCTAAAACTTGAACATGTGCTCATAGAGTACACAGTACAGTGGAAACCACAAGCAACCCAACCCAACGCACTGGACTTTCCTGCGTTCTTATCTCATGCAAACAATCGAAATCATTTTGGTGTTTGCATTTCTCATGGGGAGAAGTGGGTTGGTTGGTTGTGGGGTAACCTCTGTGTGTTTTGACCACGTAATACTCCAGCCATGACGCATACACAAAAACGTGATCAAAAATTTGTCGACAAGTGAGAGAACTAAAATTTAAATACTAAACTCTAATCTCTTCAGCTGAACCAACTCTAAATTAATATCGCACAGAAACTGATGCAAATCTAAATATAGACAGTTACATTCGATTGTAAGTAGATCAACAATAGAAGAATTAATGCAAATATAGATACAGATACATGGAAATAAAATGTAAATAGATATTAGACTTAGAAAATCGCCCTGAAATTAAATTCATTTTAGGAATAATTTCTAAATATAAGAAAACAAGTTATACAACAAATTAGATCAACAGTATCAAAATTATGGAGTTTCCCTGGTTCTTAGAAATAAACTTTCTGAATAATATGGTGAGTTACCCTTGGCGACAACCGTAGGGCGAATTTCTTAAATTCAGTTCGATTATTTCTGAGTGTAGATTGTAAGTAGATCAACGATTGATACAGATACAGAGATACAGAAATAAAATTTAAATAGTTGTCACTCCAAATTTGCAAAAGCAGCTACTGAATATTGGCAATAGCAATAGCAAAGCACGCACTGCAAACACAGCAAACAAATTGCTCACAATACGCATTTTAAACGCCGCACTCCGTAAGCTAATCAACGCCTCCCCCCTTGCCACCTCTCCCTGCCCCTTCCAGCTAACCTTGCTGAGCAGGGGAGCAATTTACGCATACGCTTAACACACTTCTTTCGCACGCATTTTCTATGCACAAGAAAAAATAACTGAAAAAAGAAACAGAAACACAAAATGCGTGCCAAATGCATGGCAAGGAGAGTATACGGTTGGAAGGGGAGGTGAGGGGAGTAGTGTGGCAGATCAAATGTGAATGGTTGTGTTGCGGTCGCTGCTTTTAGCACGCTGGCGTTAATTGTATGTCGGGCCAAGTACGCGCCGAGCAAACAAATTGACATCGCAATCGAAATTAAAGTTGAAACTGTGTTTGGCTAATAGAGATAGAGATGCGAGAACGAAAGAGAAAGATTTACCTAAGCAATTTGACGCTTAGCTGCAACTGAAACAATTGGCACTGTTTGCTCTAACAACCAGCTAAATGGCTCTGGTGCAGCTATAATCAGGGGCGATTTAAGTGGGTTGTTGTCGACAGCAGCAGCAATAAACCATTAATTTGTTTAAACTGTTTCCTGTTATTTGAATTTGGCGCTTAATGTTATTTGATTGAATTGCATTAACATTTGCAGTCTATGTTAAATGCACTTGAAACTGCAGCCGTCAGTGTTAACAGTGGTTTCTCTCTCTCTCTGTTTCGCTCTGGCAAACATTTCATTTGCAGAGTATGTTAAGTGCACTTCAACTGCAGCTGCTATCATTAACAGTGATATCTCTCTCTCTCTCCCTCTCTCTCTCTCTTCGAGTTCCAATTCTACTAAATTTACTTCATTTGAGATTTTTGCGCAATATATAAATAAATAATTAATCGATATCGAACCGTCTTTCATATCTTACAGGACTACAATGGGGAATGTCCGTATTCGTTGTCGCCGGTGAGTGCCAAGAGCCAAAAACTGTTGCGATCGCCGCGGAAGGCGACACGCAAGATATCGAGGATACCGTTTAAGGTATTGGATGCGCCCGAGCTGCAGGATGATTTCTATTTGAATTTGGTCGATTGGTCATCACAGAATGTGCTCGCCGTTGGTCTCGGCAGCTGTGTCTATCTGTGGAGCGCCTGCACCAGTCAGGTAAGCCCACATCAAGTGTGAATTTCATTTAGATACAACTAATCAATTGATAACAACTAATAATAGGTAACCCGGCTGTGCGATCTCAGTCCAGATTCGAATACAGTGACATCTGTGTCGTGGAACGAGCGTGGCAATACAGTTGCCGTCGGCACCCATCATGGTTATGTGACTGTTTGGGACGTGGCAGCCAACAAGCAGGTGAGTAGCAGGTGTGGCATCCACTGGCAAACCAACTCTAATCGCTGCTATTTCATTTTGCATTTTTGTGGGGCAGATCAACAAACTGAATGGTCACTCGGCGCGCGTGGGCGCCTTGGCCTGGAATAGTGAAATCCTGTCGAGTGGGTCTCGCGATCGTTGGATAATACAGCGGGATACGCGAACGCCACAGCTGCAATCAGAGCGACGATTGGCCGGCCATCGGCAGGAGGTGTGCGGTCTGAAATGGTCGCCGGACAATCAGTATTTGGCCAGTGGCGGCAACGATAATCGCCTGTATGTGTGGAATCAGCACTCTGTCAATCCGGTGCAATCCTATACGGAGCATATGGCCGCCGTTAAGGCAATCGCCTGGTCACCGCATCATCACGGCCTGTTAGCGAGTGGTGGCGGCACCGCCGATCGTTGCATCCGCTTCTGGAATACGCTGACGGGCCAGCCCATGCAGTGCGTGGACACCGGTTCGCAGGTGTGCAATCTGGCCTGGTCCAAGCACTCATCGGAGCTGGTCTCCACGCATGGCTACTCGCAGAACCAAATACTCGTATGGAAATATCCATCGTTGACGCAGGTGGCCAAGCTAACCGGTCATTCGTATCGTGTCCTCTATTTGGCCCTCAGTCCCGATGGCGAGGCGATTGTCACCGGTGCCGGCGATGAGACATTGCGCTTCTGGAATGTGTTCAGCAAGGCGCGCAGTCAAAAGGAGAACAAGTCTGTGCTGAATCTCTTTGCGAACATCAGATAGACATCAGATGGGCGCGTAAAGCAAAGGAGCAAGGAGCAGCAGCGATGGACACCAAAACCAAACCACAGCCACCCATATACCCAAATCCGTTGGCTGAGGAAGGCGCCAAAGGCAAAGCAATTCACAAAACCAACCAACCATTTAATCAATCATCAAACCTGGCTGGCTGGGGGCGGACGAGGGAGGGGCGCTGGGGATTCTAGCAAGCGTGTGTTAAATTTATATTTAATTATTTACTAAATCCGTTCACATATTTAGGTCTACAAGCTCTCAAAAACAAAAAATAACTACTTTCTTATGTATTGCAAAGTGCAAGAAAGAAAGAAAGCAAGAAAAACCAACAAGTACAGCCAAATTTCAGTTATTTCAGCACAACCATTAAACATAAATACCAAGCCTTTAACTTAGTCAAAACCCCACCCCTATCCGACTCCCCGGATACTTTACCGTTGATAAGGCTAAAAATGAGAAAGGCAACAACAAATATAGTATATGTTTAAGTAGCATAGAGATTATTTAACCGCTCATTTGAAACAATGATCATCTAATTGTAAATCTAATCCAAGAACCAGAACTGAAAAACAATGGCATAGTTAAGCAAAAGTTTCTTACATTTAACTGTAAATTCTATTCATATATATATATATATATATATATATATAGGTATTCCTTATATATATATATATATATGTTATAGAAGCAATTTTTTTTTTTTAGCTGTATACTAAAATTAAATAAGCCAAAAAGCTTATAATTTTCAGCTTAGCTTTTAAGGCCGCCTATTTTTTTTTGCAATTGCAATATAAAATATTTGTTTTTTTTTTATTTTATAATAGAAATACACATGCAGCACATGTATATTTAATAAATTTATACAATTTGAAAAGAAACAGCGGTTTTTTGGCTTCGATAAATGTTAGCGAACTTAGCTGTCGATTTCTGATTTTGGCAAATATTAGCAACATTCTTGAAGGAACTCGAAATGAGATTTTGGAGGTCATTGGTAAAATGGTTTAACGTTTAACATTCAATGATTTTAAGGAAAGAACAAATTTTACAAAAAAAAAGTTGCAGAATGCGAGAAAAATCATATTCTTCGATAATCCCACAATGATTGAATGCAAATCGATGGAGAGTTTCTGAAGATTCTAACGAGAAATCTGTAAATAGGCCGAATTGGAGTTTTGAATTTTTTCAAATGGGTGCGCATAAAAGTATGCCTCAATTTAGTTTAGCTTGAGGAACTGCTTGCGAAGACACAAATATCGGATAGTAGCTAAGTTTCTTTGTTGGTAGCTTGGACACGCACCACACGAACTTGGCACGCACAAAAGTGAACTGGTCACACTGATTTGCGAAAGCTAATCGAGCTTTTTGCCATGTAAATGCAATTAAAAGCGCGCCCCATCTCCGCATTCTTTATTACGCTTTCGTATGCTGCAGCTTCCGAGGGACGCAACGCCCCCGTCAGCGCACAGCCCCCCACCCACCGCCTAGGCAATTTCTGCGGTTGCTGTTGCTGCTACTGCTAGTGTGTGTGTGTGTGTGTATGTGTCTGCGTTGATGTGTCTGTTGTTGTTGTTGTTGCTGCTGCTATCGACGGTTGCTTTTCAATTTATTTTTTTTTGGCCAAGTCTCAAGTTTAACAGCGCTTAGCGCGCCAGAATCAAGTTCAGTCGCGCCGCAAACGCGTTGCGGAAATGTTTTGTTGTGAGCAACGACGGCTACAACCGCTGCAAACGGCACGTCCTGGCTGCTCTTACGCGCCGCTAACTTAAAAAAAAAAAAAAAAAAAAAGAAACACGAAAAAAACGATATTAAAAATTAAGAAAAAGGATTCATTTGCAAAAAATAAAAAAAAAAGTCACGCACAGGTAAAACGGTCAAACGGGCGAAACGGTTTGCGCTTAACGGGTTGCCGGGATTTCAAACCTATTTTTTTCACCTTTTTTTTTTCTGGTGTGTGTAAGCCTGGCACGTGGACTTGGCTGCTTTGTTGTTATTATTATTGTTGTTGTTCTTGTTGCGGTTGCTGTCTTTTGAAGGTCATTACGCACAAGGAGTGAAGGCCACAGTTGGCCAAGCGCGGCAGAAGAAGGGGGACAGGGAGGGGGCGAACACAAATGTCAAGAGGTGATGGCGGCAGCCTTGAGCTTTGGCTTTGCAAAGGACCGCGAGTGTGGGAGCGAGAGAGAAAGAGTAGAGGCTGCAAGTGCAAAAAGTGGCGGACTGAAAAATGGCAAAAAGCAAAAAAAAAACAAACAAAACCCAAAAATGTTAAAGTGCAAAATAAAAATAAGCGCAAATTAAATTTGAAACAAATTAAACGCATCAGTTTCACAAGTGATTATAATTTACTAAATCCATTTTTAGTTTTTGCATATTTTAATTAAAATATTTAAGACTGTAACAGAATCACAATACAATTCGCGATATTTTGGAATAAGTAAAATCCACAAATTATTTATATTTCACTTGATTTTGAAGAGATTTTATACAGCTTCATCAGTTTGAAAGGCTATTTTAACATATCCATTTTATGATTTTGGAAAATGTCCGATTGCTTTAACAAGATCTTTTAAATCTCTTGGAAGAAGCCACCTCAAAAATATATATATAAATATATTTAAAAATATATTATTATGTAAAAGCGAAAATTAGTAAAAAGTAGTTTTAAAAAGTTCTATGAATATTTTTTCCTATTTCTGCTGGAGATTTTATATAATTATGTTTAAAGAGTAAAAAACGGATTCAAAGCTCAGCAAAAATTTGTTTTTATCTGTTTTGTGTGATTTCAAAACGTTTTCCCCATATTTTAAAATGGAGAATACTTATTTATTATATTGAATCGTCAAGTATATTAATTCGTGATCCAATCACATTTTCAGCTAGAATTAAGAATTATTTTACAGGGAATCGGTTCCGGTTCTGGTTGTGGTTCTGAATTTCGGCTACGATTTGATTCAAGAAATGTCCAATTTCGATTACGGCTCTGTTTCTCTTATTTTAAGTAAATCGATCCCAACCCAAGTTTTGTTTGCCAGAATTGCGAATACTTCGATTCGAGGTCATTTGCACTTTATTTTATTACGTCTTCTTTTCTTTTGTGCTGAAGTCAACTTGGGTAGAACTATTTGTGGACATTTATGTTGTGGATACAAGAAAGCAAATATTAGATGTTAATATTAAATATTTGTGTGTCTCCGATAAGCTTGGCCTCCAGCACTCTGCCACATGACTGACATGGGAAGCAACCATCCAACCCACACACCCATTACCACCCTCCCCCTAACCACACCCCCTCTCAACATATACACACACATTTTCACACCTCGTCTTGGCTGCGAAATTTGCTCAGCGATTAGCGGACGGCTCCAGCGTTTGGCCCTAAAAACAATGGCCCAAAGTTTTGAGAGCTGAGACTTGGGCCGAAATGGCTTCTGGTTAACACGCTAGTTAGCTTCTTGTTAGCCCTTTTTTTCCTCGTTTTCGCCGCCAACAATTAGCAAAGCAATGAAATTGAAATTGAAATCGAAATTGAAAAGCTGAATGCCCATGACAAGTCTGCACAAACAGGCGGCAACTGTGGCCGGCTTTTGTTTTTGGTTTTTGGTCTCTATTATTATTTTTTTTTTTTTTGGTTTGATTATGATAACCTTCACCTGGCAACCCAGACGCAGACAGCAGATAGCAGACACCAGACACGTTCAATGACCGCCACTGTCATTCATTGCCACCTGTCCAACTGTCCAACTGTCCAAGTGTTCAAGTGTCCAACTGTCCCCAGCTGTCCATCCACAGAGACCGCTCTCTGTTATAGTTATATTTCTAGTTATAGTTATTGCTATAGTTATAGTTATAGTTTTCTTTTATCTGAGAGCCAATTGCCTCTTTCTAGCCTATTTTCCATTTCATCTTGTTTGCGATCAGACAAATCTGCCTTTCCCAAGTATTCAATGCTTAACATCTCTAAAATAAAGCCAGATTTAGTTTTTTTTCTGGGCAGACCTGTTGCTCTTCAACTTGACCCCATTTTGCACAGAGAGGGAGAGGATTCAATTCTGGTTTTGGTTTTTTTGGCAAGGATTTTTACTCAGGTTGGCTTGAGTTGTGGTTTCGTCGTCGTTTGTCACGTTTGTTGTGGCCTTTGGCAAGGTGATTAAGTTAACTTTAAGAAGGGCTGAAGTAACTGACGAGAGTGGGGCGTGGGGAGGGGGGAGGGGTTACTGCAATTACACGTTCAAAGTTAACAACTTGGCTTGGAATGAATTGAATTGAATGTGTTGTCGGACAAGTCTTGAGGCAGTCATTTTCACAGCATGCTAGATTTGGTGTAGTTTTGGTGCAGTGGAGCAGTGTAGTGGGGCTAGTTAACTTCTTTGGTCTTTATAATATTAGGTTTTACAAATTTTACATGTTTTTTTCGCTGCTATATTCCCGATCAGTCAGAATTCATTTTACATTTTTTGCAAATGAGATAAGCTAAGATGAGAACTTAATCTCATCTTCTATTCATCTACACTCGCAATATATATCTATATTCTGCACATATATATATATTTATATACATATATATAACCTTATATTTAATGCATTTTAACAATGTTGTTTTTCTTTTTAAACTTCAATTTTGAACATGTGGATTATACATTCTAAGCCTTAAGCTCAAGCAGCTCTTATTATGAGTTTTATAGGGTGTTGTCGCTTCGCCTTGACGCAGAAATCACTTTTCCTACACGATGTTTTATTATGTTTTCGGTTTTCTGTATTTATTTTGTTTTTTTTGGTTTATAAAGTGCCTCAGAATCCAATGTTGAAGCTGACAGCTCAAAATGCAGCGGGAGCTAAAATAATAATGTATCCAAGCAACAACAACAACAACAACAATAACAAAAACCAGTTACATTGAGATGTGTGGGGCAGGGGCATGTCCGGAAAGGGAAGACTTTAACTTTAGCTACAGCTACAGCTACAGCTAAAGCCACAGTCGCAGTCGCAGTCGCAGTCGCAGTCGCAGTTTCAAGTTTAAAGTTTCAATTTTAAGTTTCAGTTTCAGTTTTGGTTAAGGAGCAACAGTAGCTTGTAATTTGCAGCTTGTGGATGTGGCTATGTGATTGATGATCCGAGTGATACGCCCATCCTCACCCTACCCCCCTCCTCCTCCTCCTCCTCGTCTTTAGCCACAACGACCTTTAGCAACCCACCCTCCCCTCTCCTACCCTTCCACCTCCATCCATCAACCCCCTTGAGCATTCGCTGCTTAAGCATTTTATTTTTAATTGCAGACTGAACAAGTTTATTGAGTTGGCTAACAGTAGCTCGCAGCTCGAGTGGGCCATAAAGCCCACGTTATGGCCCGGAGCATGACCTGACGCTAACTACCACTCCTATCTCCTCCCTCCCCCTGCCCCTCCCCCTCCCACTTGAGAGAGGCTGCTTGACGAAAAGAGCAAAAGAGTTGAGCTTAAGCCTCACGTACAGGGTAGCTTCTAGTGTGGGCACTCTTCTTCTGAATACCCTGTTTTTTTTGTTGTTTATTTTTTTTATCGGATGTTGAACTGTTGCCTGTCAATAAAAAGTTAAAGAGATCTACAAAACACAAACATTTGAGTGCTGTGCTTTAATGGATGGCTTGCCTCGTGTCGGGGGCGGGGGGTGGGGCTAAGGTGACTAACGGTAAGGGGGGTTTATATAGATTTATGTATAACTTATATATTTAGATCACCGCGGTCATTGTACTTGACGCAGTCACAGCCAAAGTCAAAGTCAAAAAGTCAAAGCGATCGCTAAACAAATCAAACTTTGATTTTGTTTTCGTTTTCTTGCGGTTGCTTCGAAGCAGCGGAAGAAGAAGAAGAAGAGGAAGGCATGAGAGACAAACAAAATGCTATGTTAAAGACAGCCAGAGGGTGTAGGGGTGGGGGAGGGTGAAGAGGGCCGAAGGAGTGTGGAGGGGAAGGTAAAGGGAAAGAGCTCTTTGGCTAGACGCTGACGTCGACGACCAGAGCTCTTGGACCGCAGCATACAATTTATGCCATGAATTTCAAAAGCATTGACATTGAAAATAATGCGAATGAACGTAGAGAGAGTGAAACGAATACAGATCAATTGATGAACAGCAGATGAAACAATAACAACACAAACAACAACAACAAAATCGCCAAATTGAATCGGAATGCAAAATAGATCGCAAAATGTTTTTTTTTTCTTCTTCTGTTTTGTTTTTTTTTTTTGTTATTGAAATTTATTTTGGTATACAGCTAAGCAGACAATATATATTAATACATAATGTATATAGGCTATTTAGGCCGAGAATCGCGTCACACATCGAGCTCAGTATTACATTGAGCTGAAAAAAAAACTACAGCTAATAATGAGCGATAAAAGCTACTTCTTGCCACAGACAGAAATCGAGCTAACGGATTCAGATTGCAAAGCGAGTGATTTCATAGCAGGCAGCTAGGATCGGGCAGAGTTGCCAGACTGTGCATAAGATGTTGTCCAGCAGACGAGGAATTTTAGTAGAACAGTCAGCAGCTGAGCCGTTAATTTATTAGATATTTGACATATTACAATACATGAATATCAAGTACTATTATCAAGATATTCAATACAAAATATCAACATTCATTCAACAGTCTTTTTAGCTGAAATTGTAGATTAAACTATAAAATAAATAGCTTAAGCTTAACGATTTTAACTGAACCACAGAACGAGCTGAGAATTGAATTATATTGAAATATTGCAGCAGAGCTGGAGAATGAAACTGTCATCAGTTGACTTTAGTAATGTTTTTATATATCTATATCTACAGCAAATATGTATTTGCAGCAGTTTCCATCAAAACATAAATAATTTAAGCAAAATATCGAAATTGCGATCGGGATCAGTTGTCACTTGTCTTGTTTAGTTCCATTTGACATGTTCCGAATTAAGATTGATTGTTGTTTTCTCTCTCTCTCTCTCTCAATCTGTCTTTCTCTCTGTCTATCTCTCTCCCTCTCTGTGGGTCTGTCTGTCTGTCGCCCACCAGATCTTGAGCCAGAGACAACAAGCAATTGTTCGACGATCGTCGACTGCGGGGGCATTCTACACAGTGGGAAATAGTCAAGTAAAACTCCAATTCTGATAATCTATTTTGGGTTGCCAACGAATATTAAATAGTTCACATTTAATTCGAGTACTTTGTCATTACCACAAATCCAAAGTGCCTAATTCGATCTTCACATTTTTCTCGCTGTGCATGACAAGTGTCTTTTGTGACACCTAAATAATATGATTAATATACTCAATAAGCAGCTGTCTGAAAATGTCATCATTAATTATTGTATCGTGACACAAACTGTAGCAAGTTTACGCCTTGGAATTCAATGTCCCTTCCACTCCAAAAACAAAAAAAATGCTGAGAGAACTGTCGACTTTAAAAGACTTGCACTTTTCAATATCGTATCGCAATTGTTTACCAACAACATATAAAAAATTGATTTGTGCTCATTCAACAACCAAAACAAACAACAACAAAATGCCAAAGTCGCACATTCGAAAATATAAGTGAAAAATAACTCAAAAATAACTCGAAACGAGCATGACTGCACTCGAAATACTCTGCGTTTGTAGTCATTTATGGTCGTTACAATCTACAAATGAAAACAAAAAATCACCAAGAGTTGCTGCAAAAAAAAATACTTAGCAAATCTTTAACAGAAATCAGGTTTTTATATAGATTCTTGATCAGCAGCTAAGAACTGGAAACATTCAATTCGAAATATAAGTTCTCATTTACCCCCAAGCAGATGAAGTTGATTTCATATTATCAATAACTTTTAACCCAAAATGTATATTCAATTTGAATTTTGATTCAAACTTGTAAATAAGCTAGTTAAAATAGACTTTAAGTTAGTTGTTTGGATTAATTGGTCATCAATTGGTGCATGTGGCAAACGCGTTGTTCAGTTTATAATGCCCGACCCGTTGAGGGGAGGGGAGGGCATACGAAAACTGTTAGCTTGTTAAATATTGGTGACTGCTGTCTCTAGCTATTTATTGACATTTGTAGTAGCGGAGTGGGCGTGGCAAATTCGAGGCGAGGCGCATAGATTGTGGCCAAATTGTGGCCTTGACCTTTTGCCTTTCCCATTTGTCATTTCGCAGAGCGCGCAAATTTGTTGGCCGCATCGCAATTGCTAACAAGCGAATCTGTTCACTTTTTGGCGCATCATATACCGCTTACACCCCCCTCCCCGACCTACCTCCCACCCACCCACTCCCCACACACTGCCTCCCCGCCCCTTTTAAGGTTGAGCCCACGCCTTACAATGGGACTCGCCTCAAAGCGGCATCAAATTAATAATTAAGTTTCCGTTTTGTTTGAGGCTTGTCCAATTGTTGTCTTTTGTTTTTCTTTGCAAAACTTATCTCTTAGTTTTTTTTCTTTTTATTTTCTTGTGTTTTTTTTTTCTTCACTTTTTCATTAATTTTGTTTTGATCGCGACGTTCCTCGTGCACAGTGGGACCAACCTGCAGCATCTCTCTCTCGCATCTAGCTTTGCCAGCATACTCACATTTTTCGCACGCCTTCGACACAGTGTGCCGCCAACTGTGCTCGGCCTGAGGTCAAATGCAAAAATTCAAGATGCGGGTGATGAAGAAGAAGATGATGAAGATGATGATGAAGATCATTCAACGTTCAGCTTTCAGCGTTCAGCATCTAATTAGCGGTGCAAATGATGGCCCACATTTCGCAGTCGTTTGCCAGTCCTTCAATTTGCAGAGCTAATCTCAATGATACACTGTGACATAATACTATTCTTACTAGCAGACTCAAAAAAGACTGCTCTACACTCAGAGAAAAACCAAATTTTACAAATGTACTTTATTATTTAGATGGTATATTTTCAAAAAACCTCCTTTTCTTAATTTTAGCGTAATTTTTCTAAAACTTAAACGAAAACAATTTCTAATTTTCGGCGTGTTTTCTGATATGGGTATAAGAAACTCCATAACTCATTTTGTTTTTTGGCTTATAGTATTTTAAGTTCTAACAAATACAGATTTTAGATTTAGAGCAAGTCTTTCTAGTTTTTATAAAAATAAGAAAAACTTTGTAGGGTTCAGGCCAATTGGTTTGTGAGTGTAGTCGAGAGTGATCGAATAGGTAGTCAATATATTGTCAGGGTATATCAATAATCGGTACTTGTCGATATTGGAGAGTCAGTGGAATCTATCAAAACAATGTCGTGTGAAGAAGAACTTATATTTAAAATTCTTATTGTCTCTGACATGTTGGTAATGAATATATATCCGTTATGGGGCCGGAGATGCTTCCATCTGCCTGTTACACACTCTTAGACAACTTCAACACTTTTTTACCATACAAGGTATGGGTTCAAAAGGAAATCAAATAATTCGTTTAATTTTCCAAATAAAAACTGTGAGTTATTTCAAATCGATGTTTTTTACTTTGTCGTTCTGTAGGAATCGCGATGGAGCCGCTGGCGTTGCCGTTGAGGACGCTGCTGGTGGCACTGTTGTTGTTAAGTTGGCAGCTGAAACCAAGTGCCGGCTCCGCAGTGCTCATCTCGGACATGACGATGACGATGATGGTGGAGCTGTCATCCCGACATCCCTTCTGCAAGATGCACACAGATCGGTGAGTGCGAACATTGAGCACTTGGTGTTGAGACAGTGAATCCTTGAGTGCAACCTTGCTTCCATATGACAGGGGCGACATTCAGCGAATGCTGTTGCAGTCGGATCCGCGTCGGATACGGCAAGTGCCACGCGAATCAGTTGTCGAGCTGGAGGAGGTGTGTCGCAGGCAGGGCTCCTACGGACATGAGTTTCGCGGTGGACTGGGCTTCATCTATCCGGGCACAAAGTGGTGCGGTCCGGGTACAGCCGCCAGCAGTTACGACGATCTGGGGCCACATGTGCGAGAGGATCGCTGTTGTCGCGAGCACGACATGTGTCCCGATGTTCTCAACGTGGGCGATTGTAGGCGTGGCCTGTGCAATCGAGGCACCTTCACACGCTCCCATTGCGATTGTGATGCGAGATTCCGGCGATGTTTGCAAGCAGCGAATACGGAGACGGCGAACACGTTGGGCGCCATTTTTTATAATGTGGTGCAGGTGACGTGCTTCCAGGAGCGCAGCCCTTGCTCTGCGCACCAGAGGTTCGAGGATTATTTCTATCGGAGCACACAATGTCCTGCCGAATACCGTCAGGCTGATCTCTATGTGCCACCGCATGTCGATAATCTATTAGCCAAGATCCTTGATCATGGCCAGGAGCAGGGTCGCGCCCTGATCACGGCTCCCCATCCCCTACCCCGCTTTGGTGTCAAGTTGGCCAGCGTCGGCCTGGCGGCAGTCAATATACTGCGTGAGGTTGTCCAGCGTCCGCGCCTCCTCTGGGACAGCCTCCATGCCCCAGTCAGTCGCGACTTGCCGCCAAGACGACCGCCACCGCCATCGCACCAAAGAGGATACTACTACGAGAGACCGGGCAGGCCGCGAACCCATTACAATTATGGCTATGGCTATGACTATGGCTACGGCTGGAGATGAGTTTTGACAGTATTACGAGCAGCTGTAGAATGAGATGGTCGAGCATGCATACGCATATATCATATACATATCACATACATATGCATATATAGTCATATACATATATCCAGTCCAAAGCATGTCTCTCTCTCTCTCTCTCTCTCTCTTCTGTGTTAAGATTAGCATTATTTGTTGTTATCTTTTGTTTTTGCAGTAATAAATTAAGCACGTATTTTAAATGTATTTCGCCAATCCAAAAAACATTTCAATAAGGAGCGAGTCTCGTATATAAGTGCATACATAGACTTGCAGAGTGTTTATTAACTTGTGGAACACATTGAAGGAGACATGTCCAATCTCCGATAATATAGCTAGTCCGTGTCTTAACATATGATCTGATCTGTCAGTAAAGCTATGACTATGAGAATTAATGTTTTTGCCGCGTCCAGCACATTTGTCGAAATCGGATCTGTATACCATATAGCCACTATATCATACAGCTAACATATAGCTATCCTATAGCTGTATGTCTCGATGTGAACCGATGGATTCAGTCTGCAGGTTTATGTACATTTTGGCTTGCCCAAAGTGGAAGTTCTTTCTTGATTTTGTTTCTAGCACGACACGAACACGATCACGAGCACGAACACGAGCACGAACCTCATTGCAATAAACACGCAGGCAACACGCATGGTAAAAAACGAGTTAATTATATTCACATGCTATCTCATAGTTGTTTCAAAATAAATATATGCCGCACAACATGGAAAATCACCCAAGAGTAAAAGTTGAAGGTGATTTTCTATATTGTCGTGTTGAGTCTGCCTTTTAACCTCTCTCTCTCTCTCTCCCTCTCTCTTTATCTCTATCTCTATCTTGCTTTCTCTATCATTTTCACTCTCAGAGCCGGATACAATGAGACAGAGCAGGAAGCGATCTGTGCTCAGTGGCAATATCAGCCGTCGGAGAAATATGTGCCCAGTCAGCCGCGCACCTCGTAGATGTCCATTGAGATGACCTGGAACGACCTGGAATGACCTGAAACAGTCCTGGAACATCCTGGAACGACCTGGAACGACAAATACAAATCTACAAGAAGAAAACACAGAACTTAGCGATAAAAAATAACAAATACAAGAACAGTAATCACTCGCAAATTGGAGCTTGTTGAATTTGAATTTCTAAGAACTAACACTCAGAAAAGGTTCTTTAGAATTCCTGTTCTAAAATCAGTTTCCCGGAAACAAAGCGCTGTAATTTGTCGAACGATCACTGCAGTATTAGAACCCCGTCCCAAGAACACCTCGCCCATAAGCCCCATAACAGACATAAACCCACCCGCCCCATTGCCACACTTAACTGCATCGTACTCCGGAGCGCAGAGCGCTTCTAAATGCTAAAGAAACTATATATTTTTTCATATAATATAAACATAGAAGCAGACAAATACAAAGGCACTACATATACATACATATGACCCACTTATATATTTACCAATATCTGAGAGCGAATAAAACTTAAAAAATCAATTCATTCGGAATGCACAGTTTTTTTTATTGACTATGACGAATGAATTTCATCTATCTAACTGTAAAAATAGAAAGAAAAACATGAAACTCAAATCAATTTTATACGAGGCTCTTAATTTCTTTACAACTGGCCAAAAATCCAAATACTTGCAACGAGAAAAGCTTAAGGATTATTGAGGTGAACGTTATTTTTGTGAATTTAGAATTGACAACATTTTCTTTGCGCCATACTCTGTATCCTTTCGCCTAAGGAAATCCTTTAAAATATTCAAACAGAGCATCACTTTTGATTTTATTCATCAGCAGAAAAGTATGCTATTTATGTTGTCAGTTTTCGAAAGTGCGGAAAAGTATGCAATGGTTTTATTGAACGACTAAAATCGCTTGTCTTTCGTAATCTATAAGCTTGAAACAACGAATTGGCTGCAAATTGAATCCAACTTAATAAACTTTCAATTTATTTCATTGCATTTATTAAAATACATTTTGCCATCAGTACAAAAAAAAAATTGTTTCTAAATTAGTTTGAACAAGTTGTAAGCATTTATAAAACGTTAGATATTTCGGAAGTGTCTTTTGCCTATCGAAATAGTTAGTTTATTCCATGTGTTTTTGTGGAAACTAAGAGCACTTGGTTGGGGGGTGGGGATTTGGGGCAATATCAGTAAGAAAATGTTAGCTAGTTAGTCCTTGAACTTGCCCAAAATGATCTCCTTGTAGAAGGGCACACAGTTGAGGCGAACATTGAGACGGGCGCACAGCAGAAAGATGCCGGACAACTTGCGATGTATCGAATAGATCTCCTCGGGCGGCGGACAGAGGCGATGGGCGACCATTGTGGGCACCAGGGCAGCCAGGCGCTCTGTTGTATTCTGTTTGCCAAAATCGAAGTCGCCATCATAGCGAAAGATCTCGCCCAATATCATAACAGCATCAATATGCGCCTGCTCCATCTGCTTGGTCTCGTAACCGGTGAGGAAGCCCATCTGACGGGACATCTCCAGCACGCCGTCGCGATTATTCTCTGCCGCACTGATAATCACCTGGCGATAATTGCGTATGAACTCATGCTTGTAGAAACGCGTCGATCCAAAATCGATCAGCATCAGGCGGCGACTCTTCTCATCATAGAGGAAATTAGACCAGTTGGGATCCGTCTGCATACACTCGATCTCGAAGAGCTCGCGCAGACACAGCTTCAGCACAGAGGCGGCGATATTGGCGCGATGCTCATAGCTGTAAGTGGGTAAAAGTGGGTTAAATCTGAAGACTTTCAATCACAATTTGTGCAGCTTACCTGAGGCCAAAGCATTTGTCCAGTGGCACTCCGGGCACTAGCTCTGTGGTTAGTACACTAGAAGTGGTCAGCTCACGAATCACCTTGGGCACATAGTACTCCTTGTAGGGTGAAATCATTTCACGAAACTTTTCCGTGTATTCCGCCTCTCGGTCATAGTCGACCTCCCATTGCAGTTCACGCTTGGCAACGCGCACCACATTATCGATGAAGAAGCCCTGCGGAAAGACATCCCACACCTTGAGCATGCCGACAAGATTATCAATATCGCTCTCGATGCTCTGGGCAACGCCTGGATATTGGATCTTAATGGCCACCACCATGCCATCGAGCAGCGTGGCCCGATGCACCTGGCCAATGGAGGCTGCCGCAAACGGCTTATCATCGAAGCTAGACAGACGCTGGCGCCAATCGGGTCCCAATTGGACATTCATGACTCGCTCCACCTGCCAGTCGGGCATATAGTCGGCCGCCTGGCGTACACGCTCGAACGCCTTGGCCAGCTGTGGCGACACCACATTGGTGTCCTGTATGCTCAAGATCTGGCCGATCTTCAGTGCGGCACCGCGCACCTTGCACAGTGTGTCCACAATTCGTTCCGCATTCGCTGGACTGAGCAGCGCATCCCGCATATTTGTCGATCCGCCCAAACCAAGGGCGCCCTTCGCCAGCTCGTTGACGGTGCCCAATCCCAAGCCCGCAAACAGACCACCAAAGGAGGCCATCCGGCCCAGACGCGATGAAGGCACCCGACGCTGTTTCGCCACCTTGCTCAGCTCCGGTAGCGTCTCCTCAGCTACAAATGACAAAGCAAAGCAATGACAAATGTTGAGATTAAATGGAAATTAACATCGAATATGCTTCTCATGCTTACCTGATGTGGTTGTTGTTGTTGCTGTTGTCGAAGCTTTGGAGCCTGCCACTGTCGAGCTGCCGGCAACAAAGCGCATTACATTGTCCACATACTCGGTATCCTTGGCGATGATGCCAGCGCTGGCAGGCGGAGGAGGAGGAGTTGCTGGAGCTGGAGCCTTGGCTGGAGGAGTCTGCGGCTCGCTGGGCAGTTGTTTGCTTTGTGTGGTGGGCGTGCGTAGGCTGACGTTGCGATTCATGTTGCGCTTGGAAAGAATCTCCTCGAATTCGGTCAGCGTTATCGATGATATGTCTATGTTGGCTGCATCAGCAGCTTCAAAATGACTGCGACTGCGACGACTGCTGCCACTTGGTGCTTCGCCGGCCGCAGTGGATGCGCCTGCTCCTGGTTCAGCGCCACCAGCACTCAATGGCCAAGTGATGCGCGGCAAGGCGGCCGAATTGCAATTGGATTTCGTTTCGAGCAGCTGACATAGGCCCTTGGCCACCACAAAACCTCGCTCGCCCGTCTCCTGCACCAACTCCTGGATCTTCTTTAGCTCCTCGCTGGGATTATTGCTCGCTGTGCGCAACGCTTCGACACTCTGACTCACATTGATGGCGAGCAGTTCGCGCACACTCGAATTGCTCCACAGATGCTTAGTCAGCGACAGATGCTCGCGACCACACGCCTCCGCAACGATTTGCAGGCCTCGCAGCACACCCAGTACCTCTTGCCCCGTGCGTGCCATCACCAGTTTGACCACTCAACCAGTTCTCTGCGAGTGGGTGACGCTCCGCTCTCAGCTGTTGTCACTGTTGTCGCTGTTGTTGTTGTTGTTTGGCCGGCAAATAGAGGCATAGACAACTTATGTGCGCAACTGCATTTATGCGTTGTACGTTGTGCGTTGTGCGTTTTGCTTATTTGTTGCTCCGTTGGTACACGACTAGCTGCCGAAAATAGTATTCAGTTACGTAAACAGAAATAAATAAACTTGCACGAAAAGTTGCGAAATTACAAATCAGCTGTTCGGCTCCCAAACAACTCTTGTCGCTCGCTCACATGCACCTGCACATGGATCATGCGCCAGTGCTGCCCATAAGCATTACAAATTATAGCTGGATTTGGTTTTTTTTTCGAACAACAAGCATAGCCAGTGTGTGGTATATTTCATTTGATTGCTCGGCGTGAACATAATTCAATAAACTTGCATAAAAGTTGCGAAACTGCACACAGCTGCTGGGCAAACAGGTTCGCTAAGTTCACTGGTACATGGTTCACGGCAGTGTTGCGAAAAACTGGCAGAGTATTCAAATGCATTTCAAGCATTTTGCATTTTGGCGCCACAAGCAGTCATGCAATTTGGCAACTACATCACATGTTCATTTGAACTAGCTCTATTGAACACGCACATGGCAATGTTTACATTTTGTTTAGCACTTCGGTAATTGAAATGTGCGGCATTTTCTGTGCAATAAGCCACAATAAAGATGACGCAAATTGCCATTTGCACCAAGCACTGGCAACACTGCTGCACAATCGTGGACCCGATGCGAATGACAAGCTGCAAATCGACAATGTGCTGCTGGCCGGCAACGTTCTGTGGCAACAGGGCGCCGCACCGCAAAAGCAGCCCATATCCGATGGCCATTTGGTGCTCCTTTTCAATGGGGACTTGTACAATTTGGATGCACAGAAGCCAGCAGCCCAAGCGGACAGTGCCTGGCTATTGAAGCAGCTTGTCAAATGCAACGACGATGATAAGCGTCTGCTGACGCTTCTGCAGCATCTAGAGGGACCCTATTGCCTCATCCTCTACAACAGGTGAATGTGAACAGAGATAGTTTCTATTAAGATTAATGTTAACAATAACTTTAACAGCCGTGATAAAGTTTTATACTTTTGCCGCGATGCACTGGGCAGAAATTCGCTAATCGTGGAGAGCAGTATGGAATGCTTAAGACTGATGAGCACCTCGTACCACTTGGATAAGGAGGAGGGGCAGGTGACAATGACATCGCTGGAGCTGCCGCCACTTGGCTTGTACAAGCTTCATGTAAATGAATCGAGTAAATGTGTACTCTATCCTTGGCAGCAGCTAAACAAAGAGATGCAGCAGCAGTTGACCAAACTGGATGCAGCCATGGATTGGTGTACGTTTCTCAAGCAATCCATCGAGCCGAATTGGCTGCTCAACGGCGGCGAGGGCGCCGAGCAGGAGCAGAAGAGCTATGATCTCTATGACTTGGCTAAAGATGCACCGAAACTGCAGATGGAGCTGCAGCTGGAGCAGCTCTACAAGCAGTCGCTGGAGAATGCACCACTGCAGCAGGCATTGGGGACACTGGATAAATTGCTGCAACGTTCGGTTGCAACACGCGTTACCCAAACGGCGCCAATTTGTCGCCATTGTGTTGGAAGAAGCGTCGCCAGCTGCTCGCATGCCAAGATCTGCATACTATTCTCTGGCGGCATTGACTGCAGCATTTTGGCGCTGCTCGCTGATCGAAGTGTACCACACGCAGAACCCATCGAGCTCATCAATGTAGCCTTTGAGCGAGTGGGAAGAAAACAGCAGCAGCCGCAGCAGGTGGATAACTTGTGGCAAGTGCCCGATCGCCAGACTGCGTGGCAATCCCTTGCGGAATTGCAGCGATTGTGCCCGCAGAGAAACTGGCAGCTGCTCGAGGTGAATGTGAGTCGTGAGGAACTGCATCAGCAGCTCAGCGACCACATACGTCAGCTCATCTATCCGCTGCAAACGGTGCTCGATGAGTGCCTGGGTGGCGCCTTCTGGTTTGCCGCCGCCACTCCCAACTCAACGGCCCGTGTCGCAATCCTCGGCAGCGGTGCCGACGAGCTCTTTGGCGGCTATACGCGCCATCGCAACGCGTATAGACGGGCCGTTGGTGATCAGCAAACGCGGTTGGACGCACTGCGTCACGAACTAGACATGGACTGGCAACGCATTCCAGCACGCAATCTGGCGCGTGATGATCGGTGCATTGCGGACAGCGGCAAAACGGCGCGTGCTCCATTCATTGAGGAGCACGTGGCCAGCTTTGTGCGCTCACTGGCACCAGAGCAGCGCTGTTGCTATGCCCTGCCCGAGGGCATTGGCGATAAGCTGCTACTCCGCCTCTATGGCCACCGTCTCGGGCTGCGCTCTGCCGCTCTCCTCAAGAAGCGGGCCATTCAGTTCGGATCGCGCATTGCGGACAAGAAGCAGCAGGCGACTCAGCAATCCGACTATCTGCTCTTCAATGGAATCGATAGCAATAGTTAACAGTAGTATTTATATCCTGATCCCGTTTAAAATGGATAAAAAGAAGAAAACATTTCCGACCCATAAAGTATATGTATATATTCCTGATCAGGATCAACAGTCGAGTCGATCTAGCCTTATCTGCCTATCTCTCTGAAACTAGAAGAGCTGCAGACTTCAAATTCGAAATATAGGGTCTCGTGAATCCCGCGTAGATCCAGCTTAGTTCATTTTATCGATAACTGCCCCCGTTCGGCAAACATCGATAAATAAATTTGTCCGATAGCAATAAAGCCACTATTTTCAAGACACATTCTACCAATTTATATACAATAGACATTGACATATTCTTGATCAACTGCGCACATTTCATCAAGATCGGATTAAGAACAAATAAGTTTTAATCAAAATCGTATTCTCATATTGATGGAATATATCGTAGTCGAGCTCACTCGACTAGAATATGATGATGATATATCTCCGATCTCATGAAACATTTCTATATATGTATTCTTAATCAACAGCAATATCTGTTTGTGTATAGATCTTTAAAAATACAAAAACATTTTAAGCGTATTATAAATGCGGTTTTTCTCATTGGTTTATTATCAGCAAATTGAATATTTTAAGCCACTTTATACACTTATTTACTATTTAGCACTATGTATTTGCTAAACTTTAAGGTGCTCTTAAAGACATATTCCCAGCGGTTAGTTAATGAAAGAAAAATTCAAAGAGAACATGTTGCTTTCATTTTCAATGACCTGTATGATATTCTTATAATGTAAGTTGAATTAACTATTTAACGGCAGATAACATTTTGCTAAAAGCTAACTATGAACGTAGACAAACTCTTGACATTCTCAATTCGCCCTTCGTCAGGATCAGGAATCAACATTTTATGAAGGCCACAAACACTCCATTCAATATTGTAGCAGACAAAGCTCAGTCGGATATCGATCGATATCGATTCGCATTTTACGTGCAGTGCTGCTTGTTATGTTACAGATGTGATTACAGTCTCAGTTGTGGCCTGCTACAATGCATTGTTACATCAAAATGTTATCACATTTGCTTAATATATATGCATGACATGTAATTTATACTGCTGTCTGTAGATAACAGACTGCAACACAGCTGATTTTTAGTTTCAGATTTCTGACATAAAAAAAACATGTGCATGTGAATATTTGCGATTCTCTTGAATTTAGGCGAGTAATCTAGACAAATCCACAATTGTACATAATTCGCATGGTACACATATACCATATTCTGTATGTTTATGGTTTGATTAAGTATATAATGGACACTCACTCGGGGATGTTACAAAAAAATGTGTACTCTGTGTGTGAGCTGAGAAATGTGATATTTACAATAGAATTGCGCTAAAAGTGATAACATTTTTTACATGCTCGAAGTAAAGTAAAACGATTGCTATTTGCGATTGACGCGACCGGCGCGCTCCTGTGTGGGATCTGTCAGTTCCCATGCGGGCTTGAAACTGCTGATGATGCTGCTGCCGTTGTTGTTGCTGTTGCCGTTCTGCTGCTTCAAATGGGGATTGGGCAGCGTGTTCGATTTGTAGCCAATGGATGTGTAGCCCTCGGCATAGAGACGACAATAGGGCACATTGAACATGTGTATATAATGCCAGATATCGTGATAGGTCCACTCCAACAACGGATTCAATCGCATCATATCCGGCCAGTCGCTATCCGTTTTCTACAAAACCATAACATAAAGTAAGACAGGGTCTGTGTGTGTGTGTGTGTGTATGAGAGATGGAGTGGGAGAGAGAAACTCACCTGCATAGATTGTAGATGCTCGCAAAAGGGATCCGTGTTGCGACTGCCGACAAAGACGGCCTTAATGCGCGGCATATCCTCCGTCATGTGGGTGAGTGCCACTTTCAAAGAGTCCTTGTACTTGATCAGATTAACGTGATACAGTTGGACGCAGTGCTGTACGAACTCATCGATCTCGTGAAAGGAATCATCCGATTCGATATATAGCATGGGTATCTCAAAGCTGGCGATGTTGTGCTGGCGACAATAGCGCATCAGCAGATCGAGCAGAACGGTGCAATCCTTGCCGCCGTTAAAGCAAAAGATCAACTCCGTCACGCCATACAGACGCAGTGTCTGATCGAAGAAATCGTTGGCAGTCTCCACCCGTCTCTCGATGTGGATGCGTGTCGCATCTGTGATTTCCATGGGGTGGCAACAATTATGATTGTTGGACATGCTCCGCTTGGTCGCCAACCCGTTGCTGCTACCACCGCTGCTGCTGCTGCTATTGCTGCTGCTGCTGCTATTGCTACTGCTGCTGCCGTTGCTATATATTTTATCAACAATTTGTGGCGAGTTTGTTATCGTTGCCTGTTGTGGTTTTTGTATGCAGCACTTATTCATGTTGATCTTTGGGCTGTACATTAAGAATCCGCCACCAACTCCGACTCCACTTCAGCTGCAAAAGTTACTGCTATCAATCAATAATATGCCAACTTTCTCCAATCTGAGCGTGTGTGTTTGTGTGTGTTGCTACAGCGTTGCTTTTATATAACAAATTTAATAGCATAAACCACTTTTCAGATGTGCGCTATCTACTTGTCAAATTACATCACACGTGGATCCAACGCACACATATATATGGCTAGTGATATTACCTACTCCTCTAAGAATGGGAATGTTACTGGTCTCAAATCGATCCACACGTTCCTTATTGATATACAAATAACGTTAACATATCGAATTGTTTTATTTCGACTTTTTACAGCACAACGCTGCTCGGAAAGCTAAAAACAAAGGTTCAAACAGCTGGTGCTGGCAAACTCGTTCGTGAGCTAGTTTAGTCGCATGGTCTGGCAACGCTGTGCTATCTAATTGCGCTTGATAATTTTAAATTTGAGAAAATAAATGTTATTAGTATTACAGAACTTATTTAATAATTGGATTCAATAAAAACAAAATGCAATAATCGCTCGAATCGAATACACATATAAGGTCTACTTATACGATCGAATTTAAGTCTGGCAGCGCTGTCAGCGGTGCTGTAAAATGCTCTTGATAAATTTGAACTCGGGTTTTGAAAAGCGTTTTTTATTTGCATTGCATTGCATGACATACTTGAATTAAACATAACAAATGTGTGCGTGTGGGTGTGTCTGTGTGTGTGTTTAACTTTAACAAAAACACTGCAATATCTGCCTTAAACAATACTAGTACATATTTAGTTGCTATGTATAATAATAATGGGCACTGTCGGTTCTTGTTTTTTGTAATTTGTATTTCGTTTTGCTGTTGCTTTTTATACTTTGATACCGAAGGAATCATAGTATATTGGTTTTGTGCAGTGTCCGTCTGTATGAACGCAACAACTACTATGTGCCCGCGTCAGAAAAAGTGTAAAAATTGGAGTGATACACCCACTAGGGGGCTAGGGGCGCATATCTTCCACAATTTAAACCTACAAATTTGGTTGGTAGGTTGTGGGCGATGTACTTCAAAGATCGCAATTTGCCACGTAACACCCTTAAAAAATCCGGAATTTTGCACCACGCCTCAATAAATGATAAAAGCCTATATCTCGCGGAATTTAAGAGCTATAGTTGGGAAACTTGGATAGTCTACCATAATTTGGAAGGCAAACTTGAACGGTATTTCTTGACTACACCCACCGTGTTCGTTGCTACCTATTATCAGCTGGTATTACTTGTATCAAGGTATCAAAGTATTTCGCAGTCGGTTTCGCCCGACTGCAACGTTCTCTCTTGTTTGTATTTTGTATTTTGTATTGCTGTTGCTTTTTGTTGCTGTTTGTGAAGACTAAACATCTATATTGTCCAGAACATTGTCGATGAGTCCCACCACCTTCTGGCGAAAGCGTCGATTTTGCTTGCCACTCATCTCTTTCAGATATGGATGTAAGCTTATTAAAAACGAATAATCCGCATCCGGCGACGTCGGCTGTGCAGTCAGCGTCAGCGCAGGCGTTGGTGGTGCGGGTGGTGCAAAGGCAGCTGGTGGTGGCGCAGGTGTGTCCTCCGCTGGCGGCGGTGTCAGCGCATGATGATGATGATGATGATGGGACAACATATTGTTGTTGTTGTTGTTGTTGCTACTGTGGAACTGCAACTGGTGGTTGCTGCCCTTGAGCCACTCGGCAACGGTCCAATCCATATTATTGCGCAACGCCGCCGCCATTGTCACTGGCAACGTCACCAGCTGCTGCTGTGCCGCAAACATTTTCTCCGGCTCCATTTTAATCGCCTGCAATCGGGGTGGCGGCGTCTCCAATCGATTCTGCTCCTGCTCCTGCTCCCGTTCCCGTTCCTGCTCCCCTGCCCGATCCAGCGCTGAGAGATGCACATCCGTTGGTGTGGTAATGCTGTCTTTGGTGTCTTCGTCGCTGGGATTATGTTGTGGCTGCGGCGGCTGCTGATGCGGTTGATGTTGCCCCATTAGACGCATGTGTCCAATGCGTGTCATTGGCGCGGTGCTCAGCGCCAGAAATGTTGCCGTCGTCGAGGTGCTCGGCTTACGCAGCACCATGCCCAAATTGGGATTGGGATGCCTGTGAGCATTAGATTCACCTTCAGCTTCGGTCTGCGGATTCGGAGTATTCGATTGGGTATTGGCGGCAACGGCGGGCGACTGCTGCTTGTGGCAGCCACGTGACTTTGTGTAGGGTATGAGAAACTGCAGATACTTCGATAGATAATATTTGCGTTTTCCCCGACCCGTCTGTGTCCGCGCCAGCTTCAAGGAGCGCAGAAAGCTGCTCCGAATCGTGCGCCAACGTTCCCTTGAGTTTCGAACTGAAAGGAATACAAAATAGCCCATGAAATAAGCAAAACCTTTGGCTATTATAAGCGATGAGTGTAAATACAAACGCCCTATTGAATCTTCCTATATAATCTTCCACACAATCCTTTAAATAAAGATATGTCTACATATATACGTCGTGCAGCGAGCTTTAACGATCTCAGCCTTATACCATATATGTTTAAACATACATTCATTAAAAACAGTTAATATGATTTTGTATATGCCAAGGGAATATACTAGGATCGCAGATTATGATGTGTAACAGGGACTGTCAATAGCTAGTCCTTTATTATGAAAAATATAACCAAAAAATGAGTTCACAAATTCAAAAAGAATGTCAAGAATCAATAGACAGGTTCAAATCTAGTTTTTATGCTAAGTAAATAGCTGAGGGTCGAAGAGATACTCCTTTATTACAACAAGAACTGTGAATTGGTATTCCTTATTATAAAATACAATAAAACCAAAAGTTTAGCCTTACTTAAGTTTGGCTTAAGTTTATTAATGTTTTATTTAAGTAGGAGCATATCAAGTCAAATATTACATTTGATAAATGGGGGCACGCAAAATGCTTCTTAAACTAAACTAAGCCATCTAGTTCGACTTGCTGCAGCAAATTCAAAGTGCTCAGCAAGCACTTTATTTTGCTTTAAATTTAATATTAATAGACAAGGCTGAACGTAATTGGAAAATGGGCCTCCCCTATGAAAACTATAAACTATAGCAAAAAGTACACGTCATATGTAAAAAAAAAGCATACGAAAATGTTTATTAAAGTGCAACTAGGACATTAACAAAAAAAAATTGAATTTCAAATGAGAAAGCTCGAAAAGTGCATAATTAATAATGTCCCAGGGGACAGTGCTGTAAAATGCAGTGGGCCGTGCTGCTGCTGCTGCTGCTTTGGATGTGTTAACGCTGCAACAAGTGTTGGTTAAGGCTGTACAGGGTATTTCCAACAGTGGCGCTGCAACAGTTGCTGAACTTTTTAATTACATGCAAGCAGCAATAAGCAATAAGCACCAAGCAACAACAACAGCAACAACAACGACTAATTGCATGCAGCTATTGCTGTGACACAGTGACACACCTACACCTACACACACACAAGCGAACACGCACGCACAGTGTGTACGTGTGTGCATGCATGTGTGCGTGTGTGTGTGCAAGTGCAAGCGAGTTGGCACGACTACAAATTGCGATTGCATTGAAAAATTGCACACACGCACAAAAAAGCTTGCATCATAGGCGCGCGCGCCAGCACACACACATACACACACACAGTCGCACACAACAAATGAGCACGCAATTGCAATTGCAGCAAAACAAAAAAAAACAATAATAACTAAACGCAAATGGCAATCTACAAGTGCAGCGGAAGGCGAAATGAAAATGTCGTTTTTTACTGTTGCTTTCAGTTTTTGTATGAATTGTGTGCATTTTGGCATGTTTGAAGCACCTGTATCCTTTATCTCATTGGCCACATGTTGCCAGGCGCGTTGCACCTCGTCCTTTTTGCTGTAGCCGGGGTGCGTGTAGTTCCACAAGCAGGGCTGGCTTTCCACGAGCTGCACGAATTTCACATTGAAAACGGGATCATCCTTGCGTGCCATTGCTTCAAAATCACGCTTTGCAACACTGATGCGGTGCGGCGGCACCCGTTACGATTGGCAGCAAGGAGCACGAAACGAAAAGCGCATGTGGAGCCCTTATTTATTTTTATTTTTCTTTTTTATTATTATCAAAATTTGCGCGCGCGCCCTATCTTGCTATCTCTCTCTAGCCTGCACGCACGCTTGCTTGCAGCGGCGCAAACTACAATTGGCAAATGCAGCAAACGGTAGAAAAAAATATTCATATATGTATATGCTAGTAGTTATTTTTTTATTTTTATTTATTTATTTTTTCTTTTTTTTTTTGCGAAATGGCAGCATTTACAACTTGTCGTAACGAAAGCGCTGAGAAAACTGAAAACCGAACCTGAGCGCAAAAGGCAAAAAAAAAGCTGACAAATAAAAGCTGCAACGTAAACAATGCCAAATGACTGCTGCCCAGAATCAACAACAAATGCAGCAAACAGCACCAGCTGCAACGTTAATGATTAAAATAAGCTTGTGTGTGCGTTTGTCGCTGTATGCACAAAAAAGCTTTAGCTTTGAGCGATGACGTCGCTGGGCGGTATTTGTTGCATACAAACTCATACACTCACACCACGAGCATTTTCAAATGCATTATCTAATTGAGAAAAAGGCGCCAAAATATCAGTAGACATTTACAGCACTCAACTTAGCATTGTGGCAACGCCTGAGGCAAGTAAGTTCCGGTTCCAATGCCAGTTCCAGTTCACACAACACAGCGCATATGTAACACAAATATTTTTTTCTGTTGGTGTGCTCGACTTTGTTAATATATTTGCAAAATTGAATGGCAGCCAGCGCAAAAGTGATGCTTAGACACGTGAGTAATTACTACGCAAAAAACTGGCTCCCATATATTATTAAATTAAATGATTACACTGGCAGTTCGTTCGCTCGCTGCACACACAACCGGCTCGTCTGTCTAGTTTTCGGTCGTCGCAGCCAGTGCAGCCGTTGGAAGCGTACCCTGAAGTGGAGGTGGTGCACAATCCCCCCGAATGGAAGTATGTGGAGCGTCTGTTGCCACCGAGCACGGTGCCCGAGCCGGTCGCTAAGCCGACATATCCCTCCGGCTGGCAGCCGCAAAGGGCAAACGGCGACAACTCCAGTGGATATTTTGTGGCTCGCACAAAAAATCACATGGTGCCCGTCTATCTGCACACACGATTCCGTGGCCAGCGTCGCCTGACCGTCGTCCGACGCGTCCAGGGCGATATTTGGGCGCTGGAACGCGATCTGCGCTCAATTGTGGAGCAAGCACGCAATGGGAAACTTTGCGCGACACGAGTCAACGAACTCAGTGGCCAGATTTACATCCATGGCGACTACGTCGATCTGCTCCGTGAGCACCTAAAGTCCAAGGGCTTCTAAATAAAAAAAAAAAAAAAACAAAACAAAAGAAAGAAAAACAAATAGAATACTTGCGATTCAATAAACACCAAACGTTTAAATGTTAAGTACTCCAAAACTGCGCATGTAAATATTTTCATATGGATTTGTGTATTTATTTACAGATCATGTAAATACGATCTGTTAAGATCTGCTATAGTTTATTAAATTCTCAGGATATGTCTTAATTGAGAGTTGTAGTTTGGAAAATGATGGCTCACAAAAATATTATTGCTTATTTCAGGCCGATCTTCGGCTGCATTTTCTAAAGCAATTGCTTGATTTATTGTGATCTTACATCAAATATAGTTATATTATATTCTTTAGACACAAATTTGGAACATGTTAGTGTTGGTACACATATCTATACATTTGCACAAACATTCATTAATTGTTCTAAACAGTAATTCAAGATCGACCTTAAGCTCCATAAAGTTTTGTTTGTACGATCTTTAGACACACAATTTTGGAATATTTGATTTGAGTGCTTAAATACAATGTAACAAATTATAGATTTATATTTATAGTTTATTATTTCACATTGCTAATAGGCTCGATAAAGTACAAGATTCCTCTGTTAAAGGAAGAGCCACTTTTTATGATGATCGTTTTTTTGTTTGTCTCCACAATACATCCAAATATATATTGCGAATTTGCATTGAACTTGCAACATTACTATACAGAATTCGTTGGTTAATGCTTAAGCTTGTTAGTGCTTTAGTTAGGAAATACATAGATACATACATGGTACATATATGATAGATACAGATATGATGTACACAGAACATATATGATTATTGTTTAATGCGAACAATGCACAACTTATTCGATCCATTTGATTGTTTTTAGCGCGAACACGATTCCCTTTCCAGGCTATTTCCAATCCATACAATACAATACAATAGACAGTAGAGTCCAGTAAATTAATCTTGAAATTATATTTATACACTCGATTACTTAATTGGTATTACTTATTATGGCCAAAACATTTATTGCGACTGCGCATAATTGTTTGACATTGTTGAACATGAATTACAAAAATTACAAATACAATACATATATATAAATAACAAATTTGAATAGTAAGTACGAAAAATAATTGCTTTATATTTGTTTTTCTTTTCTTTACATTTATGCTTACGTGTATTTACTTGTATCTGTATATGTAGATGCATATATACAATAAATATTATGCATTTCTCGTGAGTTCTTGTTGTTTTTGTTTTTGTTTTTGACGGTGTGTAGAATTTGTGTGTGCGTGTGTGTCATAGATTCACACACACATGCACACACATCGAAGCGTTGTTCGCTAAACGATAAAATCATCGTTCTATGTACAGTTCTATACATATATATATATATATATGGATATATGTATTTATGTATGTACAAAAATAAGTAATAAGTATAACTTAAGCAAAATCTGTGTATGTGTTTGACCAAATCATAACGTTGGTGGTGGTGGCGTGAAACAGGAGCAGGGCGGTCCGAGGGGCGGTGGCGGAGCATTTGCTACCTTACGCTGCCATCAGGTGAGCTCCTTGTTGTGAGCATGATATGCAGCTGCAGCGGAACGCCACCGTTATCCATTCGCGCCCGCCATCATTGTTGTCGTTAGCGGCACACCGACCAAGCCACCAGCTCCTCCACCGCCCAGCTGCTGTTGCATCGTTGGCGTTGGTGGTGTTGTTGCTGCGGCAGCGGCGGCGACAGCAACATTGCCACCGGATGATCGTTTGAGTGCCTTGCGTATGATCGTCCAATCTTCCATGATGTCCTCCTCGCGTAGCATATATACAACATACGGGCCGGTCACAGTTACGGCCTTCTTGCGCCCCGGACCGCGTACCTTACTTTGGCGCTTGTCATTGCCCCAATCGTCCCAGGAGATGTCCACATTGTGACGATCCTCCTCCAGGCGGCGTATGCGCTCCATTAGCTCCTCGCGCAGATTATCCACAGCCATTTGTTTCTCGCTCTGCGAATGAATTGTATTCATGACAATGAATGAAGAAAGGATGGAGGGAATAGCAAACCTCAAAGTGTTGGGAAGCCGCCTGCTCCTCGGATAGATATTTGTGCTCGATATTTTGGAGGCGAAACTTGCGCAGCACATCGGCGACTTCGATACGCGTCCTGTACACCTTGTCCAGCTCCTTTTGGGGATGGACAAACTCCTCGGAGCGGCCGGAACGGACATCGGATAGCTGGCGCTCGATGAGGCTGATGCGCTCATAATAATATTGCTCGCGCAGCTGGCTAAATTGGCGCTCTAAGCTCGCTGTAGGATTGAATTGGTTTTCCACAGTTAAGGAGCGCGTTTTTTTTAGTGTATATGGGTGTGTGTGCTTATTGTGTTTTGCTTACCCAAATCTTCGATGTGTTCGGCGCGTCGCATCTCGATTTCGGTGGCATCCATTTCGGAGGAATCATCTGAGTCGCATTCATTGGCCTCCTCCTCCTCCTCCTCGTCGGAGGTGTCGTGCGCCTGGCTCGAATTCGAGCGCTCCGACTCCGCCCCAGAGACGTCGCCTTCCGCATCTGATTCGCCATTTTTAACTGGCATTTGTTTTTATTATTGTTATGATTCGCTCGCAAGCGTTTCGATTGTGCATAAGATGTGTCTACTCTATGTGTGTGTGTGTTTGTATGTGTGTGTGAGACACAAAGAAGCAATGCGCACTCAATACTGCTTCGTATAAACAATCCGATTTATCCGATATTCACGTCACTTTGTTGTCAGCATATATATATATTTATACATATGTGTGAAAAACTATACTGCTACGAATGTTGTTTTGTGTTGCAGCTGCAAAAAAGTGTTGGTTGACGACGCAAGAGGGCGCAAGTGCTGCCCAACACTGTACATGTATTTTATCTCGCTCTCACTTTCTCTGTCTCTCTCTCTCTCTCTCGCTCTCTGTATCGATATGTTAATAACGCAAAATAATAAGTGTTCGGTGCACAAAGCGTTTTTTATGCACACACGAGACTTCAAGTCTGGGCGGTATTTAAGTATCGATAGCAAGTTTCTTTCTTTACAAATCGATGAAAAATGTTGGACACGAAATTGCGATATATTTCGTTTGTGGAGTCGAAGAAGAATATGCCAAACCTAAAATTACCTAAAAAATACGAAAATACCACTTGGAATTTCTAAATTAAGAGAACACTCTCACACTTTTGGTTTGTTTACAACATTTGAATAGTTTTATTTATCATACAATTTTGTGTTGCCTTTTTCTTAAATATAACATATATTTACATAATTTAAATCGTACATATATAACAAAAAAGTTACTTTGTTATTCGGGCCTGGCATTGGGCTGGGCAATCAGAATCGGCAAACTCCTAGTCAATATCACTGTGGGCAAATCCAAACGATAGCTGTTCGCAGAAGTCACACATGTTAACAGTATAATTTCATTTTGCCCGTCTCTAATGCAACCATCCAAAATTTTCGCGTACACCGTTTTTTTGTATATGCTTTTCATTACCGATAAGTTTTTTTCGATCTGTACATAGGCTATCGGGAGTTAAAATTGCACATCCCGTCAGCTAAGCCATCTCTCTCTCTCTTTCTCGCTCTAATCTAAGCGATTCATTTGTAGCCGACCCCACACAAACGTTCAAACGTTGTAAGCTGTTCTCGGGAACAGTTTTGTAATACATTTCCCACCAAATGAATTGATTGTTTTTATTTATCTTTTATAATTTGTGTTATTTAATAATTTCTTTTTGTGGCGGTTTAACAAACACAAGTATTTACCATTTGGTAGTTAGTTAACTTGTTTTGCTCTAAAAGTGTTCACACGTGTCCGTAACATTTAATCGATCTACTTAGTTATAAATTATCATACATACAATCAAGTATTACATAAATATATATATATATATAGATATATATATATTTACACATTTGTATAAATGTATGCGTAGGTACACGAGGTTTTTTCTTTTCACTATTTAAGCTAAAAGTAAACAAAACAAAAAAAAAGAAATAATAATAATCGTAATAAAATAGCAAACAAACGAAAGTTAAATTATTTATAAAACAAATGCATAACAAACATTTAACAATTGTGTTTCGTTTTTTTTTTGTTTACAAAAAAAATTTGTTGTACATTGAATTTAATTATCTTATATTATTTGTTATTTGTTGTAAATTGTACTTGGCGCTTGTGTTTATTTAATTGTTGCCCTGAGTTAAAAACACAATTCCTACTTGAAGTTGTAGCCATATTCAAATTCCATTTGCGCTCCAAAATATACATAAATATAGATATATATCCAGTAACATTTATCCATTTATGCATACCATAACAAGGAGGAGTGGGATATATTCATATCTCGCTCTCCCTCTCTCTCTCGCACACTTTTTCTCTCGTTGAGCATAAAAAACATTTAAAACATGTATGCATTAAGTTATGTAAGTAGTATATATATATATATATATATATATATATACATGTATATATAGGTATACATTTAGTTTAAATTGTTAAAACATAAACTTCCATTTAACTTAGTCCGATTTAAGTACATATACACATAGATATATACATATATAAATATATATATTTACATATATATATATATATATATATATATATATATAGATTATTTTATGCTAACATTAATTCTAACAGTCTTTTATCACGTTTAGTTTGAAGTTTGCCAACCATTGTCAGCAGCTGTATATATATATATATATATATGTATATATATATACGATGAACACATATATATATAAATGTATATATATATATATATATATATAAACGCACTATAAATATGGTAGAGTTAAATAACCTAATAATTGGGTGACTATACAATTTTAATTTAAATGAATTAACAAACATTTTGCACTATATTTAACTATAATTACGTCCGAGGGAAAAACAAATACAAAAAATAAACAACTGTAATTACAAAAAAAAGGGGCAGAAAATAGATAGAAAAATAAAACAGCCACTGGTCGAGAGTCCAGGGCCCCATCCTAAAGTAGTTTTGTTGCATGCTCACTCGTTAGTTCGGTTCCAACTTACTTTATATGCCTATAAAGAGATATATATACTTATATCGATAGCATAAAGATGCTACAATGCTCATTCCAGCATTTTTTAAATTGTAAATAGTTGTTTGCCTTTCGAACATCCATCAATCCACATTCACTTCAACTCAACATTTGTCATTTCGATACAAGTCGCTGCTCAAATTTGCTGCTGCCACGTTTATCACAACGGTTGAAACCCCTCAGTTATATATATATATATATGTATGGTATTATTAAGTGGCACCTCCTGTTGAACCGCTGCTGCCTGCTTGGGTGTCTGTTTCCGTTTCCCTATCCGTTTTCGTTGTATTCGCCGCCTTGCTTTGCAGCTGCTCCTCAAAATCGCTCTTGATGTTGACATACTCCTTGCTCTGCTTCTGATGCTCCTCCTATAAACGAAACGAAAACGTTGCTCAGATTGCCGTTCTATTTGTGTGTGTGTGTCTGTGTGTGGATTTGATTACCAACCAAGATCTCATCTATGCGCTGATTGGCATCGGGCAGCTCATAGCGATTGCACTGATCCCGCAGTTGGGCAGCCACATTGACTTGCTGGTGCAGATCCCTCTGGATTTGCTCCAGTGAATTACTCAGGACATGCTCGATCTCTTCTGTAAAGTAAGCCACAAGGTTTTAACTCTCTCTCTCGCTCTCTCTCTCTCTCTGTATCTTTCTCTATCTCACCTGTGCTGGGCATGAAGCGTCGCTTGGCCTGTTTCACACTATCGTTATCAGTGTGGACATCATGGGATGCACTGCAACGCTTGAGCATGACGGATGTCTCCGGCGTCAGTGGTCGTTGACAGTAGTCGCAATCACCGTCACCCAAGCAAGTGCAGCTATTCCGAGTGGACGATGTCGCTGCTCCGCCTGCTCCTGCCGCTGCTGCTGCTGCTGAGGAGCAGCTGGCATTGGCGTTGGCGGAGTGGAGGCCACGTAGATGCTTGGCGGCCGTGACATTGACAACGCTGACACTCTTCGATATTGATGACTTCACGGAAGATGTCTCGGGCGGCACCAGCGCCAGCGGCGGCGTCTTGGAGCTACCCAAACGTGACTGCGACGACGACGCCATGGAACCACCCTCCAAATGATACGAATGGCCACGTTGAGAATGCTGTGTATGTGAGTGAGACTGAGACTGCTGATGTTGATGTGATTGCTGATTGGCATGGGTATCGTAGCTGAAGGATGTGATGCTTGCGAGTCCCTCCTCGATGTCGTCATCGTAGTCATCATCGGCATCATCATGGCCAACACAATGCATATCATCATCATCATCAGCAGCAGAAGCAGCAGCTGAAGCTCCACCAGCAACATTGTGATCAGCTAGCTCATCATTGTCGGATGGCAGCGGCAGGGCATGATGATGATGATGATGATGATCGGCAGATGAACGGAGATTATGGATTAGACGGAGTACAGCTTTCTCTAGTTGCGCTGGATGCTCCGAGGCGGGCACATCGATGGTCGATTGCGGTATCTGTGTATTGATGATCACCGAGAATTTCTTCTTCATCTCCTGCACGCGTCGCTTGCCCTCCTCGTCATCAAGCAGAGTGTTGACGCAGACAAACGAGTGCACCCGGTTCGTCTCCTTGTCAATCTCCAGATATCCCTTCGATTGCAGATAGATAATGTTGCCGTTGCGCGTGAACAGGCGATATGTCGACTCGCCATACGAACTATTGCAGTCATACACTGAAAGAAGAAAGCGTCGCACTAAATGATTAAGACACTCAATATTGGAATACCACTCGCTGGCACTCACTTTGACGCAGTGCAACAATCACCCAGCGGACATCGTCGTTGTGCATGAAGGTGAACGGATTCAGATTGCGCACCTCATCGGTCATATAGCCGGCGACGACGCCTATCCGCTGATCGCAATCAATGATCCGGCCATCAATCAAGTGGCGAGTGCGGTACTCCAGAGTATTCGCATCGAACAGACGATTCACGATCTTTGGCGGCCGAATGATCCGCGCCAAGGCAGTCAGCACCTGAAAGTCAGCAAGTGAAATAAACGCGTCATTTCTGCATAAATTTCAATTAAAATAAGTTGTTGCCTTGGTTCGATTGAACTACTACTCACTTAACTGAACGAACCAAACTTTGCTTCAGTTCATTCAAGTCATTCGTTCAGTTCGTTCGTTAAGTTCAATCATTTAAGTAAATATATGGTTTTAATAAAATGTTAATTAAAAATAAATAATTCAAAGCTGATAACGAACGTTAATCGGCGATTGCAGAGAACGAACGAATGAACGAACTAAATGATCGTGATTCGTGCCAATAATTGAGCGACTGAACAACTCCATTTGGCATCAACCATAGAGGAAAGACGCTACTCACAATATCGTTGCCGCTAATTGTGTGCAACGGTATCGCATCGTCGCGTCCGCGTGTTCGTCGTATCAGCTGCAAACTGGAGCTGAACGTATTTGAGCGTACGCCCCGCGGCGCCTCATCGCTGCGACGGAAGCACCCATCGATTTTGACCACCTCGTAGGCGGTCGGCTCGGAGCGGGGACCAGCGCGTGCCAAGCTGCAAGTGGAGCGAAAGAGATACAAAGAGTTGCATTATGTATCGATGTCAAGCACTTCATATTACAATATGTATCGATATATCTGAGTCTTGTGATATATCGATAGTAAATATCCTTTATCACTTACCGCACACGAAAGCTGCGCCTATCGTCGCGCAACTTTCGATCGATATAATCCTCCTCGGATTTACTGCGCTGCCGGGGTTCACCATCGTCGTCCGTGGGATCCGCATGGGCATCGAAGAGATTCTCAAGCTCGGTGGGGATGAGCTGTTGCTTGAGCATTTCATGGTCCTCAGGATGAGCGATCTGCAGTATGCTCTGCCCATACAAATCCGTCTGACAATGGCCCAAATGTTGTTCGATGCTCGGCGATATCAACAGTATTTGGCCGTGACAGGTGAGAGTGAGAAAAAAGCTGTCCAACATTTCCATTAGAGTGTCCGTCACTTGGGGCCTCTGAAGATGCAGTGTCTTACCAAACACTAAAAATAAACAAAAATAAAAAAAAGCATAAGTCAATTTAAATTTCGATGCGAATTGATTAAATATCGATAGCTACAACTATTTTAAGTCATGTGCTTAAGTGCAACACATCTCTCTTGCAGTCTGGCAGCACCGGCAACAAGTTTAAATTTTCAGATCGTAACGGCCTTTGTAACGGCCAAAGTGCACTTAAAATTGAGTTGCCAGATAGTGTGATAGTGAAGGAAAATTGCATGGAAATAATTTAAACTGTGACGAGTTTGCTTGTTCGTTTGCTTGTTTGTTTGTTTGCTTGTTTGTTTGTTGTAGCTTACCGTATTTAAGCCGCAGTCCGTGCGCAGCGAAACGCAGCACTGCCGTTTTGTCGACGCGTCGCGGCGACTCCGCCACATGCGGCACCATTGTCGACAGCTCCTGTATGGAGCCATTTAGTTTATCCCGACGATTTTTCTCTGCCCGATTGCGTGCTTCGCGACCGCTAAAATGGAGCACAAAGTGCAGGGATTATTATTCATTTGCAATGCACTTGTGAAAATATAAATAAAATAGCGGGTGGTTATGGGTTGGCTTGGGGTGAGTGGTTAAAGGGGGACAGCCAGGTGGTAGTGGTGCTAATGTTTTTGTTTACTCATTGCATTAAAGCGCATGACATAACAGTCTAGGAACAACACACACACACACACAGCAATAAAAACAATAGCTGTTAATAATTATCAGCAGCTGAAATGCAGTTAGCGCGAGGCAGCTGACGTCGCTGTCGGCTACTGGCGGCTTACAGCCGATCCAAGTGCAAAGCCGAACATGGCGCCAAAATTCCGACAGAGCCAGAGAGACAGGGAGAAGGAGAGCTTAGAAGAAGAGTATGTCTCCCCTCTTTTTAAGACGCACAAGCTGTGCCTAAATATTATTGTTCGCTGCACTAAAGCTACGCTCACTTCGCTCTCTGACTTGTCTGCTCTTCTGCTCTCTTTGCCAGGCTGTCTGCTGATGGTGAGGTTCCCAGGGGGCGTATGACTAATTTATACGGAAATATGAGAAACAGTTTTGTTCGATTAGCAATCTGTTGTTGCTGTTGTTGCTCGCTCTGATGTAATTTATTTTAAAACGCAATTGCAGAAGAAAAAAAATATACAGTAGAAATATTGTTAGGTTGCAAGTGCAAAAGCAGCAGCAACAAAAACAACAACAGCTAATTCAAATATATACATGCAAAAATGAAAAGGCGCAAAAACGTTGTAGCGAATTTACTTAAGTGCAGCTACTCACACTCACACACAAACACACACACACACAACACTGAATGTTTTCATTTACCCTTTATATATATTGGTAAGGGGTATATATACTTGAAATGAAATAAATATTGAGCATAAAATTGAAATTCAGCAAATTGGAATCGAACTGAAAGCGGAACAATTCCGTTTGACAGCCTGTTGGAAAATTGAGTGTGTCTGTTTAAATATCAATAGTTTAATTGCTTGAAAAACCATCGATAAATAATTTTAATAATACGAATAAGTTATATTTCATAAATAGTCGATTTCTCGAGTTTAATAAAATAACTGCGGAATAATCAGAATACTGATTAGAATTTCTGCATAAGGTGTGAATAAATAATATAATTAATTATATGGTTAGCTTTATTGCAGGGTATCCCATATAAATCATATATGCTCATTTTCTCATTGGGGTGCGGGTATCGAATTCAAGTTTAAGCTTGCAAACAGCACTCAAGACACCCTGTGCTAAGTCTTGCAAATACCACAGGGTGGCACATGAAAAAGGGGCAAATGTAGTAAATATACGAGTATCGTTGAAACTCTTTAAGGAGTGAATTGGTTAAGTTTGTTGGTTGGGTGTGTTGCCCTTGAGACGTTCGCTTTGTATCCATCAAGTGGTTTGACGAGGAAGTGCAAGGTGTTCACGCCACTCGACGCGACCATTTTGTCGCTGATTACGAGTGCGGCGCCTCAGAAAACAATGCAGTACACACACACACACACACACATGTATATGTTTATATATATATATATATATATATATAAATTGTTTGACATTTGTTTAACATGCTGCAGTTGGTCGACACAACGCTCTCTCGCTCTCTCTCTTTCTCTCTCCCTGTCTCTCTCTGTTCCGCCCTCAATATCTCTCCCGGACGTATGTACATAAATACAGTCGCTCACAGCTTATTTCGCCCAGCATTTAACATAAAAAAAAGCTTTTGAAGGCAGACAGATTTTAAGAAAAAAGCAAGCACAACAGACTAGTAAATAAATATTGAGGACATGACAAGACTTTTATAAATAACTGATAGAAAAACTTAATTATTTGAAGACAAATTTAATTTAACAGCTTATTTCGCCCAGTAAAAATATGAATGATTTAAACTAAATTAAATACATTGGAAATATTCTTAATATTGTTAACTTCTGACTGACGAAATATATCTAAAATTGCTTACTCTCGTTACGAATATATTGACTAAAGCATAGATATCACAGCTAGTCAATAAACATAGCTGTGGCATTCAATTGATCAATTATTTTTAGTTTTTTCTTTCTTCGCTTATTTATGTTTTCTTAAATTGAAACATTAATTCGCAACTCTGTGCTAGAATTCTGATAATATCTCTGTGCATTCAAAAGTTATACACATTTCAAATATGGGCAACATTATTTGTGAGCGACTGTATTTTATATTGCTGTCTTTCTCCCTCTCTCTCTCTCTCTCTCTCTCTCTGTCTTTCTGCTTCGGTTGCTTGTTCGATTGTTATCGTGATTGGTTGATATGTTTGTTTATTTCGCAACTTTGTAACGGTGTTATCGACGCCCGTATCAATTATCGTACGCGCAATACACACTCTCCCCCTCTCTCTCTCACGCTCTCTCTCTCACTGTCTCGCTCTCTGTTACTCCCCTTCTATCGAAGTATTGCAGCAGTGACCTTGGGCGCTGTGCAGAAAGAAAGAAATACGAATGAATTGCAGTCGAACGGATTTGTTGTTGCAATGAAAATGATCGACTGATATATACCCTGTTTTTTCTTCTATTTTTTTCGTGAAAGCAATTAACATAGTATGTGATTAATAATCAGATAATCGATTATCAATTTTGAAAATAATGATATACTAAATATTAATAAATAAAATAACTAATAAATACTAAATACTATCAAAACAAAAACAACTTGGAGAGAGTTGAAAAGAAAAGCCGTACTTCGTTTGATCTTTAGATAATCACAGGATGGATACCTCATAGTATTAAATAAATTTGAAAATGATTATTCCGATTCCTTGTGGCCTATCAATGTTCCGCTTGCCCGATATACCCGATAAGAAAGCTTGTTGCTTGCTGGCTATTTATTGCTATGTAAATAAGGAAATCAATTCAGTATTCGGTATTGCGTATCGCTTGCTCTGTTTACGGTTGCTGCCAATCAAATTGCCCGTGTACCGACTTGTTTGCTCTTGTGGGTGATGGGCTTGTGGGTTCGTTGGATTTATATGTGGTTTGCGGTGGGGTGGTTGCGTTTCCACTTGTTACTTGTAGCACTCAATGTGACCGACTCAATGCACGCGTGCCATAAATCTCAACAGACGATAACAAGAGTTGAATAACAACACCAACAACAACAACAACAAATGCAACTCATGAGTGCACCAAATTATTATTCATGGAACTTGTCAGCTTTTGGAGAGTACCAGGGCGGGGAGCGTATACAATGGTGCAGACTTTCGGGTTTGTTTAGTCAATGACCAACTGGGCCAAATTACTGTCTCGTCAAATGTGTTACGAAAATAAATATGGCAAAGTCGAAAACAACATTGATACAAATATAGCAAAATAATTGCAACGCACGCCACACGGGAGCTGTAAGACAGAGAGGGGAGGGAGAGAGAGAGAGAGAGAGAGAGAGGAGAAAGGAGAGAGGTGGCAAGAAAGCGTGCAATTAGGGGTGCTGCATGTGGGTCTAGGGGCAAGCGGCTGAGGCAGCCAATCACTGTTTCGTAGACAAACACAAAGAGCAACGGGTGGCAAGCAGCACGTCGCTTAACAATTGTGGCCAAATTGGCTGCACGGGTCACAAAGCTGAACAGCAGGGGCTTCCCACTGGCAATCGTAGGTGGCTGGTGGGTGTTAGGGGGGGGGGGGGCGCTGTATTGAGGGTGGTTTGCTACTGGAGGCTGTTGTGCTGCTTCCATCGCTTGTGGGTCTGTCAATTGTGCCCGTTGAAGAAAGGGTACAAAAATAAAATATTTTGTCAGAGAACCAACAAATTTCAACTGAGGTTTTTTATATATATATATATATGAAACTACCTTTTCTGGTAAAACCATATAACATTAATAATTTTATGGGATAAATTGCGCAACGGATAAGCATCGATTTAATTTCACTCTTTTATTGAAATGTTGATTTCATTGAAATCTATCGATAAGTATCGATGTTCGATTTGTATAGCCATGATGATTGAGATGTGTGTGTGTTTAGGCATGCATACAAATAATCGTGTAAAAGATATCTGCTAGTCGGGCACTCTTGGTTTAACTTACCTATTGGATAGCTGGAACATTTCCATCATTGTCTCGTGCGGATGCGGATGCTGATGGTGTGGATGTGAGTGCGTATGTGGATGGTGCGAATGTGGATGCGGATGCGAATGCGGATGATGATGATGGGGATGAGGATGCAGGACATGGCCGGCATGATGTTGCAGCATCCCATGCGCAAAGGGCGCACCAGTCGCTTGGACCGCATAGCCACCATAACGGTTATAGGTGTGTCCGCTTCCCGATCCGGATCCCGATCCCGATGCCGAACCGTTGCAATACGGTGCATTCGGATACCACATGTTGGGATAGAAACTGGAGGCCGATGAAGACGCTGCTGACGATGATGATGAGGACGACGGCAACGTCTGGGAATGTGTATAGGCGCCTGGATGCAATCTGCCGGCACCGATTGCCGTACTGGGACCCGTACTCAGACTGCCCGTCCCCGTTGAGCCCGGTGATGGATAGCTATACTGGAAAGTTGTGTTTGAGGGCGGACGCAGCATTATGTCGCTGTTGGACGGTGTCGGGGATTGATAATAGCTATTTGCGGCACTACCGCTGGCATAATCTGAATCCGTGTAGCCATCATCTAGTTCGGGTTCCAGTTCCGTTTCCGCATCCGCATCCGTTTCTAGTTCTAAGTCCGGTGTGCAACCAACATTCTCCCGGTCCGCAGCATCTGTGCTCCAGCCGGACGCATATTGTGACTGCGACTGCGACGGCGGATCATCAAAGAACGGAATGTCTGTTTTGAGATCTTCAGCGTCCTCCGGAATCGGAGCCGTAATCGCTGCAGCCGAATTAGATTGACCGGATTGGCTTGTCGTTCCACTCGCTCCATCCGCCGGCCGCTTCAGATAGGCATCGAGAGCGCTCATTTTGCTGTTGTTGACCGGGGCGCTGAAATCGAAAGAGATTTGAGATTAGACTTCGATATGTGTGGGTGGAAGTAGTTGAAACTATCAATTTGGTAAGCCTAGCCCCAAAAACGTTGAATCTTTGAAGAAATCCACAAGCAAATATTATTTTCAAGTTCGGTAACTCTACAATTCACACTGTGGGAGCTATGTGAATTGATCGATTATAGATATTATCGATTTTCACGTATCGATGTTGTCGATTCTCCTGCATAGCATCGATAACATGGTTACACAAGTGCTTATCGATAAGAACACATAAGTCGCACAATATTAAAGCTAAACTAACCGTATTTCAAGGAAACTCAAAGATCGACACATAAATTTGCTGGAAAATGTTTTAATATCGTCTTTTATAAAACCGATATTTACAAATAAAAACGGATTGGCAAAGAGTCCAAAACGACTTCAACAGCAATAACAATCTGATAAGATTTTAATTGGTGCAACGATTTAGTTTTAAATACCCTACAGCCATAAAATGTGTTTACGAGTGTAATAATAAAAATTACACTGGAACAAATGACACAAAAATAAACTTGGTCAGCAAATAACAAATAACAGCAAATAACAACAAATAGATGTAGAAAAGTATTAATTAGATAATCTTATATAATTGAAGACTGATTACAGGGTATTTGCAAGTGGAACTGCAGCTTGCCTAAATAATTAGTTGATTTCTTTGTTGAGTCTTGCTTATCGAATACAATTTAATTTAGCTCTTAATTAATATAATTTGTTGTTGTTTGTTGCTGTTGTTGCGTGTCTTGTGGTAAATAAATTGTTGTTTTTTATTGTTTTCGATGAACAAACACGAAATATTTGTCGCCCTTGTTTACGATTCTTTATACTTTCACGTCTGTCGCAGTTTGTTGTGAATCTATTTTCGTGACAGGTTTGAAATTCAAAATAGATTTCAAACAGGACTACTTTCGAAACTACAATATACCCTGTAATTATAATAAATGTTCAAATAACTATATTACATATTATGGACACTTTATCGCTTTTTTAGAAATACACCTTGACTGAGATTTTTTTTTTGTTTTTTTTTTGGTCTGCAACTTTTGCGGTTATGACGTGCTACCAAATGTAAAAGGATGCAGCACTACGCGAGAGTTCATAGCAGGCAGCTACGAAACGTAAGCAGGGATCACTAAGAGTTGCCAGACTGTGTAGAAGCAGTCATTATTGTGGGGTATCTGTTAGTCAGTTCCGGTCGACTATAGTCGATTTGCAGATTTTATGATTAGGATCGTAAAATTCTAGAAGCTATAAATGCTTTCAAAACTTATGGTACGAGTCTTTATGTGTCATAGACATATATATATATATATATAAATATGTATATATTTATTTATATATATATATATATATATATGTATGTATATATAAATGGTAAATGAGCAAGTGACGCCTATAAATAATACTCTTATATACACCACACACAAGTTTAGCAGCAAAGCAAATAAATATATATCCAGATGATATCTTTGAACTATATTTATATTTACTTTTCACTTGCCATTTTCACTCTCTTTGTCGCCGTCTTGTTGTTTTTTCTTTATCTTTCGTTTCATTTATCTCTTCATTTTTTTTTTGCATGCATTTCAGTTTGTTTTTGTTCGATTCGTTTTTGATTTGAGATTCAAGTGTTTTTAATTGACTTATTTCTAAACAGATCGTTTGCCTTATTTTAGAAGGTGAGGCGTGAGAACGGTCAATAACCCGTGGAAATATAAATTAACAAGTTACTTTTTGCTTAAATAAAAAAGTTGGTTATTCATTCTTATACTTTTTTTTTATTTCAACAATTGTGAATTGAGCCCTTGGCAATGAATATTGTGAATAGAATTTAGTCGTAAAACGACGAAGGAATCAGAGAGGGGGCGAGAAAGAGGGAGAAACAGAGAGAGAGAGAGAGAGAGAGAGAGAGAGTGACAAATTGGGTACGGGTCAATCCCCTTGAGCTATCGCTTGTCCAACTCTCACTCCAACTCTCTGCTGGCATACAAAATTCTCGTATTGTGTCCATCAATCAATCAGTATGCAAACACAATTGAGAGAGAGAGAGAGAGAGAGAGAGAGAGAGAGAGAGAGAGAGAGAGAGAGAGAGAGAGAGAGAGAGAGAGAGAGAGAGAGAGAGAGAGAGAGAAAGAGAGAGAGAGAGAGAGAGAGCTTGTGTGTGTGTGTGTGTGGGTGGGTGTGTGTGCTAGAGCGCATTGTAATTTTGCATATACATAGATTCATGAACGACAATTATAATAATAATCTTCGTCAGCGTCAACGCAGACATTTAACATTAAATTGCTTTGATAAGCCGTAGAAACACTTTTTGTTTTCTTCTTGTCTGTGGCAACCCACTCAAACTCACACACTCTCTCTCTCTCTCTCTATCTTGCTCTCTTTTTGTCTGCTGCTGCTAGATAAGTAACTGTAACCATAACGATTCAGCCCAGCGCCTCCTCACAGGTGTTGTTGCTGTTTATTTGCGGCTTAACTCAACCAGAGACGTTGCCAGACTGACAGGAGCTTTACACTTCACACACACACACACACACACACACACACAAGGCAGAGGGAGAGCATCAAATATCAAACATGTAGGTTAGGAGTCGCCGCAACAACTACTTAACATAGATATGTATGTATATGTACATACATACACACAAATACAGTCGAGTAAGAAATAAAAAATCAAAAAAGAAGAAAAAATCAATTTCACTTACATGTTTTGCGCTGTTTCTTATACTTCTGCATGAAGTGCGAGTCGCCTTATTGTTGCTGTTACTGAAGCTTTTGCTGCTGCTGCTGCTGCTACGGCTGCTGCGCTGCTTAGCGTTGGCTTTCGCGCTCACCGCAACACACTTTGCTCTCCTTGATTTTCTTTTGCCGCCGTCAATTTTGTTTGTTTGTTTTTTCCTTGCGCTGCTGCTGCTGCTGCTGCGACGCTGCAGTCAGGGTTAAGCTTTGAGTTGTTTTGGTTTCTTTTTTTAATACTCCCCTTGCTGTTTTGCGTATGTTTGTAATGTTTATGTATGTAAAAACATAAAAAAAAACCTATGCAAGCTTTAAATATGTGTTATATATTTTATTTTATACACTTTCCGCTAGGAATATGCCTGCAGTTATTATTGACACTGTTTGTAATATTTTTTTTGGTATTTATTTGGTTGGTATTTTGTTGTTGCTTCGTTTGTTATTTATTTTATTTTTATGTATGCATATTTGTGTTGCTGCAGCTGCTGCTGCTTATTTTTCTTAAGTTGACTTGGGAGTTTTGCACTGGTTGTTGTTGTTTTTTCGCTTTAAATTATTGTATATTTTATTTTGTTTGTTAATATTTGTACAGCTGTTGCGGCGTAGAGGTAAATGTTGTTGTTGTTGTTTTGTCGCACTGCTGTCGGCTGGTGTTCATTGTTGTTACATTAACTTATTGTGAACTCTAAGAAGACACAAACAGAAAAAAAAGTTAAATAAAAGAGCATTTTTTATTCGTTGTTTGCATTATTCAATTTTTCAACTTGTTTCAAACACACACACTTTAAACTAAAATGCTTTATTATTATTATTGTACTTGTTGTTGTTGTTGACCACAAACATACACAACAAAAAAAAGATTTTAATAGATTTTTAATTTATTTTAAATTACATTTTCCATGTTCATTTTTTTCGTTTTTAGAGTTTGTCGTCTGCTTTTAGCTCGTTTTTATGACTTTATTTACATTTTTTTTCGCATTCGATTTTGTTATTGTTGCTAATTAACAAAATACCAAAAAGAAAAAAATGTTACTTTAATATATGTATAGCTAATCAATTTTTTTTCGGTTGTCACCTGTTGCTGTTGTTGTTGAAAAGCAACAACAAAAGCCAAAAAAAAATACAAAAAAACACAAGCTTCGGAAACCGGTTAAAGCTGCGTCTTTGCTTGTTTCATTTAGCATCAAACAGCCACACACAGCTGAGTTTGTACATGTATGTGTGAGTGCGTGTGTGTGTGTGTGTGTGTGTTGGGTGTCAGTGGAAAAAGCGCCAAAGTTCTGTGCGAGAGCTTTGACTTTTGAGTTTGACTTTGAGTTCGCGATTTGCCACATGCATTTCCGTGTGTGTGCGTCTGTGTGTGTGTGTGCTGTTATAAAATAAAACGCTCATAATACTAGTATAAGAGCTTAGAAGAGCATAAAGTATAACCTTGCTGTTTTTTATTGTTTTTTTTTCCTCTTCACGAAAGAAAATAAAAAAGTCGAAAAAAAATACTCGAGGCACGCATGGAAAATAAATGTCTACTTAATGTATTGTGGGGTGGGGTTGTGAGGGGTTGGGTGGTTGCGGGTGGTAATTTTGGGTCATAGGCAAGCACCTAATAAATGTGCGACCTAATTTCTTGTACACATTGCGGAACAAACACGCAAAACAAAATTAATGGGAAGTAGTTGTAAAAGAAGAAGAAGCAGTAGCAACAGCAGCAACAACAGCAGCAACAACAGCAGCAGCAGCACCAGCAGTAGTAGTGACAGTGACAGTGACACTGGTCTGGGTCAATCACCTGGGTCGCAGTCACAGTCGCAGCCATCATCGAGCAATAGCCACTCTCCCTCTCTCGCATTCTCGTGCTCTCTCGCTGTATTTGCATTACGTTCAAGTGCCGTAAAGCGGCATCGCAATTGCTAGACGGAGACGCAGATTATCGCAATACAACAACAACAACGACGACAACAACAAGAATGAACGAAAGTTTTTTGTGAGCGCAATAAAAAAAAAACAATAAATAAATTATATAATATGCGCCCGCTGCTTGTTCTCGCTTGTTCTCGTTTATTCTCGCCAGTTTGTCATATTATCCCCTCGACACCCCCCCCTTCCCCATTTTCTCTCATTCAACAGCATTTGTTTACTTCTGCTCTGTTTGGTATTTGTGTGCATGTGTGTGTGTGTGTGTATGTGTGTTTGTGTGAGTTTGTGCTAACGGTATGACAGTTAATTACAGAGCGCACTCAAAACTGAGCCAAATAGCTGGCATTGCCATATTACGTATACAACACATAGACATACACACACATACAGACACAGCTGCTTGAATGTGTTTATCTGTGTGTGTGTGTGTGACGACTAGTTTATAAATAGAGCTAAAGATGTGACAATTTCTGTAGTTGATGTTGTTGTTGTTGTCGTTGAGAGCGCATGATTGAATACCAAACGTAGTCTAACTGATAAATCACGCAACTGCGTATCTTGCGAATGTTTGGCTATTGCCACATTCTGTGACACACACACATCCTTTTGAAGCACCGTTGCTTGTTATTTATTTACCAAGTTTTGCGGTATTTTCTCTGCTTCTACAGTGTTACAGAAGATGAACAAAAATATAAGAACATTTCATATTTATATTATATTATAATACTACATATGTATAATTAATAATTAATTCTTTTCAATTCTATTCTATTTGAAAATAAATAAATATATATATATATATATATTATATATATACATTATAGTTCAACGTGTTAAATAACAAGAGATAATCAAAATCACAATATTACGTTTCTATTTCACGATTGACCACTGTAAAACTGATACTGACTTCCGACACCCCCTCTCTCTCAATATCTCTCTCTCTTCTCCACCAAACTGTAACTATTCCTGCTCTGGTCATGTAAACGCTCTGCTGCTGCGAAATGCCTCGACCTGGCCTAACGACAAAACGTTGAGCGTCAACCGCGATGTTGACGACGACATCAGGTGGTAGCTGCTGCCAATTCACCGTCGCAAAAATAGCTTTGTACACACACACACGGACGCGCGCACAGAGAGACGAAACTGTTAAGTATGTACACATATACGTACATATACATACTTGTGCATATTTGTATGTTAAAAGTTTCTCAATTTAGCACGTCCCATCTCGATTGCTGTTACTGTTGCTGTTCTTGTTGTTGTTGCAACTGCATAAGCAGAAAGTACTGTTGTTATTATTAATTGTATACACTGCACTCTCGCTTTGGAGTCCACGCTGCGTATGCGTAATCTGTGCAGTCAAAAATAAAAATTCACTTGCACACTTGTTGTTGCTGCTGCTGCTTCTGCTGTTTCTCTCTCACTCTCAATCTCTCTGTTCGATCAGATTGCTCAGCAAGCTCAGTTCATTGAGTGATGCTGATAATGATTAACATTAATGCACATGTAACTAGAAAAAGCATGTTCTGGATTAACATTCGGAGAACACTTGCTGTTAAGCGCAACTCACTTGCTTATCAGAGCTTACATTACAGGTTAGTCTCTGTGTTTCTTTGTATGTCTGTGTGTGTGTGTGTGTGGAAACGGTAAGGTAAGAAATTATGTATTGTGCTTTAAGCAGCTGCTGCTGCACTGGTATTGGTAGGCACTTGCTGTGTGTTCGTGTGTGTGTGTATGAGCTTCGCCTCTCTGTCTCTCTCTCATGCTTTGTATGCGAGACGTGAGGCGAGGCGACGCGACGCCGCAGCTGCAGCGACGGCGGCAGATGCGACGTCAGCAATAATTTTTTGTGTTGCGAGGAGACAACAAAATAATACTTATAATAAAAAACTCGAATTGTCTATGCGTTTGTGTGTGTAGGTTGTTTATTGTTAAATTGAGGAGAATTTTGCAACAAATACGTCAAGCTAATTGTTAGTAAAATTAATAACTTTTTAAACGTTAGCGCTCAGCGTCGCAGTCGTTTCGCTGCCGCAGTTGACGTTACTGTTAGCTATTGGCGCCGGCGTCGACGACACTTTTTGACATGCGTTCAAATTGAAAACGAAGAAGAAGAAGCAGGCGAAGACGAAGAAAAACAACAAAACTAACACCAAAATAAAATCGAACGAAAATGAAATAAAATAGAAATATACGAGACGCACACACACTCTCTCACACACACACATACACTCACGCACAGCGAAAAGAAAAAAAATCGAAAAATAAAACCTTGAAAACGACACAACAACAACAGCAACAGTAATAATGAAACCGAAAAACTTTATTAGACTTTTAATGAGTGCGTTTTGTTCGTTTTTGCTGTTATTGTTGCTTCCTATTGTTTTTAATCTTATGTTCCTTTGTGCTTGTTTTTGTTGTTGTTGTTGCCTGCTCTTTGATATTTTGATTGATTTGGCGGCAGATAAAACTAAATAAATATTTTCAGGCAAATACAAAATGAATATGCATATATATAAAAATAATTTTTGTTTTCAAAATGAAAAGCAATTCTAAAAATCGAGCCGAACGCAAATAAGCTAAAAAAATGAAACTGGAAATTCATTAATATGTTAATTTTTCTTTTGGCTCACTAATACACACGCACACAAAACATTCACACAGGGAAAGAAAAGGCGCACATGGGCACGTTCAAGCGACATGTGTACATAAATATGTATGTATTTACGAACATACACACATACATATATTTCATGTTGTTGAATGTTGTCTTGTTCAACATTTGTTGCAGTCGCTCTCAAACCACAAGATGGCGTTATCCTCAGCTGTTTACACACACACACACGCACACTCACAGGGAATATGCATTTTTGAGCAATTGTTGCACATTTTCGATTACCGATATACCGATTGCAATTTCGATTTCGAGTTCCGAGTTCGATGCCCACATTTGAGAAGAGAGCGCGCGCGCTCGGCTACAAAAGCGAATCAGCAAACGGCAAAAAAAATATTTTAAAAAATAAAAAAAAATGAAAAAAAAAATAGTTACGAAGACGAAGGCGATATGAACGGAACGCAGAAAACAGAAAACAGAAACTGAATCACAACAATTGTAGCTGTAGCTGTAGCTGAAGCTGAAAGCGAAGCCAGCAATCGGAACAAGCGGGCGAACGGGCGAACGAGCGAACGGGCGAGCGAGCGAGCGAGCGTACGTTCGACGTCCGAACGAACCGCTACAGAAACAGAAATTAATTATATTGAAATCACAAACTAAACTAATCAGCCCAAGCAGCAGCTCGACCGCTGCCGCGAGCGAGCTTCGACACACACACACACACACACACTTTCAAATAGACAGAGAGCGAGAGAGCGGAAGAGCGCGAAAGCAAAGCAAAATAAAGCACTTTGAGTGGGAGAGAGAGCACTATTAGAGTGGGCGCTGAAGCGCTGCGGAGACCTTGAAGTCATTGCGTCAAAAGCCTTGCCTAAAAGGATAACAACCAAAAACAGAAAGGAAAAAAGAAACTACATTCACACACACACACACACGCACAGTTGGCGCTGCTTTTAACGGTGGTTTATGTTAATTTTTGATGTTATGCGTGTTTCTTTATTTGTATTACAGCAACAACTACGCAGCGGCGGCAATAGGTGCTTAGGAGAGACAGAGAGAGAGAGAGGGAAAGAGAGCGCACTGGCTGTCGTTAAGCTTTCGATGTGAACGAAGCTACTTCTGCTGCCCGCACACACTTACACAACAACAATAACAGGCGCCGTGCAACAAAATATGTATATACATATATATACACATACATATATAAAGATATGCATATATATATATATAATTTTTTTTTGTGTTTAAATTTTAATTGAAAAAAAAAAACTCAATATTTAACTGCATCGGCGATATTTACGCAAATTTCGTTTTTGTTACTTTCGCGCTTTCGGCTACAAATGAGAATTTCGCTCAAAACTGCGTCCGACGTCTTTGGACTTGGACTGCTGTTGACCGACTAGCGGCGAACGCAACAGCAACGCCAGCGACTTTAACAGTGTGTCCAGGCCGGGCCGGGCCCCAGGACGCAGAGGCGTTAAATGTCATACAGCTGAGCCCATTTTTGGCTCAAGGAGCTTTCGCTGTTGCTTTCGCTGCTGCTGTTGCTGCTATAGCTGCTGTTATTTTCATGGTCAGAGATGTTATTTGAGCGTAAGCTTTGGGTGAGCTTTGCCTGCATAGCGTATACGCAATATTTGTTGAACTTTGCTCTTTGCTCTTCACTCTCTTATACGGCGGAAGCAATGAATATATTCGAAATGTATATGTTTTCTAATGGGAGTTCATAAAACGCGCGCAAGCCATTTCTCAATATGAAACTGACTTTTACACCCTCCCAAACACACACACACACACAAAAATGTGCGTTTTACGTTATAATCAGTGTTGCCAAGTGTACAAATTGTACTTAATACGCCACTCAACGTATTATTCGAAAGTAATATATACCATTTTTATATGTAGCAACACAGAAATGCAATCGTTTTGCTTATTTCTTTTTTTACAATATATGATGAAACTAACCTCAAAAGTATGCTACGTTTTTTTATTATTTCCATTTTCTTACTTGGCTACAGATACAGTTCGTGTTCTTGATATCTTCTGATGTTCTTCTTTTTGTCGATCTTCATATTTGGTTGTAAATTGCCATTGTTGCCAGACTGGCGTTTTTTTATATTTTGTTTTTGGCGCCATTTCCTAACAGCGCTGTTACACTGTTGCTTAACGTGACATGTATATCGCTAATTGTCGATTGTCGATCGATAACAAATATACATATCGAAATTCAAATTGCGCACTAACCTTTAAATTTTTCTTGTGTGAATTTTGCTATGCATCGCGCAGAACATTGAGTTCCTCGGGAATGGCATAGATGCGCAACTGTTTCTCCATCATGACGTCCTGCAGATTGGCCAACTCCTGCGGCACATACGTCACCCCATCCATGTAGAGCGCCTTGTCCCAGGGACACTCATCCAATGCCATCAGCAGGCAACGTTTGCTCCGCTCAAAGCTCGTCTGCTCCGTCGACAGGGTGCGCAAGTAGAGGCGCCAATAAAGCGAATTGCGACGCAAAATCGCATACTGCTCGGCCTCCAACTGGGTGCGATGCGGATTCGTTGGCAGCAGTGTCTCAAAGATGCTCAGCAAACGATTCTGCAGCAACTGCTGCAAATGTGCACGTGAATGCAGATGCTCGTCGAGATCAGGCTGCTGCTGCTGTTGCTGCTGCTGCTCCACGCAGCGACAGCGTGCGGCAAGCACGAGATGCAGCAGTGACAGTATGCCGGCACGGGTGTGCATGAGTCGCATACGCAGCTTGTACCAGGGCAGCGAGGCGAGGCTGCTCCAGCGTTGCAGCAGCGCCAGATTGCGCGGAAACTCGACGAGCGATTCCTCGAGGAAGCCAACCAGCCGTTGCGACGCTGCTTTGCCGGCTAACTGCAACAGCAGCAGCTGCAATTCACGCAGCTGCTCTCGCCGATGGCAGCAGTAGGACGAGTTGGAGGTGCTGGAGTCCGAGCTCGTCTCCAGTGCAAAGCGAGGCTGTTGAAGCAGTTGCTCCAGCAACTGCTCTGCCGCCATCGTCTGCGCATCGAGATGCAGCTGCAGGCAATGCAAGCGCAACAAGAGCAATAGGCGATCGGGAACAAAGTAATCCTCCAGCGGCATAGCCCTGTCCGTCTCAGTCTCCGGCTCAGCACGCAGAGCATCATCCAACAGTTGGCGACCGTGTGGCAAGCTGCTGTTTAGCAGCTGCAACGCCTCGCTGCCACGCTGCTGCCCGATCATCATCTCTGTGCAGATGAGCAAAGCATGCAATCGATCCACATCCATAGTCAGATCCGTATCCGCATCCGCATCCGCATCCTGGTCGCCCTTGATCAGACGTTGAAGTGTTTGAAGAGCGCTCGTTTTGTCGGCGAGCGCCTCAAAATCGAACATGGCCAGTTCGGTGAAGAAGCGAGTGACGCAACGATTGGATTGATGGATGAGCAGCTGACGCATCGCCTTCCTTGTGCTGGCCACATAGCGATCCGTCTGCTTGCCACACAGCTGCAACAGACGCAGACAGAGCCGGCGAAACCGAAACGAGAGCACTATGAAAATGCGCCGCTTGGGCTCATTATCATCGTCATCATCGAATGCATTGCTGCACTGCAGCAACAGTTGCGCCACACATCGCTGATACAGCTCAAATCCGATTGTGTGCGGCATATAGCTGGGACTAACGCACAGCTGCCGGGACAGCTCCAACACGGCCGACCAATAGACGCCATCGCGTTCCGGTGGCAGCGCATAGCTCAACCGATCCCCCAAAGAGCCGAGCAGCATTTCAATGGCGTCCGAATCACCGATTTGGGAGATGCGAGCCGCGAGGCGATCCGCCAGAGAATTGCTGCGCACCAGCGGCAATTTGGTCAGCTGTACGGTGAGCAGGAGCAAGTGCAGAGTATTCGCACGCTCCTTCAGCGGATAGATATAATGGCAGACATCCGAACTGTAAACGCAGCGCTGCGGATCAAGTTGCTCCTGCTCGTGCTCGTGGTGCTCCTGCTGCTGTTGTGGATATGGTAAAAATTGATAGGCCTGTCGCAGTCGCTCGATGCGTGTCCAAATCTCTGGCATGGGCATGCCCGAGCGCAACACCAACTCCTCGTAATCCAGCAATGGCTGCTCATCCTGGACACTGGCCGCAAAGCACACGAAATCGGTGCGGGGAAAATTCAATTCCAATGCAAGGCGAAGCAGCGCAAACATTTGCTCCAAATTCGCCGATTGGCGCAGAAAGAGGACACAATTGTGATACAGTTTGAGCATCAGTTCATCTGTTTGCTGGCCCTGATCCTTCGGGCCGAGATGCATGCGTCGCATACACTGCTCGTACAGCTGCAACACATCCGGCACATTGCAACGGGCCATTGTGCCCTGTGTGCTCATTATTAGCGCCGTCCACAACGTGTACTCGTACGGCGTGCGTCGCAGCAGCTCCTCAATCTTTGTGGCCACCTGGGAATGGGAGGATTAGGATCAGATCATAGCTATTTTGCTGTCCAGGTGTTGAGGGAGCAGCACTCACCTGACTATCCGGATAGGTGGCACTCGTTGTCTCCACGTATAGCTGCAGCAGTCGCTCATTGCCCGGATGATGATGATCGAGTGCCGTTTCCAGCTGATGCAACTGCTGCTCGGCAACGGCCAAGCGATTGCTCTTGGACACATTCTCGCCCAGCAGCCGATGCAGCTCGAGCCAACTGTCTAATTGCTGCGGCTCGCTGCCAATCGCTATTTTTAGCTCTCGAATGCGTTCCATGCGGCTGCTGCTGGCCGTGATTGACTCGATTGCGCTTGGTTTGGCTATCGCCTGAGATTTTTGGCTGAGCAATTTGCTGGCGTGGCGTTTGCGCTTCTTGTGCGGCTGGCTGTGGTGCCTGGGACGCTGTGCGTCTGCCAAGCGACGCATTTGGATTTTGTAGCGGGGACGCGAGAGGCGCGGCAATGTCTGCCATTCCAGGTGCACCTTGTTCGAGGACTTGTCCACGTAGAACTCAACGTTGCTGGCAAATTCGAGTGGACGCTTGTTCGCACTGCATCCCTCACTGCCGGCCTTACTTGATGCGGATTCCGATTCGGAATCAGATTGGGAAACCGATTTGGAATCCGATTCGCTGTCTGGTTTCGCATCTGTCACAGTCACAGCGACCTCATTTGGCAATTCGAAGCTGGGATTGCTTTGCCATTTGGCAGACTTCGCCTCGAAGGATGCGCCGGCTAAAAGATTTCCAAATTGTAATTCAAACCAATCAACAAAAACAAACATAACTAAATAATAGCAAATACCTGCGCCGCTCAATTGCTGCTCCTGCTGCTGCTGCTGTTCTGTGGCATTCACAACATTCGCCTTTGAATTTTTTCCGTCGGCGCCGTATGCCGGAAAAAGCGACATTATTATTTGTATTATTTTGATTGAAATGTTGTTGACTGTTTTTAATGTTTACAAAAGTGTAGCTGGCTTCAACTTTAGCAGCCTGGCAACGCAAAGCTACTTCGGGCGTTGCCACATAGCCACATAATTAGTTAATTTTATTTGATAAACGATAACTGAAAAACATGACGCTAGCTTCTGATGATGCCCAATCTTGACTTGAAACGCTACTCTGATTTTGCAAAAACTCTCTCCATAACAAAAACAGGTATAATTTTAACATTTTCTTATACTCTGACTATGATGTTTTCGCAGCCCTTGCTGTCTATCGATATGCCAGATATCGATGGTTTTCAAGTGACAATGAGGCATCTTTAGAACGGTGTGGCAACGCCGGCATTATTTTGTGTAGAATTCGCTTATTGCTTGTGCCGATTTTGTCGGCCACCTTTAAATTGAAATAAATTTCGCAAAATGTTTAAGAAGTACGTATAAATGAGCGACTGCACTACTAACCGATAAATACTGAAACTGAAACACCATGATCTAGATTCGAAGATAAGGACAGTATCTCATCGATACAGCAGCTCAAATCATCCGTACAGAAAGGCATACGTGCCAAATTATTGGAGGCATACCCTAAACTGGAGACGCACATTGATCTGATCCTGCCCAAAAAGGACTCCTATCGCATTGCCAAATGGTAAGCGCATTTGCATGCAATGCATAACCATAATAACAATTCAACAATTTGCCACTGCAGTCACGATCACATTGAGCTGCTTTTGAATGGTGCCGGTGAGCAGGTATTTTTTCGGCATAGGGACGGACCATGGATGCCCACGTTGCGTCTGCTCCACAAGTTCCCATATTTTGTGACCATGCAGCAAGTGGACAAGGGTGCCATACGTTTCGTATTGAGCGGCGCGAATGTTATGTGCCCGGGCCTAACATCGCCGGGCGCCTGCATGACGACGTCGGAGAAGGGCACAGTGGTCGCCATAATGGCCGAGGGCAAGGAGCACGCGCTGGCCATTGGCCTCCTCACGCTATCCACAGAGGATATGTATGTATCTATATATATGTGTGTATATATATTATTGACATGCTTTTGTTGCAGCTTAAAAGTGAATAAAGGCATCGGCATTGAGACGTATCATTTTCTCAACGATGGCCTGTGGAAATCGAGGCCCGTTAAGTAGTAGACTAATCAACTAACTGGCAATCTGGCAATTTTGGAGCAACACTAGCCATGCAATCCTTGTCTCATCGGACGCTAAGCAGCAGGATTATTTCTTCCTATTTAATTATTACTTTTCTACTCTATTTTTGTTTTTTTTTTTTTGCCTATTGCGCCAGTTGGAACTATTTAAAAATCGAAATAGATACAAAGGATATAACTGCATTTCAAAATGGTTATAGATGGAAGGGGTGGCAGGGGGAGGGGGTGTGTAAAGGACTCACATGCGCGCCTTTGCATGCAAGCAACCACCTGTGGCGATGGCCAGCGTCCAGTTAGTTTGCCAGAGCTGCCACATTGTTGTGCTACCCAAAACAGCACCAAGCGTAGCCAGACAATTTGCGGCGACACAAGTTAATATCGACAATGAAACAAATCCAAATACATTCGCAAATCAGTTTTTAATCAGTTTTAATTTTATTATTCCCTGTTCTTCTGGACGCTGCATATTGATTTTCCATTAATTGGGCAGCACAACAAATCAGCTGTTAATGGCATAACGGTTAACGAGGCACACACATTGTGCGCTTGAATATGACACGGACTACGTCACAATTTCATAGAGTTCCCAAACAAGTTGTGCGTGAATTAAATAAATTTCTGATTTTGGTATGTTCAAAAATGTAAAATTTTACAAAATGATGATAACAAATATGATTAAGATTATCCGACTTTGCCGTAGCCCACGCGTCCAGTCAAAATGCCAGACACAAACGTTGTGACGGATGCATATTGCTCCCAAGGAGACCTTACTCTTTCTCATGGCAATGAGAGAGTGCGAACTAATGTTACGTTTAAATCGCATGCGCTTTGCGCGCAAGTAACGGTTCATATGCATATGTGTGGGATCTATGTTCGTGTGCATGTATTGTACTTTACCAGCAGCAGCAAGCAGCGTAAAAAGGAATTGTTTTCAGTTTTAGTTGCTGTCAGCATTTGACTCGCAGCACGCAATCGACTAAAACTGCGGCGCTCCTTCTAAGTAAAAAAAGCAGTTAAGAAAACTGAAGGAAACTGCGTTGAAAAACCACAAGTGGTAGACAAGAGTTGAACAATAAACGCTGCATAAAACCGCAATGGCTAAAGAAGAAGAAGAAACGCATAAGTGTAAGCAAACAAAAAATCACAAAACTGCTGTTGAAAGTGTGGCGGCGATTGTGATTTGTAGTTGTGTGTGAGTGTTTGTAGCATATGGGATGAAAAAGGACATTCAATTTTAAAGTGCGAACGTTGCAGCAGTGCACGTATGTGTGTGTATGTGTGTACGTGTGTGTGTGTTTGTGTATGCGCCATTTTATGTAGAAAAAGTTTTTCAAGGAAAACGGATACACACTGTTTGAACTTTATGAAGGTGCAAAATGCAAGAGCAAAGTTTCTTTTCGTCTGTTTTTTGTGTGTGCGTGCGACGTGTGTGCGTGTGTTTGTGTTTGTGTGTGTGTGTATGCGTTTTGTTATCGCTCGAGTGGGCGTGTGACTCATGAGACTTGCAAGTGGTCGCCAAGAGCAACAGCAATACATATGCATGCAAAAAAACACACACACACGCACACATGCATAGGCATGTTGGCAATATAAACAATATGGCGAGCGAATTACAATGTGCCGTTGGAGTGCACTTCGTTACCGTTATACTTGATTATTGATTTTACTCCAATATAATTTCAGTTTTTGTTTGTTTTTTTTTTTTGCAGGCGCTGGCGTTAATTGAGTTGATGTTGATGACATGCAAAGGCGAAACATTCGCGCCTGCCTGAGTAACCCCACAAACAGTAACAACAAAGCGTAAAAGGCAACTAACAATAACAACAACAACAGGAATACCTAAAGCAACAGCGCCAAGCGAAACAACAGCAATCAGTCAGATCGCTAGAGTGGGAAAGAGAGAGAGAGAGAGAGACGACGACGACGAAGTGAGAAGTCGCACATGTGTGTGCGTGTGTGTGTGTGTGCAATATGGAAGACCTTTTTCTGCTAATTATCAAGGAGTCAACGGGCACCAAGCACAATGCGCTGCGACAAACGGCACAAATAGCTTACGGTAAATGATTGCACACGTATACGTGTGTGAGTGTGTGTAAAGTTGTGACCATAACAACAACAAACAGAACCACAACAGCCACAGCAATTAAATGGTAAAAAGGCGAAGGCTGAAAGGCAATAAGGCGCGCATTGAAAACATGCAAAAACGCAATTTCCTTTTTAGCTTTTGTTGTTCATTTTACAGTTGTTGTTGCTGTTACTGCTGCCGCTGTTGTTTTTGTTGTTGTCGTGTCCTGTTCTGTCTCCCCCTTCCCTCAGTCGCCCCCTTTTTTGGTGACAATCATTGGCATTTCCTTTGTTTCTTTCATGCCCGCTTGTGCCTCTCTTTTGCTTTTGACCGCAGATGCGGAAAAGTAGGCAACGTTTTTTATTTATTTCATTCACTCCATTAACAGTTATTTTGATGTGTATGTGTGTTGATAATCAGTTGCCAGTGTTGCCCCATTTGTGTTTGCAGATAAACTTTATCGACAGCATGGCATGCACAGGGATCCATCGCACGAATTGCGCTCCGTTTGCTTTACGGCCCTGCAAATGGCCTTGGACACGAAGCGGCCAAAGTTCATCACAATGGGCCTCAATGGCCTCCATGTAAGTGCAATAAAAACAAATAAAAAATAAAAACCAACGAAAGAAAACTAAAGTGAACTGAAAGCAGCCAGCTATCTCTCGCATGCCGAAGATTAAATACTCTCACAGTCGATTGATCACGAAAATACAATAACACATAAAACAGTTAACAACTTTTGATAGGTTAACCGAAGATTGGGGATAAATCAATTGAAAACGTTGCTTATTTTATGATCAGATCAGTGTTTTTCATATTGGTTCTGGGATCTAGATCTACCCTTAGAGATACATGAAGAGGGTATGCTATGATGAAATGTTAATGAAGTGGATCTTTGAAAAGTATGGGTCACCAAACCAAGCCGCACCTGTTAATGGCAACAAAGACCTGTAACAAAGTATTAAAAATAGTCCCATATCCGAATAGAGGCACATTCTACACAAATGCAATGATTTTTGTAGTTATTTTAAATGTTTTGCATTCAGAATCCTTTCGACTGCACAACATGTATTTATATGGATTCCAAGTCTGGAACAAGTATACTCTTCTATATCCTTGAGAGCCAAGCATTCAACTAATACAAAAAAGGGCGGACGAGTCAATTATCGAACGGGTTCCCTGGCAATTGTGCGCCCTGCTGTATCCGCACCGGAAATGCTCAGACTGACGACGGACAGTCACGGAATATGTGCAAATTGTGAAATGGGTTTAGCTAATTGCCAAGTGGGAGGACTAAGTTAAACCCCTGCCCCCAATAAGCCATCCATCCGTTGTCGCTTTCTCTTTCTCTCCCGCGCGCATCCATCAAAGCAATGGGAAAATGGGGAAATGGGGAAATGTGGAAATGGTTGAAAAAGTGAGAGCAAGGCCAAAGCGAGCATTAGAAATTCCCTTCGGACCGTTTTCTGAGTCGCTAAACCATTTAATGTTTTTAATTTGATTGAAATGCACTTCAAAAAAGGAAGAAAAAACAAAAATGCAACGAAATGAAATTAGAAAAGCATGCAAAGCTGACTTTTCCACATTCAAGTGCGATTTTGTATGAAATTTGAAAGTGCAAAACTGTTTGCTGAAATGGGAAATTAAACCGGGTTTTCATCTGATTTTTAATCAGTTAATTTCGGCTAAAGGTTCCGCTTTGATTCCCTATCAAGGAATCCAAATGTCGTGTTTTGGTCATGAATTTCAAGCGATTTGATTCCCGGTCAAGGAATCGGGGAATGTCGATTCTCAGTTTTGGTTTTAAACTTGAACCGATCTGAAATTTATACAGCCAGAACCAAGTTGGCTTCCCTGAGCGTATATTAAATATAAATTGTTCATTGATATTGATATTGCTAAAGAGAAAAGCTGACAGAGATCTTGGTTTACTTTATCACAGCGCGTCATCAAGGATGAACGTTTCTACATTGGCCTGGAGCCGGAGGATGATTCAGTGTGGCTGCCATCGCAGCTGTTGCGGGCAACGAACGGCATACTGCCATCGACGAGCAGCGAGGACACTGTGGTGAATGTGCTGCGCCTGTTCCTGGCCATGGCCTGCTCCCCGGCCTGCACCCTTAATGGCCGGCTGCTCATCGAGATACTGTCGCGCTGTGGCGAATGCTGGGAGATGGGATCGAGGGCGATTAAGGCGGCATCGCTGGCGGCCGCATCGCAGTGTTTGCGCACATTTTGCGCCTTCCTCATCGAGGAGGCCGAGGAGGTAAAGAAGACGGCACCGGCGGGCCTGATGACCCAGACACAGGCATCGGCTGTCTACAATGAGGTGATACCGGTGATGCAGTGGCTCTGCAGTCGCCTCGTCGAGCCCAACGTCAACAATGCGTCGCCGAATCGCAAATGCGAGAATCCCAGCTCACTGTATCTAACCGAATGCATATTGACTCTCAGCTCGGCGCTGCCCAGAAATGTCCATGCCAATCCACACTTCACCTCGTTCCTCTGGCAAAAGTTTTGCCCAACGCTGGCCGCTGCGCTCGGCTCGCCGGGACGCATTAACCTGGACAAGAAGTTTACCTACAAGTAGGTCTAATCTAATCTTAAATCAAGAATCGATAATCTATAATCGATGCAAACATTTATTTGTTAATCCATCCACATAGGGATGCACTGCATCTGATTGAGAATGAGGCGCGTGGCTTTTTCACCGGGCCGGGCTTGGATGGGCCGCAAGCGCGTTGCGTCTATTTGACGGCGATTCAGCTGCTGCGCATTGCCGGCGCTCATGGATCGCTGCGACCGATGCTGGAGGCGCTGTTCCATCGCATGGTGCTTCTGCCGGCGCCACTCAATCGCACCGAGCCGCTGCGTTGTGTTCGCGAGATCTTCAAGTGTCCCGAGCGACTCATCGATCTGGCCGTCATTCTCTACGTGGACAAGAACACCGCCCAGGGCTGCAGCGATGAGATGGCCCTCTTTCGACTGTGAGTACATAATTTGTCCTTCTTGATCGAATCTCAATCGACTCTCTCTCTCTCTGTGTTGGCCAGGCTGGTAGATGCAATGGAGGAGTGCGCGTATGGTGCAAGTGCCGGTAGCGCAACGGAGGCAAGCCTGCAGGCGAGCGTGGAGTGCATGGTGGCACTATTGGACAGTCTGCAGGTGTTGTGCAGCGGCGAGCTCACCGAATCGATGATCAGCGACCAGATTGTCCAGGTGGTGAATGGACGGCATGATCTGCTCAAGGATGCCGACTACTCGGGCCCGTTGACATATCAGAGCATGGCCAGATTGCCGGCACCGTATCGCGATGCGATCGTCGAGTTCCGCCAGAATGTGTTCGAGACATCGTCGGGCTCGGAGAGCGAATGTGAGCCGCCGCACGAACCGGATGCGGCATCGAATGGATCCGGCGATACGGAGGGGCCCGAAGACGATGAGCCGAGCAGCTCCAGCGATGAGACGTCACGTGTCGAGAATCGTTGGCCCTACTCGCACCTGGAGGCGCCCGTCATCCCCATTCGGACGGACAGCGACAATGATCGCCAGCATGCCAGAGATTTTGCACGTGCTCTGCGATTGGATCTGGTGCCGAAACTGTTGCGTTTGCGCAGCTGCGTCGAACTGGACGAGGCAATGCAGGAGTTCGCATCGGCCGTTTGTCAGGAGAATAGCATGAACTATTCCGATTTTGATTACAATCTGACCGCCATCAATGCGGATGGCATCTATCTGGCGATCTATTCGTCGCTGTTGCTCAGCCTGCAGCTAATGCGTACCGGTTACTATGAACAGCAGCCGCAATCGGCTAAGGATACAATACTGGTGCCGATGTCGGAGCAACAGTTTGTCACCTCCGTACAGAATACGGGCGTGCTCGTCTATCTATCATCGCCGTGGCTCTGTGAACTGTATCAATCGGTGATCGTTTCGAATGTGCTCGAATCGATGACGCGTCAACAGCTCGATGGGAGCGGCCAGCGTTGCGCCCTTGTCGATATGCTGTGCGATGCCGGCGGACTGGCCAACACTCAAATGCTATCCGAGTGGCAGCGTCTGCAGACGGCCACCGTGAAGCAGCAGCACAGCGGCGACGATGAGCAACAGCACGAGAAACGACGCGAGGCCGCCAAGAAATTGTCACGTCGATTGCTCACCTGCTGCTGGGACTCAATGGTCATTGTGCTCAGCTCGGGGCTGGGCGATCTCCAGAGTACCGCCTCCAACAAGCTGGTCGCTCTCTCCAAGCGTACGCTGCGCGTGAAGGCCAAAACGAACAAGTCCAACGGTGAGGCACTCTACGCCATGTGTCTCGATGGACTGCATTCGGTAAGGATTAGGACAACATATATATATATATATATATCCATTCGTTGAACTAATCTCTCTCGAAAATTCCAACACGCAGGCGGCCACATTGAGCAACAGCTTGAATCTGCAGCATTTGGCTGGCAAGATACTCAATTTGTTGGCCTCGAACGTGTGTCGAACGAGCGGGCCACGGATCTCGGCCAGCCAAGCCATGTCCATGGATGTCGTACTCACTGGTGGCCTCAATTTGGGCAGCTACAGCGCCGACTGCTGGCAGAGCATATTTGCCGTCTGCCGCCATGTCAGCCAGCTGGAGCACGAGATCTTTAGCATGCAGAATCCATCGATAGCCGCCTCGCCAGGCAGCAGTCGTCGCGACCTGGAGACGGGCGAGAAGCTCAACAGTGCGTCTGGCAACGCTCACGACAAGCTCAATCTATCCTCCATACCCATCGACGATGATGAAACGTGGTGAGCCCTGTGACATACCCACTACCCACAAATCATATGATTGACAGACAAATCATAGATAGATACTTAGTTAGATGAGGAAACTGCAGTAAACCCCAAAGCACTTCATAGCCAGAAGACGATGAAGACATAGAAGACATAGAAATCCTCAGGCACTTTCCTCAGAAGGGTGCACTTTAGATCTAACTAGGCTGCAGTATATATATATATATAAATATATATATATATATATATATATATATATATATATATATATATATACAGATATATATATATATATATATATATATAATCAGCATTACCAACTGAGTATAGTCTGTCATATTTGACTGTTTACCAATTTTGGTCATTTTAACAGCTTGGTTTAGGGTCAGCGTCAGTGTCAGTGTCATTCAGATCCTGTTGGTCGAGCATTCCCTATTCGTAATCATAGTAGTTTTACAGCCAAGCAACTGAGCATTTTGTTGATCTTAATTCGCAGCGTGGATGTGTATAGCTTCCTGCAGGCGCCGATGCAGAGTCCCAATACGAACGTCACATCGATACTGAAGGTCTATTCGGGCACCAATGAGACGGTGCTGCTTAGCCAGAGCGATACATCGAAGGTGCTGTGCGCCTTGTCGCACCAGGCCGAGAATCTGTTCAGCGATGCCGCCGAGCGTTTGAGTCTGCCATCCTTGTGTCAATTCCTCAAGCATCTGTGTCGCGCCTCACGCGATCAACTCTACAAGAGCCAGGCGGCACGCAAGGGCGCCAACGTTGGTGGCAACAGCAACAGCGGTGGCAGTGGCAGCAACGGCGGCGGCGGCACCACACGCATTTGGTGGCCAAGCAAGGGCTGGAAGAAGCTGGACTCGTTGCCTATGTCCCTGCTGCTGCATCGCATCGGGGATGTTACGCTCAAAGTGTTCCGCAGCTCGCGTCCCCTGCTGCACGTCCTCAAAGTCTGGGCCATAACAGGACCGCATCTGATGGATGTAAGTGCATATTCAACTATGATCTGTATTAGTTCAGAAATGGGTATATCGGACGTCGTGCAACAGTATGCAAAAGGCAGAAGAAAGCATATTGCACATTTATTCGGGATCATTCTTGATCGGTTTTTACCTGACATGAATTACATTTTAGTTCCAAGTTCAGATAAGTATTGGAATTGGAAGCGGAACTGGTTTGTCTACCAATTCAAAGGGGAATCAGTAATTGGGAATCAGAATTGGAAACCAATGTTTCAAATGCTCGTTTGCTCGTGCAGACGGAGAGGCAGACTAAAAGACAGACAGTTAAATATATACTGTAAGAATTGACTCTTGAATGTGAATTCTTTGGATATGCTGAAATGTGTTTGGTATGCCACCGGTTCATGTACCAGTAGCAAAGTGTCGCCGCAATCGGTACTTGGAACAAATTGGGCTGAATGAAGAATGAAGTGAATACGCAAAGGGATCTTTTCGTACCGATTTATTGAGTAATAATGCATGGTTTATTTGTTTTATATTGTTTGTTGCCGTTGCCATTCTATTTACAAGTTCCCCCAAACAATCAATAGTTGCTATCTATGCGCTAACAGATGCCATGTCTTAATATTATCTGCTTACTTCAGGCCGCCCGACAGGTGCGACAGGTGTCAAAACCCATATCTAAATGTAGTCCAGGGGTCGGGGGCATATTTGTTTATTGCGTCTGTGCGCTATCTGCAACGTCCGATTTTCTGTTTTTATATATCATCTACAAAGTACACAGGAACACAGATTTGATTAAGCAAAAGGGTATTTTGTATTTTGAAGTACTCCAGGGTATCTGCGGGCGGGTGTCTAGTCGAGAGCCATTCGAGACTTAGTTTGGTTTAAACTCGCTTACACTCAAGTTGAATTCAAGTTAATTTTGCTTCTTTCTTTTTAGGCCGCCTGCCATCGGGATCGGATGATCTCGAAGCGGGCCATCGAGTATATACATGATATAATAACGGCCCTGCTCGTCGAGCAATCGGAATTGCCGTATTTCCATTTTAACGAGGCGCTGCTGAAACCGTTCGAGAATCTGCTGAGCATGGACACCTGCGATGTGGATGTACAGGATCAGATTGTGGCCTGTCTCTATGAGATCGTTGAGGCACATCGCACCGAAATCCGTTCCGGCTGGCGGCCACTATTTGGAACGTTACGCAACGCACGTAGCCGGATGCTGAATATGAGCAACATCATCGATATCTTTCGCGTCTTCCTCGACTCAGACAATACGCTGGTCTTCGCCAACGCCGGGCTCGATTGCATCTTGTGTCTGCTATCCTATCTGGAGATATCCGGCGGCGGCGGTAGCGGTGCTGGTTCAAATAATAATGCTGCGTGCAGCGATGATAACGATAATAATGCCGCATTCCGACCCACAGATTTCCTGCATGAAACACTGCGTTTTCTCGAGCGTTGCTCGAGCATTTTGGGCTTCATGTACAGCATGCCCAAGTGCCCCAATTTCCACTCGACGTACAAGATTAAGGGCATCTCGTATACGCATATCATTGACGCCAACATACCCAGCTCGATGGAGAATTTCACGTACTTTGGCAACGATTATCTGCAGACGAAGAACGAACAGTATATGATCTCGTATCGATCACTGCACATCGACAAGGATACGATTGTGAAGATCGATGAGATGGACAAGCCGTCGGGTGTGCTCAAAGTGTGGTTCCTGCTGCTCGATGGGCTGACCAATTCACTGATCGTTTGCCCCTATTCGCATCAGGCACCCATCTTGCAAACGATATTTAAACTGTTCAAGAATCTGTTAAACAGTCCCGGCATCGATTTCGGTTTCTATTGCATCAATCATCTGCTGATACCCATGATACAGGATTGGTTGCGTTACATCAACAAGACCGGTGCCAGTTGGCAGCAGAACGAGAAGAACTTCAAGCACTGCTGTTGCATGACCACCGATCTGGTTGTTGAGTTCATTGAGAAGTCTGTGCCGGAACAGCGGCGACTTGGTGCCAGCACCAAGACACGTCTCGCCCAGATCGTACATCCCTCCGATAATCTGCTCTATTCGAAGCTCAAGTTTGTCACCGAGCCCATGGAGCACTCGCAGCAGCAACAGCAACAGCAGCAGCAGCAACACGGCCAGCAATATGCGGACAACAACAGCAGCAGCAGCTCGGCCAGCGACGAGCACACGAATCATCCAAGAAGCAATCACAATCCGACACATCCCGCCGTGAATGTGAATGTGAATCACAATCTGATTGAGTCGCCCACAAAGATATCGAGCTCGGCAACGCTGGCGCTGAAGCAATTGCTCCTTGTGCTCATCGAGTGTGCTGCCCAGTCACAGGAGTCGATTGCCAGGATATCGGTGTCCTGTCTCAAGCACGTCATTCTCTCGACGGGCATGCTTTTCAACGAGTCGCAATGGATGATCGCCTGCTCGGCGATCCATCGAGCGTGCACCGTGACAATTGCCCCGTTGCGTCAGCTATCGTTCGCCTTTCACGAGAAATCGAATAGCTTCTACGGGGATTGTGCCAATGTGAAGGTAGCCGCACGACGCGACAGCACCTTGGAGGAACTGGCACGCATCTATGCGCTCGCCCAGCAGGTCTTTCTCTCCGATAATCAACGTGAACCGAATATGACAACGCCATCAGCAACTCTAACGCCAACTAGCAATGGCTGCTCCTCATCCACCGCCTCAAACGGTTCTTCATCGGCAACCGCATCCGCATCCGTTTCGGCTGCGGCAACAGCAGCGTCGTCCGCTGCTCTGGCGCCGCAATGCAAGAGCAGCTCATCGGCCCAACTGACCGATGATCGGAGCTATTCCTTTCTGCTGTATCCCCTGAACAATGGCTTCAATTCGAATCTGGATAACTTTGTCATACGCATACCGTTCAAGAATCTCGTTGTAGGTCTGCTGGCCAATCAAATGTTGCTCCAATTGGTGGCCAAATTGTTGTTGTCGCGCCTCAAATGTGTCCCGCAGGCGGTCTCCACGTGCATCTTTGACAATTATGCCTCATCGACGTCGGCGCCCAGTCACGATTATGATTTGGACTTTCGCTCCAAGGAGATACTCTTGCGCTGCGTCAAACAGTATCTGATGTCCGCTCTGGAGTTCGATTCCCGTCCCGGCCTCAAGTTTCTCATGCAGAAGGTCTCGAATATTGAGTATGCCGCCAATTTGTACAAACAGATGACCTCATCGTGGATGATCTACTATATAGCGCTCGTCGACTCGCATCTCAATGATATTGTCGTCTACAATCTGGGCGCTGAAGATTTAAATTTCATATTGGAGTCGTGCTCGCGTCTGAATACGACCACCGTGAAGAAGAAGGAGAACTTTGTGCGGTATCTGTTCTGTCTGCAGGATGCGTGGAATCTCGTGTGTGAACTTTATCTGAGCAATTCGACGCTGCACGACATCGACAACAATGGCAAACTGTTGCGTGGCCAGCAACAGAAGCTGCCGATGGTGGCCACCAAGTCCATGTGTTTGGCGCTCAATGGCAACAGCGAGACAACCACGGATCTATCCAACTGCGATCCGACTTCAACGTCAACGTCGACGCCCAGCAAATCGAATCAGCAGCAGCACCAGCAGCAACAGCAACAGGATGATGAAAATGTAACGATGACCACCTTGATCAGTGAATTTCAACCCAAATGCCGGAGCAATCCGTTCGACACAAATCGTCAGGCGGCCAAGACGGAATCGGAGTCGATCTCACCGGAGATTGAGCAGCAGCGGGCGACGAGCATACTTAGGGATTCCAATTATAAGCGGGCAGCACTCGCTCAATTGGTGGTCGCATCGATGGAGCTGCTCCGCTCGTTGCCCAACGAGGCCGAGGAGAATCTAAAGCTATTGATGACGCCCACCATACGGGAGGCATTCCGGCTCGTTCAGCTGCAGGGCAATGAGCTGAGGGTAAACCAGTTTTAGGCAATGCTTGTTGAGTTTTATTTTGATCTGTAGGCGCAGCAAAACTGGCCCCTACACACCCACAACACCCCTGTCTATATCTCTCTCTCTGTCTCTGTCTCTCTCTCTCGCGCTATTTCTCCCTCCCCATCTCTCTTTCTCTCTTTCGCTCTCGTCTCTGTCTCTCCCTCACTCTTTCGCTGTCTGTCTGTCTCACTCTCTCCTTACAATCCAAAAACCGAGCAAATTTAACCAATTCTGAATTCAACTTAACCTCGATTCAACATAACCTCAATTTAAGCAAACTTAATTTTAACCTAACCTCAATTTAAAGAAACCCAAATCGAAACTGATCTCACTTGAGGCAAGGCTAATTGAGAGCAACAAGATTAACTCTGTTTAGGTCAATATAGCCCAATTTCGACCTAACCTCAATTTAACATAACCAAAACAAAAACAAACAAAACAAAAGACAAAAGAAAACCCAAGCAAAGCTAAATTCAACTTTTGTTGTTATTTTGCCATCAGCTGTGTGGCTTTGCATAACGGTTAATCAAGGCTACGTTTTACACTGCACGCTCTCTCTCTCTCTCTGGCACACACACACACACACACACAATGTACCTCTCTAATCCCCGTTCGCCCCGCCCCCCTCGGCAGGCAAAATCATTTCAAAGTAAAAGCTCAACATGTCAACGAAAAAAAAAAACTGAAACGAGAAGAAGAAGCTAGCGCAAAATTGATAACAAAATAGTAGAACTGTAGATCAAAATGATGACGATGTTCAAGAGGAAGAACAATAAGCATAAGAAGAAGCAGCAACAGCAGCAGCAGCAGCGTCAAGCAACGTAGTCTTGTACATTGTAACTACAACTTAGCAAATACCCATTAAAAAGAAGAAAAAAAAACGAAAAACCAAAAACAAGCCAATTCTCCCCGACACCCCCCTTATACCCCCTCTCCCCCCGCAAAAGCAGCCCCACAGCACTTGCCCCATAAATTCCATTTTAGTCACATATATTTAGACTTTCTCTATCTCTCTCTGTCTCTCTATCTCTCTCTGCACTACCCCAAAATTGCTGTAAATTTGATTCTCTTACTCAATCTTCAAATATGCTTAAGAACTTTAACAATACGTAATGTAAAATCAAAAGTAACAAACAAAAAGACAAAGAAATATTTTATAATAGTGGAACATGTGTACCATATATATATATATTTCTATATATATATATATATATATATCGTCGATCGCTATTATATGTTGTGCCTATGTAGCTAACCTAAAAAACACAAGAAAATTCAATATTTTCGATGGCCTTTAAGCGTAGACCGATTCAAAACTACATGTCAGACTATATCTAAGCGCTGTATACATACATACATGCATACACACACACTCACACACACACACACACACATATATATATATATATACATAGATATATATATAGCCTATGAGCTGCTTCAAAACTTCTGTATATCATGTATATTTTCAATAACTGACAGCTGACAAAAATCACACATTTTATACATACATGTATAGATATATAGATATGTATAGTATATATCATATATAATGTGCATGTATGTATGTATTTCCTATGAAAAACCAATTGAGAACAGCTCCTATATATACGCATATATATATATATATATATATATATATATATCAGATTTGAGCTCAATGTTATAGACGTAAAGATGTATTATAGTTATTAATTGGCCTACAAATATTATGAATGCATAAACATAAATGTATAGAGTATATTATTAACAACTATTATTATGCAAATATTATTAATCTAAGCATAAATACATAAATATGTATATATATATAGTTATATATAAACCGAATGTTAACTAACATAAAATCAGTGCCGCCCATTAATCCACGATTACCACCATTAAGAATTAGTCAAACACACACACACACACACATACACCCATTCAAACACACACACACATGCATACCTATAAAGCTTAATGTACTTTTTGCATACATCTCACATACAGCACAGTTTTCGCTTGATAATTGGAATTGTAACGAGCTTCCCTGCTATCGAGTGTCCACTGTATATTTAGTATGTGATCAGTAGTCCCGCGCTGCCTTTAAACTTAGCATACACATTTTGTACCAGTGTGCGTACCTAAACATTAAAAGAAACATTAAACATTAAACATGAAACATGAAACAAAACTTAACCAAATTCTCGAAACACTTTTGCACAAAATCGTCGCTTCTTCGGCTCTGTTCAAAACTTGGTCAACATTTAATAGCTTTAAACTTTGATTACGCCCCTATCTCCAGCCACCCCCCTATACACACATATATATATATATATATATACATATACACATATATATTTAAACTAAATATTAAAACACTTACATATACAAATATGTATGCCTACTTAAAGAGCTAAAGAGTTATATACATCTCTATATATATAAATATATATAAATGTACTTAAGTGTATTATAGTTGCCTCTTGGATATATATATATACATAAATATATATATACTCTATGTTGTAAATGTAAAACCAACTTTATATATATATGTATGAAAAAATCGAGAAAAACACGAAAATCGAAATTTGAAATATGAAAAACTATATAAGCTACAGCGCTACAAATCTATACGTACATAATTACGAGTACTTCATATATAGAAGACTATATATGTATATTTTTCGCTTCTTGTGTTGTACATGCATAATGTACTTATCTCTCTTTCTCTCTCTATCTCTATCTCTCTCTCGCTCTCACTTGTATTAATAACTTGTAACTAAAAACTAATGTACTTAAGTGCGAAGAGTGTGCAATGAAAATGGGAAACAATGAAATGGAGAAATGAAGAAATGTGGGGAAATGGGAAATAATGATAAAGCGAAGCTATTAAAATGCCAGCTAGTCTAGTGTGTACTGTACTACTTCAACTCTCCAAGAGTGCATTTGTAATTTGAATGAAAATACAGAATTAAACAACGCTTTCGCAACTTTACTAAAACACAACTCCGATTTTCTTCTCTTTTCTTTCTTTTGAGCGCTGATAAGTCGATATGTAAAGGTAAGATATTGTTATTATATTTATTGCAGGGCACCAAAATAAAGTCAAGTAAAGTAATTATGCTTAATATATTTTTCCAAATTTAGTAGATGAACCCGGGGTCTGTTATATCGTAAACCCATTCAAAATGAAAGCTCTTCAAAAACATATAAAAGGCGACTCCGTAAGGTATATACATATATATTTTTGATCAGCATCACTAGGCTAAGCTAGAGACCTCAATTTGGGAATATTAGTTCCCGTAAGTTCAAGATGATGAATGATATTCCGCTACGGTGTTTCATCCGATACTATATCTTTTTACAGCCTCTTCGATTAATGATGCACTTAAGATTTGCATAGTCGATTATTAGTTGAAATTCACTTACTACGAAATAAATCCTATTCGATTGTGTCCAAACTTTTCACACCTTCCCTGCAATTTTTCAAGTTTGAAACTTGCAAAAAAAGAAGACGAATTTGCAATTTTGCGTATTTTTTGTTTTAAGTTCTTGTTTTATATGTCACTTTTCCGCGATTATTATTATTTTGCATGTATATGTATATGTATAAGTATATTGTATGTATACTTTATTGTAATTAATTGTATATGTATATTAACACCTTTAATGGCTAAACTTAAATTAGTTATTACAGATAGAAGACCTTAATTACAAACTATAGTTTGACTTTTCAACAAACAAAAAAAATGCCTTAACTTGATTGCGTTTTAAATATTAACTCTTAAGTTTTGCCTTCTGATTTTGCTTTTATATTATTTGCTTTTGCTTCTTTTGTTTTTGTTTTTATTTTTATTTATTTACTTTTGTGTTTCACTTCAACTAGCAAAAAGCTGCGCGCTGTGCTGCAGCTTTATACATAAAAAAAAAAATTAAGAACTAAAAAACAAATTGAAAAAAAAAGAAAGTTAGATTTTAAATGATAAATGGGAGAGAGGCTTACGTACATAATTAATATGTATGTGAGTATGTAACTAAAACATAGGCGCAATAAATAGTTAACATTTGCTTGTGGTTTCACTTTATATACTACTTTAGGTGTGTGTGTGTGTGTGTTTGTACTTAACATAATTAAATTAATTAATATTTAAATCATTAAGAAGAAAAGTCCATATAATAAGCGTTTTCATTTCTTTTCACTATATCTTTTTTCAATTTCGATTTTTTTTTTTTTGGGTGTTCCTTGAGAGATGCAAACATATACAAAAAAAAGGACATTTTTTTGGGTTCGCATTTCTCCGTTGCTACTTTTTTCTTTTTTTTTTTGGCAAACACATTTTGACTCATGTACGAGGCGGTAATTAACACTAAGGGAAAATGAAAATAACAATAACTAAAATAATAATAATAATAATAGTAATAGTAAAGTAAAAGTAAAAAGAAGCAGCAGCAGCAGCAGCAACAATTAACTCGCATATGTTGTATGTTGTAAATGGAAGAGACGAGTTGTTGCTGTTGGTGTTGTTGTTGTTGCGTTGTTGGTGGGTGGATCGAAATTGCTATCTTTAAAAGTTGAACTCCTCCTGCTTCTCGGAATCGCTGCGCAGATCGGTCATCAGTGGCTCAAAGCATGACTTTGGTATCATTGTGCCGACTATTTTCTCGCCCTCGATCGTCTTCATGCGTATCACCTGCATCTTGCTGTTGGAGCGCGTATTCAATATATGCTCAACCCGACCCCAAACGGACAGCACAGATCCAGCGAGCACGTGATACAAGCGCTGACGCAGACCCACCTGCAACAAACCAAGAATGTATTCAACTCCTCATTGAATATATATGATTATATATATACCTCGCAATCATTGCCTAGACTGACGTTGCGACAGTTGCCATTCCAGTAGGCATGGGAGCAGGTGTGTACCGAGGCATCGTACTGTTCGGTCCAATGCGGTTCGGCATCGGCGAGTCCCACTTTGCGATACTTTTTCTCCAGCTCGGCAAGCGATTCGTGACGCACCTGGAGTCCAGTGTTGGGCCTGTAGATCTGGCACATGATCTCCTTTTTGCTGCGGGATCGCTTCTTTTGTTTGCTGCTATTCGTGCTGGTGCCGCTATTGTTGTCCGCATCAGCGGAGCCGCCGCGCATCGACTGCTGCTGTTCGAGGACAACGACCAGGATCGAGGTGCGTTTCGAGTTGCGCAACTGATGCGATGTGTAGAAGCCCTCGTGCTCATTGAACAGATTGGCATACCTATCGCATTGCCAAAAGGATATTAGATGTCCATAAGGAAGGGCTTTATATTATACTCACTTATCGATGGCCTCCTGCCAGATCATGCCGCGTTCCACGCGCACCGTGTGCAGCTCCGTGGGTGCCACACCTGTGGCATGCTTGCGCATGAAACGCACCAGACGCACACGCGTAACATTCTCACCGGCAGCGCCCAAATCTGAGAGTGAGAGAGAGAGAGAGCATGAGTGTGTGTGAGAGAGAGAGAGAGAGAGAGAGAGAGAGAGAGAGAGACAGAGAGAATAAGCTAATAATATGCAAACTTTAAAAGTTAACACTTCACACTTCAAGTAATCTTTGTGTTGTTTGCTGAACTGCTGCTGCCGCTCTGCCAATTATCTATTATCTACTTGTGTTGTGTGGAGGAGACTCACCAACAATGCCCAGATCGAAGCGACCGCCACGTTTCGCCTGATTGATGATGGCCGTCATTGTGTCGGTGAAGTATTTGAATAGACGATTCTGTAGATCGACCGGACAGCCGAGTATCCGATTGAGAAACTTGGATATGTTATTGTAGTCCTTGTCGAGACTGAGCACGCCCGGATTACTCTCCGTATTGACAATGATGCCAACGCCGACAAGTGCACCGGCGATATCCTTAAAGAATTCACCGCTATAATCGTTTGGTGGCGGAACCAGCGGCGTCTCATAGCCCATTATGGTCCGCATAACGGTCTCCAGCGCCTGACGGCCATACTTGTTATCGATATTGAACTGGGAGAGATCACGTGTCTCTGTCGCCCTGCGATCACCATGAGTGAGGGCGCCCAACGATTCCAGACGCTTGGCCACCGTCGACGCGAAACGTCGCTCGCCGGCCAGATCCGAGATGAGGAATATGTATTCGGGTGCGTTCACCTGATTGGAGCGATGCGTGCGTCCAAATTGTTGTATTGCCCGGTCCGCTGACCATGGCAACTCCAACGTGATGTGGACACGTCGTCGCTGATTGAACACACGTCGATCGCTCTGCAGCGAAATGCCACTGGATGCCGCCTCTGAAATGATGGCCACATCCTTTTGGCCGTCCATAAAGCGTTGCTTCTCCGTTATGTTTAACGTTTCGAGTGGCACATCGGATTCGGTGCGCGACTCGTATTGGATGGACCCATCATCGCTCTGGACGACACGGCCGCGTCTGCCGGTCATTTCGGCCACATTATCCGGTCCGCCCAGTTCATCGATCAGCTGATCGAGTGTGTTCGGCGGCAGTCGGGCGCCGAGGCGTTCGATCCGACGCAAGAGTTCCTCTTTCATTGTGCAGGCACGCTCAATGGCATCCTTGGGCGGCGGACCATAATTGAGTTTGACACCATTGACGCCAATGGGCGTGACAGTGCCCTTGAGCTCCTGTTTCTTTTGCAACAGATCCTGGATGCGATCCTGTGTCGATAGCTGTTGCGGCTTCCGACTCTTTGCTGCATTTATCGCAGCCACAATATTTGCGGACATTGCGGATGCTTGTGTTGCTGCTGCTGTTGTTGCAGCAGCTTCCTTTTTGATTTTCGACTCCTTTTTGTTGTTGGCAGCGCGATTCTTCTTCTTCTTCTTGGAGTGGCTTTTCTTTGGCTGCTGTGTCTTTTTGCCACTGGACTTTTTGGTGCGCGCATTTACCCAGGGATCAATGTCGCTATCGCTGCCACTGGCAAGGAACGGATTGAAATCAGAGCTGCAATCGCTGGCGACACTATTGCGACCACTGTCCCTATCATGCTTATCATCATCATCGTCGTCATCATCATCGTCATCATCATCGTCATCGTCCTCATCATCATTGTCAGCGTCGTCGTCATTGTCGTTGTCCTCATCGTCGTCATGGTCGTCGTCATCGTTGGACGTGTCTCCATTGCGATCTGCATCCTCATCGTAGGCATCATCATCATTGCTGTCAAAGGGATCATCGCTGTTGTTGTTGTTGTTGCCGTTGGATTTGTGACGAGATTTTGCCATAGTTGTTGTTGTTGTTGTGTCCTCATCGCTATCACTAAATTGCCAGGAGCCACTGCGTTTCTTCTTCTTTTTCAATTTACTAACGCTGCTCTGGCTACCATCGGTGCCGCCCTTTCGCTTGTTGCGCCTGCTGCCGGCAACGCCGCCACCTCCCTTCTTGTTGCCGCTGCTGCTGTTGTTGTTGTTGTTGCTGCTGCTGTTATTGTTGCCGCAACTGCTGTTGTTGTTGCTGTTGTGTTGCAGCGACTCCTGCTTAACAACGGGCGTCGTCTCATCGTACAAGCCCAAGATGCGATTGATGCGATTGCGATCCGGCGCTGGAAAATGGCGTTCCACAAACGATTGAAAGACGCCTCTGCAAATGAAGCCAGAAAGAAAATGAATTGGTTAGTTGATAGAGCGAGTGAGGCAGTGGAGTGGTGTGGTGTGGTGAGGGCAACTCACTTGGCTGTGGACACAAAATCGGTCAGTTCGCCATCATCGCGCTCCAGCTGATCGAGTGTGCGTGCTTCGCCGGTGGACTGCAGACCGATGACGACACACTTGCCATATTTGATGGATTCACGGGCGACGAGTACGGCATGGTTGACCTTGGCCGCAATGCACAGATATTTGAAGAAGCGCTGATGCGATGACCAGAACTGTCCCCACATTGTCTTCTTCATGCGACTCTCCGCATCGATTAGCTCGGCGGCCTCGGTAAACTTTTGCATCGCCTCCACCCACAGTTCGACAGACTGATCATAGATCCGGCGAAAGTCCTTTGACAGCGGCACCTCCTCAATCTTAAAACTAACACCCTTGAAGCTCAGCTGCCGTGCAATATACATGCCACGTAACTTCATGTCCATTGCCACAATTTCCATGGCGCCGACACCGCTATCCAAAAAAATATCAAATAAATAATTAACAAGCATTAGACAGGTTATATATTCTATTCTATATATATATATATGTGATCCAAAGAGTAATCAAATTGTTCACAGCTAGAAGCAGGCACGTTCGACATCATAAGCTATATATATATGCATATTCTTCATCAACTATCGGAACAGGGATATTGCCATCCTCTCAGAGGAAGGAAGGGTATCTAACGGCTAAGATAATTACTGATAATTCCAACTGGGATTAGACTATAGGCTAGCCCAAGCAAAGTGTGTAATAACCAAGGGAAATTCATCTTAAATTCGACAGAGATAACAATAATAAGAGGCAGTTAGACTGCCCCCCTTAATTTTTATCGATACAAATGGATTTCCGATATCAATAAAAGACAATTGCCTTCCAATTGTTACACAATATACCCAGAGATATTAGGGATAAACTTTAACAATTTGATTAAGCTGAATCATCAATCTTAGTATGTATTTACAGGGTATCGACGCGTTGAGCTGTCTTAGTTAACTTACCGTCTCTCCACGGCTGTGATAAAGTCACTGAAATTGGCAAAAGCTGTGCCCTGACCCCAGAGACCCAGACGGACCATGTATGCCATATTCTTTGGCTCGGAGGCACCCGTTGCCGATGCGTAGACAACGCGTGCCTTGGGCAACTTCTGCTGTAGCTCGAGCACCGTTTGTCCGGTCTTTGTTGGCTTGCCGGATCCGACGGGGCACAGATTCTTTGCCTTGTGGCACTCATCGAATATGATGAGACCCTCAAAGTCCTCGCCGCACCACTGCAGCAGCTGGCGGAAGCGTGAACGATATTTGCCCGTCTTGTTGTTCGATTCCCCAATCAGGGCCGAGTAGGTGCTGAAGATGACGCCACGTTTGCAGTTGTTATTCGTATCCGAGCTGATCTTGGCGTATTTGAACTGTGTTCGACGAAAACATCGATTACAAAACAGATGATGATGATTAAGAATTATAGAATGCATTTGTACATTTAATTACTTTGGTAATTGGCATAAAATACTGCAGAGCTTCAATGATTTTACTAATATACATGTGTGTATACATATGTGGCCACAATTACTCAAGTAATTAAATATTTTATAATTACTCAAGAGTTTACAAGTAATTACTCAAGTAATTACCAATTAAGAGAGAGAAACTTGTTTGCTTGAAAACATTTCCACACCTTATTTAACAGACACAATTCTTCGGCAAGTAATTAAAGATAATTACTGAAGTAATTAAACCACTCACCTTGTTGAGGGCATGCACACTGATGCGCTTGGCGCCAATATCGCTGAGATCCCGTTCCGCATCGTATTTGAGATCATTGCTCACGGATATCCAGAGAGCCTTCTTGCGACCCTTTAGGTAATTCTCATAGATGATGCCGGCAATAGTACGGCCTTTGCCAACACCGGCGCCATCGCCAATGAGAAAACCAGCCCGACTGCCATCGGGCAACAGATGATCGTGCGCCTGCGATGCATACGTGATTGACTCCAATTGCAAGGCGCTCAACTGTCCGCTGTTGATCGTCTCCATCGGTATGGACATCTTGTAGTAAACGTCACAGGGCTCCACCGAACTCAATGAGGCCGTCTCCACCACAGCGTCCGGATGCTTCTTGCCCAGCTTAACTGGAGAGAGAGATAGAGCGAGGAAAGAATAGTTTTGTTTTAGGCTCTATTGCTCGATCTTTTCGCATCGTGCAACTTACGTTTTGCTGGCCAATAGTCTGCATAAGTCTCGGCCACGCCCATCTCCTCGTAATCGACCTCATCCTCCTCCTGCTGGACATAGTTGACAGTGGTTGCGGCAGCTGACGTTGCACCACCGCCAGTTGCATTCTGTAGCTGTAGCTGCTGCTGTTGCAACGGTTGCATAAACAGCTGCGTCATCACATGATTGGGTATGCCACTGGTCAAGTATTCCGGATTCAAAGCGATCAGCTTCTGCAGCTTCTCCAGCATCATTGTGTTTACTTTGATACCCCCACCGCCACCGCCACCGCCTCCGCCTCCTCCACCACCAGCTGAAGCAGCAGCCGCAGCTGCCGTTGCGCCACCAACTGTTGCTACTGATGTACCGCCAACGCCGCCGCTGCTGCTGCTGCTGGTCTTCAGCGGCTGGCCAGCGACGGATTGTGGCAATTTGTAGGGTGTCCGCAAGGGTGGATAGCTCACTGCAAGATAAGGTTGGATGTTGGGTTTTTTGTTGTATTGTTGTTGTTGTTTTAATCGTTGTGCATTGTGTTGCAAGTAGTCATGGAATGCAGTGATGGAGAGAGAGAGAGAGGGTTAGAGTGGGGGAGCGAGAGGGAGACAGAACATATTGCTTGTGATTAGTACAAAGGCAAACAAAATTGTGATATTTACATAGAGAGAGATAGAGAGAGAGAGTCACGAAATTATTTTAATTAAATACTTTTTATTTGAATGTACACTGAGAAAAAGAATCGACCTGCACTTTAGCAAATAGAAATTCGCGCTGAAAAGCTTTTCTTGTCCTTACAAATAATTAATTAATAAAATAAATAATTTCTAAGCATACGAAAAACTAATTTCTTAAAATTACAGATGTTTTTTGTAGTTGTATAAAAGTAAAAATACAAATAAATAAAAACTCAGCAAGAAGTGATCAAATTTGCGTGCGACTCGATAAAAATTTCAAGTTTCAAGTTCTTTTCAAATTGAATTAAATGAATTTATAAATCACCCAAAATGTTGGTATATATGTCAACTCAAAACACTCATTTTTTATTATTATAAAACAATTGTAGGAATATTATGTGAAAAGAAAAGAAAGACTTGAAATATATTTGTCATTTTAGAAATACAATTGCTTAATAAATATGATCTAAGAAAACTATGGCGATTTTCTAAATTTCAGGACGATTCTGTTTCTGAGTCGGGCTATCCTTAACAACTTTTGTACACCTATTAGCGGTTTGTACATTATTGTATTAGTTTGACTATCTTTTGAGTCTTCTTATGGTTGTCCTATTGTCCAGCAGGTTTATGGTAGCTAAAGAGTTAGGCAAGTTATCTGGTGCTGATGGAGTTAATTTCATCCTCTAAAGGGATTTATTTAGGGAATGATTTCAATGCTTTCTGTTCTGTATTCCATAAGCCCAGATGGGCTCTATAATCTTTCTTTTTAAAGATGGGAATTACTTCCCTTATATACATGGACAATGAACAGCGCTGTTGCGCAGTGTTACACACACTCACAGTCACACACACATATACACAGACAAAAATACTATATGCAATTATTCTTGGTTGTTACCAACATTACAAGACTTACTCTGCGCCAATAAAGACGCGGCCATGTTAAAATTGGCAGAAGCAGAGACGCCCGAGATTGAAGCGCCTCCGCCAGCAAAGTTGTTGTTTGAGTTGTTGTTGCTGTTGTTGTTGTTGCTGCTGTTGGGCGCCCCTTTGGAGGCGACATAGGCGGCGAGGCTCATCAGATCGTTGGTGCTGAGGCTGTTTAAATAGTTGCCGGCGCCGCTGCTCAAATATGCGCTAGCTGAGTTTAAGCCGGCAACGTTGCTGCTGCTGCTGCTGCTTGTGCTTGGGTTGCCAGAGTGATTAGAGTTGCCAGGGTTGCCGCTACTTGCAACGATCCTCATGTTGTTTGCCGAGCCGCTGCTGCTGCTCGCAGCTGCTGCTGCTGGTGAGGAACCAAAGCAAAAACCAAAACAAAACGGAAAACGAAAGCAGCAAACAACAACACAACAAACAAACAAACAACGGAAACCAAAATAAGAAAAACAAACCGAAAGAACAAAAACAAGAGAAAGTGAAAGTAAAAGAGAGCGAGAGGAAGAGAGAATGAGTGAGTGAGAAAGACAGCAAGCAGGCGAGTGAATTGAAAGTGAGGAAATAATAAATAAAAGAGAGAAAGAGAGAGAGAGAGAGAGAGAGAGAGAGAGAGAGAACAAGAACACGGCAGCATATTAATTTTTGCAACTTACAAAATATTTCTGACTGTCACGAGTGTGTCTGTGTGTGTGAGTGAGTGTGTGTGAGTGAGTGTGTGTGTGTGTGTGTGTGTGTGTGTGTGTGTGTGTGTGTGCGAGTGTGTTAGTAGTAGTAGTTTTGTGTGTCGCATTTTGCCATTCAACATTTGCCAAAATGCACATTTTTCACAGAAGTTGCTGGCAAAATACGATGTAATTTGTTATGCTCGAATATCGATGCAGGTTTATTAGAATATATATAAATAATAAATAAAGTGTATATGCATGTATATTTGTATTTTATTTCAATTTGGAGACTTACACGTTAATTTCTTTGGCATGATGCTGTTGAGTGTTTTGTCAACGGCGACTTTAGTTGTTATTGTTGTTGGCAACGCTGTGAATTTGCTGCCTGCTGTTGTTGTTTTTGTTGTGCGCGTCACAATTGTTGGACGCAACAATGAAATAATGTTGTTACTGTTATAATTACTGTTATTGTTGTTAATGTTGCTAGTGTTGCTATTGTTGCGGAGCAGCTGCGCTATTACTTTGTTGGGGCTGCTGCTGTTCAATTTGTTATTGTTGTTGTTGCTGCTGCTGCTGCTGGTGATGATGTTGTTGTTGTTATTATTGTTTAACTTGAAGTTGTTGTTGTTGTTACTGCTGCTGCTGCTGCCGCTGGGGCCACTGTGTGCTGCTGTCGCTGTTGCTATTGTCTGCTTGTTGGGGTTGATGCTACCGCTGGTGCGAATATTTTGTGCGTAGGTAACTGCAGTATTTAGATCTCGACCACCGCCTCCAACAAACAACCAGAGCACAAAATACAAATCGGAAATCGAAGAAAAATCAAAAAATTAATTAAACATCTTTGCAAGCATCTCTCAAAGGGAATTCCAAACAAAAAGCACCGATCTATTTGATAGTGCAAGATTCTGGAAATAATGAAAATTTTCTTGATTCGAGTAAGAAATACTCTTCTTCTTCAGGGACACAGAACAACTAGAAGACAAGAGATTCTTAAAATGAGTACGAGGCCAAAAACAAGCTGAATGGCTCAATATGGAAAGACGGCCACAAAGCCGATTAACACTTAAGCCAAGTTCGAATTACTTGAAGAAAAGAACAGAACGAGAACCAAAACACGATGAGTGCTTCAATATTTTATCTCTTTCCCTCTCTATATCACTGGCTGTCTCTTAAACTGTTCTTGATTCGAGTGCGAAATAATCTTGTTTTAATATTAAGGCAAAGACAAGCTGAGTGCATCAGTAGAAACACGATTGACACTTAAACCAAGTTTGAAATCAATGAAAATCGAAAGAGGACCAAAACAAGTTGAGTTGAGGATGATATATATATATTTATATATATATATAAAGAGAGAGAGACAGAGAGTTGTCTTGATAGTGTGAGAGAAAGGATGAGACATCTCTCACACTATCGCTGTATCTGCTTTTCCCCTTTCTCGCGCTCCCGCTCTCTCTCTCTCTCTCTCTCTGTCTTTCTTATTGCTTTTAATTGAAGCTGGACAACAATTTAAGTTGGAATTTCACAATTGATAATAATAATAACAAATAAATTCCAGCTAAAAGTCAAGAAAGTCCCAGAATGGAATCCAATTTCGATGTAAACAATAAACAATATATGTATTTATAAATATATATAGGTACAGTAGTTATTGCCATAATAGAACACATAAGTACAGTATATATGTATATATATATATCGAGTATTTGCATGTGTGTGCCATTGATTAATAAGAAATTCCCTTGCCTCCTTCGAATTTTCATTTCAATGTCATCTCGAGAGGGGGGTGGGTGGAGAACCTGTGTGTGTTTGTGTGGATATGTGTGTGTGCGTGTGTGGATGTCGGGGTTGTGACAACGTCTCAAGCTCATCGCTGATGCTGCTGTTGTTGCCGAGAATTGATGCACCATTGCACTTGCTGCATGCCGCATGCTGCAGGGCCTACTTTAACCCTGCCCCCCACTTTTACCCCTTTTGGCGCAGTGCACTTGCTAATTAGGTACTCATTATGTGTACATACCATACTCGCTGAAGAGGGCAGCGTAGCGCAGGGCAGGGCAGGAACGGGGCGGTTCCATGTATAGCAAGGCGGGCGACAAGGGAGAAATGGGTGTGGCACATGGGTACAGCTAGTGGCAAACGACAACAATTGGAATGGATTCCATATTGAGATCTCAAGAACTGAACTTCATCTGCCAGCCGAGCAGCTCTCTCAAGATATATATACTCATTATACCCCTTATAGCAAATCTACAATGGATATACAACAAATCGTATTTGAGCACAGTTCAAAGTTGTTCACTTGTCGCAAAATGAGCTGATTTTTAAAGCCAAAGTCTTTTTTATTATCAAAGTATAATATAGATATAGATTAATACTGCCAATATACAATATATTCACAAATTTCTTATCAAATTGTGCCCAAGGCGAACTCTTCTCGACGATTACCATAGATCGAGTGTTTCTCGTAATAATGTCACTATTATTTTGACCGCAGCTGTACGTATGATGTATTTATCTGGGTATAACCAAAGTTATATGTGCATAGCTCAAAACGATATTCGATTTATGGGATTCAGATTTTGATTGAGTTTAATTGGCATACGGATGGACTCACACACACACACACACACACATCCATGCATTGCGCATTTATAATAGATAGTGTGTGCATGCTTGGACGGAGGGGAGTAAGGGGTTTTTGAGGTTTTGAAGGGAGGTGGTGGGTGTAAGGAGGTGCATCAACTCTTGGGCTGTGCGTGAAGCGCATCAATAATAATGCTTAATGCATTTGCATTTGCATTAGGAGCAAAACAGATGAGAGCATTAAGTGCCATAATTGGATTTGTACACATACTACCTGTATAAATATATATATATATATATATGTATATATATAAGGATTGCTATATGCAACTAGTTACGCATTTGTGGGTCTCAAACAGCAAATGCTGTTGCACATGAACATATATCTAGATATCTTCATAATTATATATATATGTATATGTATATATATATATATATATATATATATAAGTGCACATATGTTATATATGTACTCAGAGGATAGAGCTCTGGGCAAGGCAAGCCTATAACTCATATCGAGCATATCTCGAAATGAGCGTCTTTGCTGCTGAGTGGGTTGTATGGTGTTGTACGGGGTTTCCCTTGCAGAGATTGGGGTTGTCTGCTGATTTGTGTGGGGCTTTTGTTGCACATACTTTGTGTACACAAACTTATAATTGATTGATTGCAACTGCAATCGAGAAGTCTTCGTCCAATGCATTCATTTAACTTTAATTAACATTTTGGCATTCGTTTCTAACTGATGAGAAGAACAACTAACTTGGCCACAAACCGACAACTGTGTACCCTTGCCAAGATCAACTGGAATTAGACAATGGGCTATAACAAATACAGACTTGTTGAATTTTTGTTAGTTCGAAGTGTGCTTGACGTTTAGATACCCTGTCAGCAAATATTAACCATCTCATTTTTGAAATGGTTGAACAAATTGAAGACTTAATCAACAGACTGATTTATGTGTATGTCTGTAGATATTTATATATTTATGTATATAGGTTTTGTCTTCTACTACAACTTAATTACATTAATCCTGTGCTCCCATTACATTGTTGTTGGAAAACTATTCAAGTTTTCCAGGCGACCCTTTCTTATTGTTGTTGTCATCTGAATAAAAGGGACAGTTTTGACAGGGTGGTTGGGAATTGAAAAGGGGCAAGGGAAGGCTGTGTTTTTGGGTCTAAGTGACAGGCTGTCTAGGCTCGGGTCCAAAGTTGACGGCAAACTGAGCAGCACTTGTAATTTGTGCTCCTCCAGTCTTTTGATAAGTCTCAAATCCTTTTTTATACCCTCAACCAATTGGACAAGGGGAAAAAGAGTGCATTGGAGATGGGCAATGGTATGCAATAGGCAGAAGCAAGCATATCCGACCGCATAAGGTATATATAATCTTGTTCAGCATAAACAGCAGATTCGATCTAGCCATGTCTAGCCAGAGACTAAGAGATCTAGCGAGTTTACCTTAGGGAGATCGAGTGTATTTAATTTGATCGATAACTGCCACCGCTACGCAAATATCGAAACATATGCGACTATAAGCGCAGCAAGATGGAGATAGAGAGAGAGAGATATACTGAAAGACCACTTTTGCCTTAGAGACGATTGTCTGAAGAGGAATAAGAACTCGCTTCGGATATTGACAGGATATGTGACGAGAGTCTAGAGCGCATTATACACATTCTAACGAGATGAGGAACTCTGGACACCAGGCATTATGGTATTCCTGCACTAAAAGTTATAGCTCATTAATCAACTGATCACAGTTCACAGACTTGAACAATAATGAAAGTAATAATAATAATATTATAGCTATTATAGATTGTATGGTCGACTTACCGGGCACCTCTATTTGATCTGGATCTTCATCATCATCAAAATCCGAGCCGGAATCATCATCATCGAAATCGTCGTTTTCATCGCCGTCCAAAAAGGAAATACGATTTTGCGATGTCTGCAAAAAAAAACCAGCATAAATAAATGAGCAACAATTATAGATTGAATTATTAGTACAAATTTATACATAATTATTAATTATACGTTATGCATATGCATTTCATTTCGTGCAGTGTATGTCAAGCAGCACTTCAAACAGCTGTTATCACCAACCAAACCAAAAACAAAAATCACCGCAAGCCGAAAAATAAAAAGCAAAATATAAAACAAAAAAAAATGTAGCACACTTTTCATACACAGGCAAACAGAGAGGCAAATAAAGCGAGAGCACGTTGAAAAGAGAGAGCGCAGAAGAGAGGCAGACAGAGCGAGAGAGGGAGCTTTAGCACAGTTGTTTAGAAAAAACGGCACAAAAGCACGAGGTGAAAAATATAAAAACGAAACAGAAAAAAAGGACGAAAACTAACGAAAAAAGAGAGCACCGACTACAGTGAGGCAAAAACGATGTTGAGTTTTGTTTTGGGTCAGCTAAGGTCAGGTTTCTTATTATTATTTATTTTTTTTGATTTTGATTTTATTTTTATTTTTTGCTGTGTTGTGTTTTACTGTTACCGCTGTTCAGGCGTGTATATGTTCACTGTGTGTGTGCAATGTTGCGACTGTTCCGGCGCTCGTGTTGAAGGCAACTACACTACGACTCTACCGACTCCAGTGTCGCTACCTAACTTGTCGAGCCAAAACACACGCTTGCAGTTTTACGCCGTTAACACACACTTCCACACGCACACGTACACACACACAACCCTATCGAGCATACCCCTGCCCAACACCCAACACCAAATACCCAACCCCCATTGCCACCCCTTTTCCAAAAACTCAACTGCTGTTGCTGTTGTTGTTTGGGGCACGGGTGGTTGGCCCAACTTTCGAAAAGACGAGGAGCGGGAACGAGGTGCGCGAGGCCGTGGAGCGGGTGCGAGGGTCGAGTACAATCACCACTCGAGCATAACATTCTGGCAACTGACACCGTGCCACAGTGGTTAGCAACCTACTTTCCAAGCTTGCAACAAAACTATTGCTAACTAAAAACGGAAAAAGAGTGTTCCAATTTAATTTAAAATATATATTGTTCTCTATTTAAAATATATTATTTAAAACAATACTGAACAGATTAAGAATATTGATTATTTATATGAAAATTACAAATTAAAGCATCCATCCAAATATTGAAACGTAAAGGTAATCTGCTTCTGCAAATTGGATTCATCGAATGAACGGTTATCGATATTATCGAACGTTGAGTTAAAAATATTTCTATTTTCTTTCGCTGACAATCGTGTGTTGACCCACTGTGCCGCTGCTGTACAGTTCGAGAAAGGGTTGTACGTTAAGTCCCCCGCTAATACACACACACACACAACAAAAGGAGTCGCAAATGTTTGGCATGCAGAGATACCCCAAAAACACTACGAACAACTAGTCGAGTCGAGCCGAGCTGAACAGAACAGAACACAAACTACGTAAAATATATGTGCAATGTGCCAACCCTCGATTAAATCAAGCAAACCCCCCTCCCCCCACACACACATACACACACACTCACCGTCCCGTCAACTACAGCTACCGCTTAGCCCCTGCCAAGCTAAAACAAAAGGATTGCCGGGATAACTAACTGCCTGGGTGGGTGCACTACCGGGTGTGCCCAGGACGAGGTTGAGCCAAAGGATATACCAAACGACACGCATACGAGGGGCGGGGTAATTACAGAAAGACAGACAGAGATGGAGAGAGAAGGAGAGACAGGCATAGAAATATATAGAGAGTGAGAGAGGGCGAGAGAGAGGGCGAGAGAGAGACAGTGAGAGAGAGAGAGAGAGAGAGAGAGTGGGTTTCAACTGGTTGGCTGTTGGTTGCTGCCTGGGTGAACAAAACTTGGCGCTGCAAGTTGTGTGTCTCCTCTCTGCCTATGGATAGAGATAAATCAATGACTCTGCCAACTTTGGGAACTCGCGCAGGCATACACACCACACGCACACACACCCACACACCACACGCACACACGCAGTGCGGAGAAGGCCCTAGCACCTCCAATAAACTTGTCAACTACAGTGAGTACTCGGAGCAGACAATTATTTGTGATTGATTGATGTCTTGAGCTTAGTAGTGCTCACTCGATACGCTGAACTCTCGGCAAGTTTATTTGCATGTTGTGTGTAGTGAAGGAGTTTGCAACTCATAACTATTACACTAACTATTGACATAACCCATCAAAGCCAGAACCATTTTTAAAGAAAACTCAATTATGGCTCTGAATTTGAATTGACTAATTCCATTTTGAGACTCAGAATTTTCTAATGCTTGTAAACTAACAATATACATATATTCAATTCATATTAGGCTCTACAAGAAGGATAACAATCTTCAATGCTCGATATATTTATTTATTTAATTTATATTGTTATGAGATGATTAAGATGTTATGAAAGAGTCTAGTAATATCAGAGAGCTGGTATTTAAAGAAAGTTGATCGTTAATAATAATTCAATGAATTTAAATTAATTTTTATAATTTAATGTTACGGGTTAAATACAAATGCAATTTTCTTTTCATTTTGAAATTTGTTTCTTAAATAAATGTGAATGTTCGAAATGTTGGGAATTAGTTTCATGTACAGTTTAACGATGATTCGCATGCTTGAAAGCTTTCAAGAATCAGTTAAATTCGAAAGCTCAACTCATTAATCCAGTCATTTGCAAGAACAAAAGACAATTGCAGTAAATTCTCGAAATGCCTGTCTCTACTTGTGTGTGTGTGTTTGTGTATGTGTGTTTGTGTATATGTTACGCCCTAACACTTAATCCCAACATATCCCTCGTTCTCAACCCAATATCATTTCTCACTTGCATTGAGTTCAAGAGATGTTTTTCTGTCTCTTCTTTTATTCTTTCGTTTTTCTCTGTTGACACACAAAATAAAACCAAAACGAATGACCTTGCAAAAACACAAAAGAAAATAAGCTCAAATATTCGCACACACACGCACACACACACACAGACACAAGCGCAAAAAACATGTGTTTTGTGTGTGTTTGCGAAAAGGAAATACTTCAACACGTTGCCAAAAAAAAAAGAGGAGCAAAAAAAGCAGCAATAATGAAGTAGAAGAAGCAGAGCGCGTGAGAGTCGCTTAAGGGTTGCACACAACCAAAGTGTAAGCGAAATTAAAATGAAAACAAAAAATGCCGGATAAAAGCGAACAAAAACAAACCAGACGACAACAAAGAGAACAGGCAACATCCATTCGACAACAAGCACAACTAAAAGAGCAACAAATCATAAACAGACAGCGTGCACATTTTGAGCAGGAAAGAATGCTCGATTCGGAGATACCCTAACTCATTCAAATGGTAGGGGAGACGAACGATTATTTTTTATTAAATATATTTTATTTAAATTGTTGCAATTAAAGATTGTAGAATGTGTTTAATTATTAAATATATTTAATTCAGATGCGGTTTATCACTGATTTGAACTCCCGCCAAGTGCTGTAATAATAAAATAAAACAAATGTTATCCCTTTCGCATTCGGCAAATCACAGCATGCAAAAGCCATCAGCACCATTCAATTGTCAGGTCAACTCTATCGCACCCGCATGCTCTTAATTGTGAATCCTTTAAAAAGATGACAATAACATAGATGTGAAGACGATAACTTGTGCGTATGTCCAAAATACAATATATTATTTTGTACCAGTTCACAAATTTGGTTTTTATTGCTATCGAAAATCGATTTATATCGAGAGAGATCGCTTATTCCTACAGAGTAAGCTCAAAAGTGGGCACAAAAGGTTACAGTGCATGAAACACCCCAATAATAATACCCTTGCCATACCTCTATCCAGACCTTCTGACATTCCAGTTTCACTATAAATTTAGCAAGAAAGAAATATATAAATGTTTATCTCTGGCAGATCGATGATTACATACCCTTGCAGACCGAAATCAATCTGCTAAAATTTAAATTGTATTTATATTGTCTATCTCAATCCTACAATTTAAAGCTCATCCTTCAAGCGATTGTGCCTATAGCAGCTATAGGATAAAGTGGTCCCATCCAATCGAAAATGACGAATATATGCCAGGTTGAATCAGGCTAGCTTAGTGTCAAAAATGAGGACATCCGAGAGAGACGTACCGATGGACATGGCTATATGGACTCTGGTGATGCTGAACCAGAATATATATACTTTATGGGGTCAGAGAAGTCTCCTCTAATGCGTTACACATTTCATGGCAATATTATAATACCCTCTACAAGGGCATACAAACAAATACTGCACAGTAAAAAATTGTATGTGATAAATCAAGTTTTGTTTTCGACATTAAGGAACAAGTTAAAATTCTCGAACAGCGAAAGGGAAGAGTGGGATGAAATTCCTCAATTTCTCGCTCTCTCTCTCTCAGTTTCTCTTTTAGTCTGCACTTTGCAAATTTATCGCACATTTGACTTCTGCTCCATTTTTTTCCTGTGTAGAAAATCAGAGGTTGCATCATGCATATGTATGAATTTATATACACACACACATGCATATGTCTATACATACATATATGTATAAGCATGCTGTGGGAGGGAGGGGCGGCGGTGAGGTGTGTGAGGCATGCGTGTACACAGCCGGTGCAGTTTTAACGCATGCGCCGCAGGCCAATGGCCAAAAAGCAAATATGCAGCGAATGGCAGAACAAAGCAAGCAGACCGATAAATAAGCTGCTCAGCCAGCTGGGGAAATGGTATATACATATATATATATATCTTTATATATACATATATCTTTATATATATATATATATATGTGTGTACATATATATATGTGTATATATGTACGATGTCAGACGGCAAGACAGCAGCGCGTGGGAGTGGCATCAAATTGCTGTTGCTGCTGCTGCAAGCACACACATACAAACGTCCATAGTACAGTGAACCCAGGCCATTGACAAACGAGTCGGACAATGCTTACGCACAGCGAAACAAGTAATAAACCTTGTGGCATAGGGTGATATCGATGTAAGATATTTGCTTTTATCGATTTTTATCGATTTCTCAGTGCGAAAAATTGAAATCAGACTTTACAAAGTATATCCTTGAGTATATTTCATGTTATCGGTCATCGATTAAATTCGTTAATCGATTGCAGCTGAAATATATATTGGCTATATATTGATCAAGAAGTTGTGCAGCACACACACAGCAGCATATATATATATATATATATATGCAAGTAAAAAGGAAGGCAGTGCTACGCGATATTTCATAACAGGCAGCTAAAAAGGGTTAGCAGGGATCGCTTAGAGTTGCCAGATTGTGCAGAAGAAGTCGTTCAGCTAAAGGTGCCGCTGAATGGTCAACGTTCACATGGCCTTAACCCTAACCTAGCACAAGCAAGTTCTCAATACATAAATATAAAATATATGTATGTATATTAATATTTTTTTGTGATTAAACTGAAAACGTGTTGCTTGAAAATGGTAGGGGGCATGAGAAGCTGTATATGACACTCAAAACTGCACGCAAAGAATTCAAACAAAAAAAATGCAAATTAATTGATGAAATTGACTTCTCTACTCTTATTCTTTCCTCTTCTCGTCATCGCCTGCTTCTTCTTTTGCTTGTTGCCAAATAAAATGTTTTTTTTTGTTATGTTGCTTTGCGATTTGTAGTGTTTTTTTGCCGCACCATGTGGCTGGCCACGCAGCCAGCAAGTGCAAGCGAGATGGCTAGATTATACACAGACTCAGCTGCTGCTGCTAACCGCGCAGCGACTGCGATGCCGGCAGAGATGGCCAGTGGCCATTGAATATGTTGGCCATCAAATGTTGCCGATTTGTGCGGAGCAACCACAAAGAAACGCATAAGTCATCATCATGCAAAACAACAACAACATATCTACAATGATAAACATGATTTAGAAAGAAGTGAGAAACTTACCATTTTGTTGCCGTTGTTCGTATTGCAATTCCTTCTTTTTGTGTTGTTTTGATTTGCAGTTGACTTCAGTGCTGCCCAGGCCGGAAGAGAAAAAGGTAGAAAGAACGCGCGCGACGACAACGGCGACAACAACAACAATGACGACGACGGAGACAGTAGCAGAAGAAGAAGCAGCAACGAGCAGAGTCGGGAACAGCGCTATCGAACAATTGTGTTCGTCTTCCTCCTCTTCTTGTTTTTCGATTCGATTCGACTGAGCTCTTTTGGCTCCGCGGCTCAGCACACGTTTTTTTTTCTTTTTTTTAGTCCACTCTTCTTTTGGGTCTATTTTCTTTTGTTTGTTTAACTTTGCTGCAAACGACGGCACATTGCCGTGGATATTTGAGAATTGGGACTTATTGCAAAATAATAATGCTTTTCCTGATTATTCCTGTTGCGGCACAATAACAACAAAATAAAGACGAGAGGAAGGAAACAAAAATAAAAAAAAGTTAACAAGCCGAAAACACACGTAACATACGTACGCAGCGCTCGTCGCACGCTAATAAAATGACACACTTATCGATATATTTGCAATATGTCGCTGTTACCACACAAAAAAAAAAACACTCCTTTGGTATTTGCAACAAATACCTTTAAAATATACTAGCTTCTTATTTTCGATTATTATTTTCGCTCAAATACTAACACTCAGACTCTGTGCTTCTCTTCATTTCTCTCTTTGCCTTTCTCTCAAATGCTTGCTTCGTTTACTGTACAAATGCCCCGATTGAGTATTAAAAGCCCAAAAAATTAAAATACTAAAACAGCATATCGATGATTATATATCGAAAACTTTAGTTAAACCGTGTATTGCTGTTGTGGTTTCTGGAAAATAACAAAAATTACATATTTTTATGTATTCTAATTTGAAAGATGAAATAAGAATACCTTGTACTATTACGTATTACCAGTTTAAATGGCTAAATTGAGGAGCGACGAATTTTTTTTTGTTTTTAGCAGACCGATAGCTGTTAACAGTGCAGAGCAGTTAATTTAACAGACGCATATTTATTAGAGGTGTGCAAAACTGATATCCATTGTGTTTTGCAGCACTGCTATTTTGTTGTTGCGGTCGCGTTGCCAGTGCGGCGGTTTATATTTATTAGCCATTACTCAGAGAAAAAAAGTCATTGTTTTAAGGCTAATCGCCAGAAATGTGCGCGCCAACCAATTAAAAAGCAGCGTCAACCGCTCGATGAGCCACAGTTTCGACAAGCACTCGCACAAAAAAAATCAATTCGCAAAAATTCGTGCCGCCTGCCATAAAAACGCACAGCAAATGAAAAAAAATCGACAAATAAAGTGAAAAATACTCGCTGCAACTCGATCGATATATGTTGTTGCAACTTACAACTTACAACAATTGTGGCCAGTTGACAATTGCTCTAACGGTTTTTAAGAAGTGTTTTTTTTTGTTTTTGTTTTGTTGTTTTTTTCGGTTCATGTCGCTTGTGGAGTAGCGAAGAAGAAGAGCAGACGCAGAGAAGACACATTGAGAAGAGTGCAGAGTATCTAAATCGCACGCTAGTCGCCGGGTGTTAGGAAAGGAGAGGAAAGCATAGGAGAGAAGAGGAGAGGTGTGAAAGAAATTAGCAAGGCACATTTATAAATATACATATGTATATATGTATATATATACATATGTTTGTATGTATGTGCATTGATTTTAATACAAATCTCAAATATTAATGAATTTGTTGTTGCTGAAACGCTTGAATATAAAAATAAACCAAACAAATCGCCACAGCTAGCAACAAGAGAGAGTGTTAGAGAGAGAGAGAGTGCACCATCGCATCAGCAACGAGAGAGAGAGTGAGCATCGGCACACACACACACACATTCTCAGAAACTCATCGATAATCGCGTTAAACATTTGTTTACGCAAGGAGTTAATGACACACCCTGTGTCTCAAAAACAAGGAGAGGCCCGCGCCAGTTACACCCTGTTTCACCACCGCCTCCCCCACCCAACCAAGCCCGTTGCGTGTGTCTTGGACTGGCGCCTTATTGTCTATCCTACAACAACAACAGCGAAGCGCCATTGACATTGCCATTGCTGACAGCTCCTCTTCCTTGTTTTGCTGATGAACCAATAGTGTTTTATATGCGATCCAACAGAATGGTAAGTGAAGAAAATGAAGAGCTTAGCATAACGAAGCAAAAGAGCAAGCGAGAGCCTTCTTCTAACGGACCCCTGCACTCGTATTCGCACTCGCACTCGCGTGTGTTATTAGCATTAGCACTATTTCACTGTTTCTATCTCTGGCCATCATTCGCTGAACACAAGGCCGATGCCGGCCCATTAGACTACTTGCATGCATACACACACAAACACACACACACACGCACAGACAGGCAGGCAGACGTACATTTGTGTGGGTGCGCGTCAGTGATGTGATTTTGTATTAATCGCATATTAGTGTGACTAAATTAAATAAAGGAAAAACCAACAAATTGCATTTAAGGTGTGACCCAAGCAGCTTTTGGGGTTGTTTTCCCTCCGAGGAGTGTCTGCAGGGTAGCGGTAGTAGTTCACAAATAAAAAATAAAAATAAATAAACATTGCTAGCACTATTATATATATATGTATATACATGTATATTGTATATTTGTTTTTGTACTTGTGGCTGTAAGTGGTATCTCTTAGTCTGTCACTCAACATTGGACTACCCATCACTTGTGCGTGGCCCTGAATTTGCCCTTAATCTTTAATTTACACGTATGCTGCATACATTGAGAGGACTCTGAAAAGTGTTTATTTATATATATGTATGTATATTTATTCATATATATTTTATTTATTTATATTTTTTTTTTTGACAAACGTGAGAACGACTCATTTGCTGCGGTAATCGGTAAACGTCACAGGGACGACTACTGATTATTGCTAGTGTGTGCGTGAGCTTTAATGTTGTTGTTGCAAATGTTGCGTATAAATGCTTTATTTGTACGTATAATGAACGTACCTTGATTGTGCTTATCTAGCCAAGCACACATACATATATGCATACGGTGGCCAGTGTGTGGGTGTATGTGTGTGTGTGTTTGAACAACCTACTGCGATAACGGGAAAGGGGGCGGTCTCACTTGTACTCGGTAAATGTACCCGCAGCGCGTGACAATGCCAACAACAGCCACAACAGTAAAAGAAGAAAAAAGAAGAAGCATTGGGAATTGCCCACAAGTGGACACCTGTTAGTTAGCGAGCGCATAAGGAAGGCAATGTCCAATAACGCAACTAGAGCTTAAATTGTACAGTATGCTCTTGCTCAGTGCTGACAATTTAGCCTTTTTTACTAGCTTTATTTTTAAATAGGTAAATAGCTAAGTTTTGGTATGTTTCAATTTGGCTTGTTCAGTTTTATTTATATCATATTGTTCTGCATTTTTATTTTTGGCTTGTATTTTTCTTTAATTGTGGCTATCACTAACTTTTTAAATGCTGCTTAAAAGCTGGCAGCGCTGTTCTTGCTTTATTTTGTTAGTCATAAAAGCAGCAATATAAAAAATACAAATAATATATATAAATATATATACATTTGTGTACGTCTGTATGTGTAATAATGTACCGGCATTTGGTGCACAATTGAATACAACCAACAATTATCACTACAGCGGCTATTGTTGTATTTTTGATAACGTATTTAATTTATTATTTATGTCTGCGTCTCACACAGACATATGCACACACGCGCACTTATCCAAATACGTGTACGCAAATGCATGGCAATGTGTGTGGGTTGTACACAAACACATGTAAAATTAAAACGCCGCAGTCTGCTCTATCTCGCTCTCCCGTTCTCTCTCAGTGCTCACTGCTCGCCATATTGTGGAGCGCTCTCTTCGCCGCCGTTTCAGTTAAACGGCTGCCTTCGAAGTTCGAAGTGCTTCGAGGCTCCAAAAAAAAAAAAAAAACGAACGAACTTACAAATGTGAACGAAACGCGCGAAAAGTTAACGAAACAATAACAAATAACAAATAGCAGAAACCAAAGATTAAATAAACGACAGACAAAGATGGGCTGTTAACAACAAACTTCGGCGGATAAAACACACAGAGAGAAAGAAAGAGAGCGAGAGAGAGCAAAACACACGGAGAATAAAATATAAATTACAAATAAATGTTACAAATCTTGCACTTGAGTAATAATAAAACACAACACGGGGTTGTCGATATCTCATTCTCAAAGTACTCGAAATACCAAAAAACACATGCCATACACACGCACACACACACATTCATATATATATATATATATATGGGTATATATATTTTAGGTACAAACGTGTACCGAATATGGACTCCAGTTAATCTCTCGCTCGATTCCAATTCCGATTCACGCTTTGTACTAATGAACTTTGGGTTCTTACCCGCAAATACACACGACTACTAACGTACATGTATATCTATGTACATATATATATACGTATATATAGTATTACGATCGTTAACAAGACATTTAATTGCCAACACTGTTGTTTATACTCACTGCAAGATTTTTAATTATTATTTGTTGCTCTAACGAAAAAGGGAATCCCACATTTTCCATTGCGCTTATGCAACAAATGTATATATATAACTTTTCCTATTTTTCTAACTGTTATTTCGCCTCCCCTGGTTCTAATTTTTGTTGCATTTTTTTTGCTGTGTTGTGCGAATATATATGCACATATATAAAAAAGAACAAAAGCTTTTCAATTTGACAACAACAATGAACAATAATAATTAAAATGACAACAACAACAAGAAACAACGAGTGCATCATTGGCCCAAAGTCAGTGAAGCGTCTCTTGTTGTGTGTGTGCATACCCTGCATGTAACGTGTACAGGGTATATGCAACTCTTCCCAGAATTCTTTGAAACTTTGATTGCATCGAAAATTTCCCAGAAACAGCCCTCAGAAATAAAAAAAATGAAAATGCTATAAAGAGAAAAAACATACTAAGCTGTTTAGAATTGTAGAATTGACTTGAATGTAGGCATCAGTTCGAACATAAATCAAAAATCTCTGACTATGTGGAGTAGTGCACGTATTAAGTAAATAAAGCAATTCAATTCACGATTAGTTTTGGTTTTTGAGCCCACGATTCGCTCATCCGGGGGACTTTTAGTGAATAACGACGAAAAAAAAGAAATAAATATTTAACTGCTTTTGAGATAACAGACTGAATAAGTTAGACAAGGTCGCAATTTATTAGTCGTTCATTTCGAATTCTCAAGTGGCACAAGCGTCATTCAAGAATCCAATGATGTTTCAGTTTTTAATACATATACTAAATATATATACATATATATGTTTATAACTTCCTCCGTTTTGCGACTATAAATAACAATCAATTTACAATTACAATAAAGGTACAAAAGCTAAAGTTAATACTTGATTCCTTCTAATGGGGCACATATATACCCATTGGGTACATATATACATTGTATATAATATACTGGAAAAATTTCATAAAGATCGTTTAAGAAAAATGGAAGAAAATCACAAAAAGAAAAAGAGCAAGTGCAAACTTTTTCTGTACACACACAGACACACTCACACACACACTCAAACACACACACTCAAACACACACACTCAAACACACACACTCAAACACACACACTCACACACACATAGACACCTCTCGACTTGAGCAGTTTAACTTGCTCTTCGTTGCGCTTATCTCGCCAGCAATTCAAGTTGACAACGAACCCAAAACAAATTGTTTTTTTTTTTGTTTTGGGGTTATAGTCGCGGATGGGTTGGGGGTGAGAGGTGGGAGGTGGGGAAGGATATGAGACATTCGTCTAGTTATCGGTCACCGGAACTGAACAACAAACGAGAACAGCTGAGAATGATCTGAGACCGAGAAAATACATTGCTGAGTCATGAAATATTTATTATTATCTTATACGTTAAGTTCCATGACGACAACAAACTGTTGACACATGCCGCACTCGGTGCATATCACTTTGTGACAAATTCAAGTACAACAGTACGGCTAGAGTGAATTCATTAATATTAATTCATATTCATTCTTAATTTCAAAATCGAACCATTCATTCACTCTGCACAAATACGAGCTAAAGTCGAAGTCTAAATTTGTGAAACCTTCTTGACTTTCACAATTGGTTTCAAGTGCAAAATTCACATTTTTATAATATATACGTTTGTACAGCTTCATGGAACACTTTCCCCCATTTTCAATGGGTACAGAATTAGCCCGTTTTAAGGCGTTTCCCACTGCCACTTGAGTGCTGTATAAATGTAAACAAACATATATTAACGTCAGCATCAGCATGATGTATACATATGTATATGTATATATATCGAGACGTATTTGAGCGTTTCTCTTACCGCTTATCAGCTGAAGGCAAGGTTTATGAGCCAACCGAGCCAACTGAAGAACTCGCAATCATCATCGTTATCATAATTCAGTTTCCAAGAAATCGGCTCCTCAGCCGCTTAGAAGATTGCTTGATGAATCAGGGGCATGTGAAAGGGGGGTAATGGCTAGCAAAATAAGGTTTCTTATCACATGTGAGGTAACTAATCTTCAATTGATTTGCTCAATAATATGATGTAAGATTATTAAAATAATTACTTCTGCGAAATGTTGACTCCGACTCGTGCTTGACAACGTTCATTTAAAAAACAGGTAGAGCAGTGAAATCAAGGAAATTCAAGGAGCTGAGGGAGACTGTGAGTGAGTTCGACTACGATACAATCTGATGTCTTTAAAAAAGTGTTGCACACCCAAATGTAAGCATGCGTGGAAGTGCTCTCATTTCGTATGACCGGCATAGGTAGTCAAAAACAGCCAAGGCAACGCATGTTTTCATTCACAAGCACGAACTACATATATACATATAGATATATATATATACATATGTATATATTTATGTTTGTATATTATTTCACTCTGTCAACATGCTTAGGTGCGCTTATTTTAATACCCTATTTTGACAGTTTAGCTAATAACTCACAATTAAAAACCGTAGGTTAGTCATGCCCTGCTGGAGGCCTAGTCATATATACATATATTATATATCCACTACTACTTCTGTTTGCTATCTCATAATGTGCACAATACTCAAATATCGATCTGATTACTCCCTAACAAAAGTAAACGAGAATTTCCCATTTGTTTGGAAGGGGGCTTAATGCGGGTTTTTTGCCCGCATTAAAATATATATGTCTATATAAATGTATGTTGTGTATATATAAATGTGTATATGAACATATTTCCAACTATCAGCTATAACTTTTGTTTTGGGCTTTCCGTTAATTTTATTGACTTGACAAATTGCTCAAAAGAATAAGCACGCTTTGCATTTGCTTGCCCCGGACAACCTTTAATTAGAAAGAGAGCGAGCGATAGAGAGAGAGAGAGAGAGGGAGAGAGAGAGAAAGAGAGTGGGTAAGAGGGGGAGGAGAGGAAAAGTAATACGAATTGTAGTCAATTATAATCATATCGATGACATTTGAACTTTCATAGTTATTGGAGCCAAATAAGCGCAGAGACCCCCCACCCAATATAAATTAAATTACACCGGAATGTGTGTTAGATGGTGTGTGTGTGTGTGAATGTGTGTGTGTGTGTATGCTTGCTTGCTACACATTCCACACTGCCCACAATCTGGGTACAAACAGCAACAACAGCAGTAAATAATCAAAATAAAAGTTCGCTCAATTTTTCGATACCTTCAATTCGGGTCAAGAATATATTTACTAGAAATTTGTGCATATAATATGCACAAATAAAACATTGTTAATAAATAAGATAAACAGTTAGATGCTTGATTAAATCAATTGCTAAATTTTGATTCTTGATATCGCATATCAATACCCGAGTCAATATAACCATATAGTCCGTCTGTATGTCCATATATTTGTATGTATATAATATGCCGGTGTATTATATTAATATGTATGAATACCTTTACAATTGTGTTTGCTATTGCTATCGGAAATCGATTCTTATCGATAACACGAAATAAACTTTATTCGAGAACTTATATTCCAGATTATACACAACTATTGATGCTAATCAACAATATATATACCTTATGGGCTCGGAGAACGCAAATACACCATTTTTATACATTGTTAATGGGTGCAGGGTATGCAACAAGGTTAATACTCCCCCAGTGAAAAACTATTGACGCTTGGTTAGAGTTGGAGAGTGTAAACACTCTGACTCTAATGGGTCATGGGTTGCTAACCACGCTGATAAGTACACACATGTGCCACTGTGTGTATGTATGTGTGTGTGTGTGTGGATGTGTGTGTGTGTGTGTGGATGTGTGTGTGTGTGTGCGTGGATTTCACACCTCAAATAGTTGTAAATTCCATCGTAAAGCTAAAGCAGCTTATTGTAAGATGTGAAAATATTGCCAAGAAGCGAAGCACTCAAATATGCAATAAATAAACATAAACAAACGGTTGACTGGCGAATACCCTGTATATAGTATATAACCTGATATAGCTAAATAGACAAATTTATTTTATATACTTACATATGCCATGAGATTCATTGGATCCGTGATTCTGATTTCATTTAGATCGCTCACAAATTGGATGGTTTTACATATTTGCATATATGTCTAGATTATATTGATTTTAACACCCTGAACAGTCGGACTCTATAAGTGGAGTTAATGTTGTTTGTGAACTGACTTTTTTTGATTCATCTGATTGAATTAACATCATTTATGAGGATCGTAATCGTAGGTTGGTAGACTTGTGATTGATTGGGAACATCGATGGTGGCTAATATGTCTTATATATGTGTCATATATATATAAAATGGGGGGGAAGTTATATTTAGCAATACAATGTTAATTTATTATTTATTTTGGATTTGAACTGCATAGAAATAGACATTGATAGAGCTCGCATTTCTCTTTGGCATTATCTACATGTGTTCCTTAAGACCGCCTATTCAAATCTGAGTCATGTGGTCTGTTTTTGATATCACCAGTGCAGTTCTGTTACGTACTATATATATATATGTATACAATGCGGATTGTTATTTAATTGAATTGCATTTTGATTGATTATCTTTGCAGAAATGAGTGCCTCATCACTTAGCGAGACTTTAACGAATCCAAGCGAATTATTAACGGCAACAGCAAAGGGCAATCGCTTAAAACACCAACGAGAACAGGCAGAACAACCAAAAATTTAAGACAAAACCAACAAAAGCAACAACAACAACAACAACACCAACAACAAGAACAACAACGAAACAGGAAACGGGAATTGGGCGACCTGTCCAAGATACAGTATCTAATAGAGTTAACAAAGATACAAAGATACATGCGTAAGATACGGTATCTCAAAGCTAGCTGAAGAGATACATGTGTTGTGTGCGTGTGTGTGAATTTACTCAGGCACCCACTTAGACACCCAAAGCTACCCAAACCACGTGCATAGATCCCTAGATAAAAGCGTAACGTCAGACGTAAGCAGTTGACCGTAAACAGTTGACCGTTAGCAACTGAAAGGAAGCAGTGCTGTGACGTATCTGTGAAGCAGTGTTGTGTAATCAGAAGAGCGACAACAACAACAACAACAATCATGCTGAAAATGATGATGATGAGCTCGACAACAAAACACTTGCTGCACTGCTTGCTGCTGTTCACTGTGATAGCTACCTGCGAAGTATTCTCTGGAGGCATCAAAATCAATGAGAACTCCTTCACCATTGTCGATCCATGGACTGAATATGGCCAATTGGCCACCGTATTGCTGTACTTATTGCGCTTCCTAACGCTGCTAACACTGCCGCAGGTGCTATTCAATTTTTGCGGCCTCGTCTTCTACAATGCCTTCCCCGAGAAGGTCGTCCTCAAGGGCAGTCCACTGTTGGCGCCCTTCATCTGTATACGGGTCGTTACGCGTGGCGATTTTCCGGATCTAGTCAAAATGAATGTGCTACGCAATATTAACACCTGCCTCGACACTGGCCTCGAGAACTTTCTCATCGAAGTCGTTACGGATAAGGCGGTGCATTTGGCACAGCATCGGCGCATCCGTGAAATTGTTGTGCCCAAAGAGTATAAGACACGTACGGGTGCCTTATTCAAATCGCGCGCCCTCCAATACTGCCTGGAGGATACGGTCAATGTGCTCAATGATAACGATTGGATCGTTCATCTCGACGAGGAGACGCTGCTTACCGAAAATTCGGTCCGTGGCATCATCAATTTTGTGCTAGACGGCAAGCATCCATTTGGCCAGGGTCTGATCACCTATGCCAATGAGAATGTTGTCAATTGGCTGACAACGTTGGCCGACAGCTTTCGTGTCTCCGATGATATGGGCAAATTGCGTCTGCAGTTCAAGCTATTCCACAAGCCACTATTCAGCTGGAAGGGCAGCTATGTGGTCACACAGGTGAGTGCCATTCGAGTTATCGAATCTTGTCAAATCTAATCGATTGCAATTTGCAGGTTGGCGCCGAGCGTTCGGTTTCATTTGACAACGGCATCGATGGATCTGTTGCGGAAGATTGCTTCTTTGCGATGCGTGCGTTCAGTCAGGGCTACACCTTCAATTTCATTGAGGGCGAGATGTACGAGAAGTCACCGTTCACGCTCCTCGATCTGTTGCAGCAGCGCAAACGTTGGCTGCAGGGCATCCTGCTTGTGGTGCACTCCAAGCTGATACCGTTCAAGCACAAACTGTTGCTGGGCATCAGTGTTTACTCGTGGGTAACAATGCCATTGTCCACATCGAACATCATCTTTGCCGGCCTCTATCCGATACCGTGTCCCAATCTGGTGGACTTTGTCTGCGCCTTCATTGCCGCCATCAACATCTATATGTATGTGTTTGGCGTGATCAAGTCATTTTCCCTCTACCGTTTCGGCCTGCTCAAGTTTCTCGCTTGTGTCCTGGGCGCCGTCTGTACGATACCCGTTAATGTTGTCATTGAGAATGTGGCCGTCATTTGGGGCCTGGTTGGCAAGAAGCACAAGTTCTACGTTGTCCAAAAGGATGTGCGAGTTCTCGAAACGGTCTAAACCGAACGGAACGGAACGGAAGTGATCGGAATAAAATGGAATGGCATTGAATGGAACGGATACGAATCGGGATCAGCAATTAGCAGTAAAGGAACAACAGCTTTTTGGCACTAATTAATTGTAATTAACACACACACACCCTCACACCCTCACACACTCACACACACACGCTCAAAACGAAATTTATGAAAATGCAAAAACCAAATGAAACAAATATAATCGCACAACAGCAGCAGTAGCAACAACAACAACAACAAAAACGACAACATAAACATTAACAACATCATCATGATCTTTATATATTTAAGCTTAAGTTGCACACACTCACACACACCCACACACACACATACACATATAAACGCACATATTTGTTATTAAGTTGTTAAAGAAATATTTACTTTGGTCGCCACTTTTTGCAAAATTGTTAAAACGTATATCTGTATATGTATATATATATATATATATATATATATTTATGCCGAAATGTGTGCACACACCCACAAACACACACACACACTCAACGAGAACTTAAAAGGAAACACAAATTTTTAAATTTATAATAAATTCAGCATTAAGTGTAATTTTTTTAATAGTCATTAGTAGTGAAAAAGATGAAGTAAAAAGCAACTCCCCATATATGTATATATATATACATATACTGTATTTAAATATATATATGTGTATATATATTTATATTGTACTATATATATTATGTGTAGATTTATTATTATTATTACACTATGTATACATACATATATTATTATTATTATTATTATTATTTAAACTTAAAACTGTGTACATTAATGTATTGTAAATTGATAAAAACAAAATGGAGAAACTGTTAAAAATATCATTCACACCAAATTACCAAACAACAACAACAACAAACACAACCTTAGACTTTTGTGTACTTACATAATATGGATGTGTGATTTTTTTTATTTTTTTGTCTTTTGTATATGTATGTATTTGTGTATGTGTTTGTATAGCTGTAGACGCCATAAACAACATTTACAAGAAACAAGAAGAAGAACAACAACTTTAAGGCTCGTCCCTGCTTCGCTTTAGTTTATCTCTACTCAAAGGAGCAACAATTGCTATTCATTTGTTAAATCATTTTCATATTTATTACACACACACACATACACACATGAGAACCGATCAAAGTTGGCCTACACACACATACACACGCAGACACACACACGGTGTGAATGATAGCATTCGTGTTGTTTTTAGCATTTGCCTGTTCAAATTTGTGCATTCATTTTTTGCTTAAATTTACTTTATTTTCTTGCTACTGTTATTGGTGCTTTGAAAAAAATAGAACACAAACTCACACATGCAGGCAATGCACCCCAAAACACACACACACACACACAACAAACACACACACACAACAAACACACACACACAACAAACACACACACACAACAAACACACACACACAACAAACACACACACACAAACACACACACACAACAAACACACACACACACAAAAACACACACACACAAACACACACACATACACATTAAAAAATTGTTTTGCAAATGAAAAAAAAGAACCAAATACAAAAAAAAACGATAATAAATGAGCAACAAATTATTATACATAAAAACATAATTTTCGTGTTTTTTTTTTCTTATTTATTTATCTCAGCGAAAAATCAAAATTTGAGATTTTAACAATCTTGAAACGAATTAAGTTTTTTCAAATAGAATATATATTGACCAGCTATATGAACAAATTTAACTGCAGAAGTGATAACATAAAAGAAATACATTAAAAAATAGATGGTAAATGGATAATATATATACTATATAAGGAAGGGCGTAGCGAGAGAGATGGCATTGCTTAGAAGAAGAGAGGGAAAGAAAGAGACAGAGAGAGAAAGTGAATGATTTAAGTATTTGAAGATGAGTCATTTGGTTTATTTGGTACGTGGACAGCAGGACTGGATTGGAGGGCATCTTCATCCTCACCGAGATGCTTTGACTTTTATATCGAGTTGTGTTTGTTGCTGCTGCTCGGATTGGGATTGTCGTCTTCCTCAGATTAAACGATTTGTTGTCAAACGTTGACACATCGCTAACGGTTCAATTTGATTTGTAAGTATCTTTTTCATCATCTTCTTTCGATCGAGCTACTGCCTCCTTGGGGTTAAGCAGCTCCTTGACAATCTGCTGTCAGGCCAGATCATCCAGCCCACTCTCAGAGAGCGACGCTATCTTCTGCTGCAGATCCCTAATTTGGGCATTGCGCAGCTGCATCTCCTGATCAAGGCTGGCCAACAGTGAAGTCTATTCAGCTTGTTCCTTTATCCTTCTGCCAGCTACTCCTCATCCAGCTTGCCAGCAGCAAAACCATCATCATAGCGCATCCTTGAACCTACAATAAAAGAACAAGAACGAGAAAGAAACGTCTGGCAAACGGACAGACAGATCGACCCGGTTGTTGATGCTGATCAAGAGTTTATATATATATATATATATATTGGTTGGTCTTACATCTTGTGAATGGCTACTTCCTCGTCTCATTTGTCTTTGAGCAGCAGGCGCTGGTTGGCTTGGAGCTCCTGCGAGACATTCAGATTCAATTTCCTCGGTACAGCGACATCTCCTTCCTTCTTCAGCTGTTTAGCTTGTCCTGAATCATTTCGATAATGTGCAATGCCAAGTCGGACATGGTGGAGTAACTGGAGAAATAAATGCAGTTCACATGCAGTTTATATAGGCACGTTTATCAATTAGAAGACACTGCTTTTAAAGTTGTGGATCTTATTGCCTTCGGAAGTCGAAATGTATCGATTCGATATTCGAAGAATGGCGGCTGTTATCGATAAAGAAGCAAATTTGATCTGTGCGTGGTAAACCTGAACCCAAATTTAAAGTCGTGCTCATATTGATGGATAGGCGGACGAGGCAATATATACTCGGCTATTAACACTGATCAAGAATATACATTTAGTTTATGGGGATGCTCTGCTTTCTTATGCTGTAACACACAATTGCCCAAAACCATTATATACTTTTTACTCAATTTCAATGAGTTCAGGGAATAAAAATACTGCACTGTGTGTTTTTTTTTAATTTTCACTCTATTTTTGAGTTAATTTCTAATTGGAACTGCACGCATTGTTAAATATATTTTATTTTTATTGCTGCTCAACTGTTGTAATTCAAGTCGTACACCCTTGGTATCGATACATCGATATATGTTATCGGTGCCAAGCAAAACAGCTGACTGTGCAGCGGCAAACGATGAAAGCAGTAGCTAAGAGTGCCGCCTATCGCCCGGCCACAAAACACACACAAAAACACGGTAACAACGGCAAGAAACAGCAAGAAGAGCGTGTGCGACGGATAACGGAAAAAGGCGAGTGGACCAAATATGCAAATGGTCACTAGATAAAATCATCTCAACTTGGCCAGAGACTTGACTGGTTACAATGGAGTTGCGTGATTTACGCGCACCCGCATCGTCAGTCCATCAATGCAACAGCAATTGTGACTGCAACTGCAACAATTGCAATCATGGAGGTGGCACGGCTGGTGTCGGTGTTGGCGCTGGTGAACTGGGCGATATATGCATTGGTAGCGCCAGTGTCCAACGGATGCCAACCCGTGCCGATTTGCTGATGGAGCAACTGAATGCTTCGAATGCGAAAAAGGTGGCGCTGCTGCTTGTCATCGGATTTGTGCTCTACCATGGCCTGCTCAACTGGAACTATGGTAATCGAATCGATTAATCACGGCTCACTCGATTGATCTGTGACACAGAATTTTATTGCTCGTTTTTTCAGGCAGCGACTCCTGCCAATGGCTGCTGTCGAAGGGTCGCTTCAAGGGCGACAACGAGTGGCAGCCCTACGGCTGCATGATGCACAAATACTCCTACACGTGAGTATGCAACCAGCAGTCAATCAATCAATCAACCAACCTTCAAAATTGGGCGCATCTCGTGTTTTTGTTCCTTTTTTTTCGGTTTGTTTCGATTTCATGATTCATATGCGTAATTTGGTTTAGCGAAAGAAACCGTCTCGGCAACAAGGGCAAGACAGATTACAAAGCGCCAAGATATATAGATACATATTTATGTATCTATGTATTTATGTGAACATATGTAGATAACAAAAATAAGTTCATAAGCAGTTGCTGAGGCAAGCCTTAAATTAGATGTCCTTATCTTGATTAGCAATCGGCAATGATAACAAATTTTGCTTAAGATATATATTTCGATAGATAGTTCCTATGCCAGAGATATATGATATAGAGTGATCCGATTCGAATAAGAATTTACAAACATACCAAATACTAACACCAATTTGAACAACTATAAATATGTAAATATTTGGGCAAACTTCGATGTGCGCCCATCTCTAGATTCCATGTTAATAACAAAATATTGCGCACTGGCCACTGCCCGTGAGTCATTACAAAAAAAAAAAAAAAAGACAAAATATTGTTATCTGAAAATTCCACACCCTGTTCTCATCCACTTATTCTGTTTTTCTGTTTTTTTTTTTTGGTTGTTTTTTTGTTTGTTTTAGCGATACGCGACGCTGCCTGCGTTATTTGGCGTTTTTTGGGAACAAGAATAACTTTGTGTTCATTGGGGACCGGAGTGTGCGGCTGCTCTACCAGCGTTTCATCGAGCAGCTGCATCTGCCGCAATCGGAAACGGACCCGGTCACAAATGAGAGGCAATCGGAGCAGACTGGCGACACGGACCACGATACGAATGGATCGTCGCGAATGCAGTCATCGGCTGCTGGTGCTGGTGTGGCCCGATTCGAGGATAAGAAACTGCAAATGCTGGCGCAGTATATACGCGCCGAGGAGGTTAGTCCGGCGCTGATCGATCACATGTATCAGCTGGAGCAGGAGAAACAGCTGTCCTCCTTCTATGTGCTGGGCTTCACCTATGGCACCCTGTTGGCGGGCAATGTTACCGACGAGGTGTTGCGCCAGTATAGATTCAATCTGACGCTGCTGGTCGCGCCCATCCATCGCCTGGTCGCGCAAACATCGCGCGTCCTCTGGAAACTGACGGAACGTGTCGACGAGGAGAAACTGCCGCCTGCATGGAAGTTGCTGCTCAACGATGACATCGATCGACTGAACAATGTGGCGCGCAATGTCTTTCGGTATACGGACGCGACAATTTGGGAGTCAGCCGATCACATTGCCAACGGGCTCGTCGATAATGCACTCGATGGCCATCGGTTGAGTGCCCATGGTCAGCGGCTGCAGGTGCAATTGCTGTGGAACATGTACTGCAACGATCAGATGAATTATAATGATGGCACCTGCTGCAGCAGTGCCGAGCCCCACACCAGTCTCCAGATAGTGGCATATGCACTCTTTGGCGTCTGCATTACGCTCGTCTGCGGCATGTGCCTGCGTCGCTGGATGCTCCATTTGCGCGGCCAGACACTCTATGTGCCGCTCCAACAGCAGCCGCCGCCGCCGCCGACCAACAGCGGCAGCAGTCATCCGCATCAGCAGTCGAGTCAACAGCATCAGCATCAGTCAACACATCATTATCAAAATCAGCATCAGCATCATCATGCCCTGGCTGTGCTCATCACGGACTATGGCACCCCGCTGGTGGCTCTGTCGCTGCTGGGCGTGATTATGGGCTATTTCTATTTGTGCGATCGAACCAATTTCTTCATGAAGGAGAACAAATACTATTCGGAGTTCAGTTTTTGGATACCGGTGGGCTATGTCTTTGCGTTGGGCCTGTTCTTCACCGAGGATTCACGCTTCACCAAGGTGCTCAACCAGGATCAGACGGACGAGCTGCGCGGCTGGATACTGTTGGTGGTGCTCATTTATTATATGACCGGTGCGCAACGTATTCTGCCCATCCATATGCACATCAAGCTGCTCATCTCCGGCTATTTCTTTCTCACCGGCTACACACACTTCACCCACGTGTGGCAGACGGGTGGCAGTGGCTCGATGTTTGTCCGCTTCTTTCAGGCGATGTTCCGCGTGAACTTCCTCAGTGTGCTGCTCTGCTTCTGCATGAATCGACCGTATCAATTCTATTACTTTGTGCCACTGCTCTCCTTCTGGCTGTGCATCGTTTATTTTGTGCTATCGCTGCCGCCACGCATAACGGCCGCCTCTGTGGAGGCGAATCCGTTGCACTATCTGTATTTGGTGTGCAAGTGCATTGGCTGTTTGGGCGTCATAACTGTCCTGTTCATGTCCGAGGTGTTCTTCGAGCGCATCTTTGTGACGCGACCGTGGAAGGCACTGTTTGTGACCACAGACGATGACATCCACGAGTGGTGGTATCAATGGAAACTTGACCGCTACACGGTCACCTTTGGCATGATCTATGCGGCCTGCTTTCACATTGCCCACAAGTACAATGTGTTCGATGACAACAATCATGGCAATCTATTCTCGCGTCGCACATCCATATCGGTGACACTGCTCGCACTGCTTGGCGTCGGCATCTATACGTCCTTCTCGTTTCTGTGCCGCAACGTACAAAACTGCGAGGAGATCCATTCATATATCGTCTTCATACCGATCATTGGCTATATTGTGCTGCGCAACATTTCGGGCATTCTGCGCACCAGATACTCGAGTTTCTTTGCCTGGTTTGGTCGCATCTCGCTGGAGCTGTTCGTCTGCCAGTATCACATTTGGCTGGCCGCCGATCGGCACGGTGTCCTGGTGCTGCTGCCGGGCTTTCCCACGCTCAACATGATCATCACATCGTTCATATTCGTGTGCGCCTCGCACGAAGTGCATCGCCTCACCCAAATCCTGTTGCCCTATGCCGTTCCCAACGATTGGCGGCTCGTCATGCGCAATCTTGTCATATTCCTCATTGTGCTCATTCCGGTGGCCAGATCCGATGGCATGTTCTAAATGCAAATCCAAACGATGCGATGTCAATTGCAATCAAATTGCCTCTCCTCAATCATATATATATTTTGTTTCCTGTTTCCTGTTTCTATTCCTGTTGCTGTTGTTTTGGTTGTTCTCGGGTTTCGTTCCAATTGTATTCCAAAGTACGCTTTAATCAATTATTATGCGAGTATGCAAAATGATAAATCGCAATTAGATTTAGGAGGAGAAAATTAGCTTTACAAATTGCACAATATACTTATTAATTAATGACGTGCAGGAAATGTAATTTAAATGTCGGCATATATAACAAGACACACACACACACACACAGACACACACACACACACACAGACACACACACACACACACACACACAGACACACACACACACACACACACACACACACAGACTTAACTGCCATTCAAGGGAACTGTCTTCAAGAAAAGTACTTATAATATCGATACACATAATTTAATATCCTTTCCTTTAAAGCAGCACAGCAGCAAGTTTGAGCTGACGAACAAAATGATAAATGATGAATATTGTTAAAGTAAAATACGATTAAAGATATTTATATATTTATGCTGTTCTGTGTTATGTTATTACATCTAATTTATCATCAACTACTCCAATCAAATTTAGCTTACAATCAGCAATCTAGTCCCATTTTTATATTCAACTATTGAGCCAATTATCGATTCTTTACTTGGAACAAAACAAACATTGCCAGCTTTAAAATTGAGCGCCCCTTTTTATGCCGCCGACGCTGGATTATTAATAATTATTGGCCGCGATGTGGATAATTTGTGGAAAGGAAAGGAAGCAACGGCCACTGAACCGGGACATCGCGTCATGTGACAACATGCACATCACTTTGCTAATTAGGCCCAACAACTGGACGTTGTGCCTCACACAGTGACAGTGGAGTGTGACCTCGTTTCATCCGGCGGCCTTTGTTGCTGCGCTAATTGAGGCACCACCACAGAGTGCCTGCTTGCCGCATTCGCCCAATAGAATGCAGTCCTCGCCACTGAAAAAACTCCTTGTGGGCCATTTATGTAAATATATATATATATATATATATGTTTGTATGTATGTACGTATTCATTCACAAACATTTGTTTTTATTCATTTATGCAACACATTCAGCATGGAGAGATGTGAAGTAGAGTGGAAGCCGCATTGTTATTGCTGGCTGCTGGCCTGGGTAGGTGGGCTGGCTGAGCTGGCTGAGATGACGTTGCACTTCCACTTACTTCATTCATTCAAATTTTACACTGAGCACAAAAACCAGCCACTCGCCCCAATTAGCGACAGGAACAGGTTTGTGAGTTGACGCAAAATTAATTCAAATGCTTTAAATGTGCAAATGTGCAAGCTGATTGAAAGTAATTAGTGGCAAAACAAAAACAAAACTACAAATTGTTTTTTTTGCTGTGTGCCAGCTCAGCTAAAATTATATTGTTTAATTTGTTTGGTGATTTCCGTGCTCAGTAATGTGAAAGAGAATTAAATCTAAAATTGAATCGGTCAAGGTTCAAATCCATCAATGTTTGCGAGCCCAGCAGGAAAGCTTTGCGATTTGTAAAGCTTAACAAAAAGCTTATGTTAAACTTTTACCGTTACAAAGCGACAGCGTGCCTGGCCATCCAGGCAAGTCGGGCCATCGCACGAGACGGTCGTCAATGCGCTCGGTTAACGGCCGAAGGCTCGTGTGCCTGGCCATCCAGGCCGTTTGCACATGTTTACGAGTCAGTCAAAGCGCTCGGCTCAATGGCCGAAGGCTAACCGAATGCTTGCACGCCATTTACAAATGGCCATGGAACATTTGCGCGCTCGAAAAAAAATCAGTTAGCAGCGGCACGTTTGCAGAACAAGTTCGTTGACTTCCTCCACCAGCAAAGCGCAATCAGAGACTGAACCAAACACGGCACGAAAAGTTGTGGCACTCGCAACTGGGAACAACCAACAATTGCTGTTGGTTGCCGCATTGTTCCCACCGGTGACTGCCAAACAAGCCCAACAAGTGCGGCGACTGTCGAAAGTTGTGCTAAGACAAATACAAAAGAAAAACACGCGCAACGCTCGCTTTCCAATTAACTTCCTAATTGTGGCTCGTGGATATTTGGCTCTATTTGCTCGTGCTCTATTGTTAACAATTTTTGTTGTTCTTTTTGTTAAGTTGTTAAATGAAAAGTGCAAACAACGTCAAATTGTGCATTACCTCTTTAAATGTTCTTCTATCTTTTTATATTCAGTTTCATACAGAATTCAAATCAATTCAAGTTAATCACAAATCACAAATAGACAAGCTACAAAGTATAGGATTATATCAATCAGGTAATAATAGCCAAATGAGCGAATCATCAGCTTCAAATACAAAAGACTTCAACCGACACATGTTGCACTTGTTGCACATTTATTAACTTGCGAACGATATCGATTCGACCAATTCTGTGTTGTGGCCAAATACCAAGTTATATTTTCAACATTCTGCATACAACACACAGGTGAGAGCTCTCACTCTCTCTCTCTCTCTCTCTCTCCCTCTCTCTCTCTCTCTAATTTGTTCTTATCAAAGTGTTTTTTGTTATTGTTTTTGATTTTTTATTGCTAGTGTTATTGTTATTGTTGTTGCCGTTGCTGTTGCTGTTGGCGTTCCTGCCACTGTTCCCATCATTCAGCACATATAGTTTGTTTTAGGCTGTACTTGTGTCTCTAAGCCATATACATATTAAGTGTGTATTTAATTAACTATCTTCATGCATTTATGTATCCATCATATTAATTATCAAAACCATAAAAGCGATGAAATTGTGCAACATATTTGGAGGCATATTCCTCATCCTCATTCATTATTATCACATCTAAATGCCTCCTAAACGGAGCATACAGGATGCAGGACAAGTGCAGTGTTAGCCAGCAAACAGCTAAGCATAAAATTTAAACAAATTTCGTTAGATATTTTTTTAAGTGTGAATTCACTAGAACCTTTCGCAAAAAATAACAAATTTCACAGAACCCGTGAGATTTACATTAATTTTGAGCAAAATTATTCAGACAGAACAAAATGTTATTTTTATGTTTAGGAATCAATCTGAAAAGCTACTAAAAATCGACTATAAATTTCAATTTTTCATACAGCAACTTTTGTAACGTAAACGCTCAAAAAATTCTTAATGTAATTTCCTCAATCTATGTGTTTATGTAAATAAATTATATTTTTATGTTTAACTTATAATTTTCATAACAGAAAATATTATTTAAAAATTTGATATTTTCAAGCTCGTATGTAAAATCAATCTAGAAAATTAGTAATCCATAAAATTGTAGAAAATATTCTCTAATAGCTTAACTTTTTATAACTTGATCTACTCGAAATATATCAAAAAATAATTATTTGATTTCAGGATCAATCTAGATGATAAACTCGTTAAAAAATTGTTAAAAACTCTGGAATCTGTTCAGTGTTGCCAAAGTTATGGGAGTAGGAATTATTTGCTATGAATTTACATATAAAAATGTTCAAAAATTTTGCTTGATAGATCTTGAGGTTCGAATAATCTTTTTATTTGTAGATTTGCTTGGGCCTCCGTTGATCAAAAACAATTAAAAAACAGCATGGGAGCTGATACCTCTGCACCAAATCTTATTCGTAGATCTTTGAATGCCGTCAGTAGCCATTCACATCCCAAGTTTGGTGACTCTACTTTTAGAATTGTTAGATGATATGTGGTTTTATTCATTTGAACTTATCGGTGTTATCGATTTAGGGAATCAGTGCACGGCAAGTTTCAGGTCTCTAACTATTTTTATGTAGCTGAGTATAAATATGTTCGGCGCGGGGGATTTGATTATATTTGGATTAAGCTGTCTTTACCGTTGGCATCTCAACTTTTTGGGACACACGTAAATGGCTTATGTAAATAGTAATTAAATTCGGCTCAGTTTGAAATCGCTTTAAATGCGCTAACCTTGAGGCGTTTGTCAATCTAGCGACAATTGAGCTTTAAATACGAACACCCACCTTCCCCAATCCCACCAGTCAGCACTCAGCACTGAGCACTGAGCACTGAGCACTCTGCTCTTCAGCTGTCGCCAAATGTGTCTGACACTTAATTACATAGCTTCCAAGGTTTAGGTTCGTTCTGAGCTTTCTTTCTCGTTGTGTTATGATTCAGCCAGACACTTGAGCAGACAGGGGGAGGCACAAAAAAACTTCCGCTCACAAAACTGTTGCTTAACTTGTGTGTAGAGGTGTGTGTGTGTGTGTGTCTAGGTGTGTGTGTGTGTATAGGTGTGTGTGTGCGTGTATAGGTGTGTGTGATTGTATAGGTGTGCATGTTTAAATGTGACACCGGCCAACGTTGTCTTTGACATCAGGTATGTCTATGCGACGACTGCCATTTAAATAGAAAAATTTACTCATTCAAAACCAAATTTCCAAAACGATAAAGACTCACACAGCACCAATGTGTGTGTCTGTGTGTGTGTGTGTGTGTATGTGTGCTGCAGTCCAACCAGCTTTTAATTAAGTTCGAGGAGTTTGCAAAAGTTTGTTTCATAATTTTAATAATACATTTTTTTGGTTGCATTTAAAAGTTTTACATTTTGTAATGTGTTCAATCATATTAATTTCAAATTTAATTGGATTGATACTCTAGAAAACAGAGCAGAGAATGAAGACAAGATGAACTCAACGAGCCAAGTCGAAAACTATAAAATTTGTGTAGGAACAAAATGTATATTTTTCAAAATGTATTTATTCTGGAATGAATATCAGGAGTGTCTGTTGTCCCTTAACTTCTCTCTCTGCGCTTTCTAGATTTTAGACTTACGATTTTTGATCTGAGTTTCAGGTTAAGCATTCGCAATTTCGAATTTTCCAGTCTAGCATCAGTTTCGAGAACTTCATTACTATTTTCAGGATATGCATTTCTATCTTTTCGAAATGCACCTTTTAATATAAGAAAATATTTCTAAAAATTAAAATAAACGTCATATTTTGAATAGAATTGTTTTTCTAATTTTGAGACAAATATTTCTTATAGAAATTATTTCTAGAAACTAGAAAAACATTTGTAGTTTTTAAAATTCAGGGCAATTGCTTTGCTGAGTCGCAGTGAAAAGCGTTTCTCGGTGTGATCAGAAATAGTGATACGAAATAGATCGTTACAGCTCTGCACTTGGCTCGAAGCGAATCAATACGAGTAGGCAGTAAGCATACAACAGTTATTTGGTTGTTATTGTTTGAAGTGGCAACAACTGGAAACATATGCTCCAATCGACACAGTACAAAAGTAAAGCAAATACCATCAGACAGATAAG